AAATTAACTGCCGCACCAACATGTTGTCTACCCATTCCTCTTAGACTACCTCCACAACTCCCATTCAATCCATCTGCTATTTGGAATAATGCTACATATGGCATGACATCTGCTGTTAATTTAATGACTCTTATATCATCATTAAAAATTCTCGCATAGAACTTTTTTACACTCATCAGGATGATTAAAACTACTAGTCCCATTACCATACTCAACCAAGCAGCGACATTTGCAGCTCTAGCTGCTCCTTTTGCATTTCTCGCTCCTAGCAAGTTGCCAACTCGTGAGCTAGCTGCCACACCAATTCCGAAGGGTATCGTATTCATCACTTGATCTGTAGTCATTATGACACTTTGAGCAGCTAATGGAATAGTACCTAATCTACCGGCAGCCAAGGCAACTATTTCAAAGGCCCACCATTCGGTACCGACGTGGATGATGCCTAGGAGAGCAAGACGAGAAAATGTCCCTAGATTATGAAGGGATTTTGTAGTGAAGCCGCCCCAGCATTCATGTCCAGTTATGAAATGGGAGTAGAGGACTAAGAGAAGGAAAGAGAGCCAATAGGAGAGACCTGTGGCAAGAGGGGCGCCGATAAGTCCGAGGTCGAGTGTATGGATGAAGAGATAATTCAGGCCAGCGGAGATAGGCGAGGTTATGAGAAGAACGTAGGTGCCTGGACGCATGATTTCTATACGGCTGAGTTAGATCTCACTTCATGCAAAAGAGAAAGGATGAGATTAGTAAGTACCTTGCGCTTGTAAATACTTCTTCATAGCTTCGAAGTAAATATATCCCAATCCACCTGGAATCAGCGTCGTCAAAAACCTAGCACTATCCAAACAAATATATTCTTCCTGTCCCAAAAATCTAAAGACCGGTGCAGAACAAGCCCATAATATAGCAACTGGTATATAAAAAGCCGTGAGAATCAAGAAACCCCTCTGTAACAATATTCCCAAATCGTGTGGATTCTTGCTTCCAGTAAATGATGATGATGCCAATGTATCTAGAGCAGTACTTCCACCAAGTGCGATAAGCCATGCTGTAGACATGGCAAACATGTAACTAAAAGCCGCAGTTGCTAGAGCTTCAGGACTTAGTCGTCCAACTATCAGGACTGATATTGTTTGAAGAGAATTCTGCAATGCATATGCGAGGATAACAGGAATGGAACCTCGCAATAAGAGGAGGAACTCGGAAATCCATCTTTTAGCTGGGGTGGTATCATCTTCTTCGATTTCGTACGTTTCTCCTTCATTGGTTGATTGGGGAAGGAGTAAAGATTGTTCGTTTGGAGAAGTGGACGTTGGTGAGGTATTGGCTGAATGTTTAAAGACTTTTGGAAGCCATGATGACTTGAAGTCGTTTTGATTGTTCATGATGTATAGCCACCAGATGTGGTGTCAATGTATTTATAAAGTAAAGCAAGAGATAGAGGCAATATACTGCTCATATATTGCAATGGAAAGTATAAAATACGAAAAGGTGGATAAAATACCTTCTGAATATCACTTGCCTATTTAGTGTGAGTATTAGAATATCATTAAACATAATTGATATCAGGATTTCCACTGATAAATGAAACATACAACGACAAGACACCCGGATGAGAGGTAAGGCAAGGAAAAAACGGAGTACAAATCGACCTGCGCAGCATGCAGGTACATGATTACCACTGACAAATTAACGAATGTAAGAAGTACAGTACTGCATCTATGAACTGTAAAAACGGCGAGGATATCAAATCTATCAATGAATAGATTTGTCAAAGGTTGCAAACCAGAGATATACGAGCAATGAAACACGGAGACGGGAGGATGCCGCTGAGGCATCTTGCAGGTTCATTTGACGCCAAAATGCAAGAGGAAGCTGGTAAAAAGATATTGAAGCATCATCGACATCCATAGATAGACACGAAAGGAAATCGAGCAAATTCGTTGGTCAATGTGAAGTTGGATGGAAAATGAGTGTCGAATGAGTAGAAGAATTCTTATCTGACCATGCAAGAGGGATTGTCATTGTTATCTTGTCGCTTCTCGTAATAGCTTCATCATAGCTTTGCACGTGATGAATTGCTGGTTACGTATTTGAAATCAAGATTCTTACTTGATGGATTGACAAATGCCGCGGAAGTTTATATCTATATCAGATTGAGTGATACATTACTTCGGATCCATTGAATCTGAAATGTCCTTAGATAAACATATACTATATCCTTTTGGTGAACTCCGGACGGATATCTACATTTTGTGATTGCATTTCCAGTGATCTCGCTTGAATGGTACTCACGACCGTACGTTACAACGTCCAGGGATCCACCACTGTTTATCACTATCGACACCAGTTAATAACCCTGTTCGGTAAAACTCCCTCTATTGCTATTGGGAGTACAAGAAAGGTTCGCTGCATGAATGATTGATGGCTTAAATCACGACATAGCTCTTCTCCCGTATCTAGATCACAAAAGTAGAGAAAGATCATTCCATTGACACATCGATTCATACTCCGTATATATGTAAGATTCCTCATCTGATCTGTACAACCTTAATGAGACATCCCCCGCTTCCGCCCCCAAACTTAAGCTGACTAATCCGGGGTAGAGCCAGCTCCACTACCGATTTCTTCCAAAGATGCTGATCTTGATAAGACAGCGAATTTTTGGTCCATCTCAATTGAAATTTAAACAGAGAACTTTACAGGCTTTACCTTTTTCCCACTGGCAGCTGTGCTGTTCGTCCCTGTTGATTGCTGAACAGCAACGCATCCACCGAAAGGTCCTGCATTTGACGGGTTCACAATTTTAACCATACAGACGTTGGACTGGCCTGCTATTGTGCCGGTACAAGTTGTTCCAGCCGGAATGGCTACACTGAAAGGCTATAGAATTGATTAGCAAATATTGGGCAATGGATGAGTGGATATTACTTACGAAGTTCTCATTGATATTAGTGGCTCTCTTTGACAAACCAAGACTTCTCAAAACTCGGTTCCATCTTGTTTGTTTGCTCTTTCTGATATTGCCATTCACTCCTGGAATTTGGGTAGTAATCTCGGCCTTGACGGCTTGGGAGAAATCACCCTTTCCAGTGGGGTCGACCATGGCCGTGAGAGGCTGTTTCGCAAGTTAGCGTTTGTGATTTATGGATGAAAGAGAAGAAGTGATACATACACCCGCACCATCAGAAGTTACTATGTGGAATGTCCCCGAGATAGAAGGATTATCGGTACTGATTTGTGGAAGTGTGCTGCCCGAAAGCGCCATCGCCTTGGTGACACCAGTCTCTGCTTGATTTCTTCCCCCAGCCTACGAACTGTCAGTCAAAAGCCAATACACGAAGTGGAAGCTATGATTACCTCGGTTCGCCCACAGTTGTTATTGCCAATGTTGAAGACAGTAGTATCAATCTCTGTTTTTGAATTTGGTCCTGCACCTGGGACAACAGCTCCTTTGATTCCCAAAGCAGTACCGTTTCCGCCAAGGTCTCCTGTAAGAACGGCAATCTTCCCGTGAGCGACCACAAGGGGACTGAGGGCGAGGAGGCCAACGAGAATAGATGGAGTGTACATGATGATAATTTGTGGAAAATGAGATGATGGCCTAAGGCAAGGTAAAGTATTGTTTTATAGAAAAAATGGTTTTCAATAATCCAATGAAAATAAAAAAGGTGATTGAAGTGAAGAGGCACAGCCTACTGTATTGGGAAGATGAGAAATGAATTGAATGAAGAGTAAAATCGAAGGAATTCCTTCTCGTCTTATACAAACTTAAGTATCGCTAACAACTTCAAAAGACATCAGACAACCGCCGCCAATGCCACTATAGTCAGGGAATATCAGAGGAACACGGAAAGATAGCATCGGGGCCCCTTGAACGGTCGTGAGTCTCTTACACAGTGGAGAAGGAAGACGAGGGCATCTCTGGAAACACGGAGCCTAGATCAAGCGGTAAAAGAAACACACTTTAGATGAAATATATTTTTGTGTGAAAAGGATGAGCTTTATCCACAAAAGGTCTAACTATCGACTTGGCTTGAGACTGCTGATCGAGCATATATTCGACATACCCATAACGTTATCTTAATACTGGCAAGTTGAAAATCTTGAAGTGGGAGGCAGGAGAAGAATTCCATGGAATCACTTAAACAATAGAAAAATGAAGCTAACGACCCGATATCCTGTCAAACTTTAAGTTTAAAGATTTAGCATCATGACATGCTTCCATAGACACACAAGCATCAATGATCAAGCATTTACGTTTTGTACCTGAATCGGGCACAGATCAACCCACGAACAGAGAATTCTTCATCCCATGATTTTGCTGGATGAAAAGAACCCCTCTATGTGCCAATCTAATAAATTCTGAAACATTCAATGTTTTGGGAAATGATAACCGATAACCTTGGCTGAGAAAGATCCCGCCAAGAATGATGGAAAACCAGCATTTGAAACCTTGAAATAAAAAAAGTACAGACGAATGATGAAATGAAATTGAATACTTCCCCGTACGATATGAAACAATTCTCCTTTTGCAGAACACTTGAATTTCGGTCAAAATTGACATTTTCGCGGAAATGGTTTCGGGAGTTTGATCATTTCGAATACCCGCCAGGAGGATATCTCAAAATCTGGGTATAATTACAATATCCGACATCTTCCTAGTATCCTGGATGAAGATCCGGTTAACAGAACGATGAAATTGTACATGGAACTGATCAAGGTTGTTGACGCCCTCGTTCAAACGTTTGTGCTTCAGATAATTCAAGGAAGCCTTACAAGGAGGTGCAAGTTCAAGCGGGCACTAGGGATAGAATTAGCTGGCGCGGTCATCATCTTGACAATGTGTGATTTTAATGAGGATTCCAAGTTTCGAGATTTGAAGAACGATTATTGCTATCTTTTTCGGTATCAGTTCCTGAAGCAAGTTTGGATTCTGTAACATAGGTTAACCGCATTACTCCATCTGACTGCCAGAGATAAATGATCTCACCCCAGTTATATCACTATTTTGAAGCTTCAGCAGATATTCTTTTGTATCGGTATTGGATATGGAAAGATTTACCTGCATCGGTACCCTTAATTGTTGTGACTTATTGTGGAGAGAAAGCAGTCTCACACGTTTGTAGTATGATATGCTATAGCAGTTACCACTATATGGTCATGGAAGGACATAGGAGGTAAGGTAAAATCGGGAGTTAAGAACAACCAACCAGCAGAAAACGGTTTAAGAATAGACAAATAACGACTGTTTAAGAAGGAGAATCAAAAATAACAACATAGCAACCAGGCGCCAACATCCATCTACCAGCAATAACCATGGTAACTCACTGCCGTAATTCCACCAATCTTTCTTCACTAGACACCTTATCCAGCATTTGAGACCGTCAGTTAGTTATATAGATGGATGTGAGATTGTACGAGAGATGGCCAACAAGTTTCCTGAGATGAAATTAATAGCTTCGCTGAAGGGGCGGGAGGAAAAGCTGGGCAGCTTTGGAGGTGGGGATGGGATGTTTTTATGAGCGAATTGTAGTAATATTGATTCGTATTGGCTTGAAGAATGGAAGGTTTGGAACCATGGGGTGGATTTCCCATGGGTTCAGGGGTGTTTCCACGAGCGGATGATCCTTTGGATAGGAGACAGCTTTGAGATCTTTATTGAGAGGGATTTGGTATTAGGGTTATGCTTAGCCTTAGCATTGTCTGTCAGGTATTGACGTCAGTTGGAGGAAGGTAAGGAGTGATGATTGTGATTTTATATTCACATCATTTCACCAAAAGGTAGAGCAAGGCGTGAAAATTTCGTCTACATTTTAGGATTTAACTCTCTTTATGATTGTGGTTACATAGGAAATGTAGAGATTAATGAAAAGCAGAGGGCGGCTAAGTTCTGGTAAACGAATCTTGAAAACAAAACAAAATAGAAATTCTATGAGAAAAGACTCGTGAATACCACCACTTATTTAAACTAGGTCTGTCAAACGTTGTTTAGGGTCATTTCTGAAAAGTGGTACCTCTGTTGACAGATGGTAGATATAATTCGCAAGCTGATAGATTCGTGAGATCTCTTCTAAGGATATGACGTAGATTGTCAAAGCATCATGAACGGGTCGATTGGTACGCTTGCATAAGCATACCCATAATACATGCGATTTGTCACATGTGTCCAGGCTGCAATCAAGGTCAAGGTATCGTGCTCGGACAGACTCAGCTAATGCGCGTTGGTCATTCGTGTTCATTTCTGCGAATCCAGGTACGAAGGCGAGCCCATAGTAATCCAAAAGACTAATGAGTCGTCTGTTGACCAGAAGAGTTTGACTAGCAACGATCATTGAACCGAAGACAACCATGCGAGGCGCTTGTTGGAGGTAGTATCTTTCTTTGAATGTTGATCCTCTCCAGCAGACTGCTCGAATGGGAAAAAGCGATCAATTTGGAAGCGCTGATAATTGTCAAATTGGTGATCAAGTTAGTTAAAGAAAGAATGTGTGCGGATCTTACCTCATTGCCTTCGTGAGGGAATGATGTTTGAGACTATAAGACTAACAGTTCATCTCCTTCTGCAGATTTGATTAAATGATCCCTAGGTTTTGTAGATGTATATTTCAGAGAGAGATTTTCACGATACTCTGTGAGAACGCCATTGTATCGACACGAAAGGTACTGTGGAGTAGTACGTTGAATTCCTTTTTAGAGGCTTTAACGAAAGCAAAAAGAGATAGGAGAAATATATCATAATCATCACATCTGGTTAGGTTTCCGGGACCAATATGAACCTCAGTGATGCTAGTAAGTCTGTGAAATCAGTTTTTGAATGCTGTCTGATAATGACCATTGAGAGTGGAAGCTTTGTTGAGGAATTGGTTTTCATTGCGCTATCAGGAGTAGGCTCGAGGTCGATTTGATTTACGTTGACATCTTTGGCAAGATCAAATAACCCCAGAGGAATGCCGAATTGGAAGACGATGTTAGCTTCAACGTCAGCGAATGCATTTTCATCCTGATAGTGGATGAAAGCTTTGGATGTGTATCTTTGTTTGTTGACCTCCTGGGATCTGGGCAGCATATGCATAAGGAGCAAACAAAACTCAACTTTTAATTCATTCTTTCCTTTTTGGTATACTGTTTGTTTGCTTTCAATATTTTGATTTCAAAGCACTTTAATTCCGAAGGGCGAATACCTAACCTTATTCCTTCATTTTTTTTGAATATATACTCGCAGCTTAACTGCTTAGCTAGAGAATCAATCAATTCAATCTGATGCTCTTTCTGGTCTCAAGAAACCCAATATTGTTTGATACTGTTTGTATCGATCAACTTTGCACCTACCGTATCCACAATACAACATCTTAATACTCATATGATGCAGAGGACCAATGCTTTTAGCCGAAAGAGGAACAACGAAAAAGGATGATCTGGCAGGCTTTGAAAAGTAGGTTGACTCATTCAAACAGTAACTGAGCTGTAACCAACCGGCATGCATAGAACATGATGATATTAACATCTTCAGTTTTGGATTGGATCTGTTTGATGAGATGAGCATAGGCAGTTCCTCTATCATTAATCAACAAAGTGGTTTTCGCAATGAATATGACCTTTGTGGATGTCTTTCCAGGGACCACTGGATCTTGTCCCCATGAAATGTGATTAGGAAGTTGATCTCTGCACCAGAGAATGTATAGAGCATATGGATCATGAACATTTTTCAAGACAACAATTTTCATCTCCTGAGGGAGAACATTTCATTTTGAGATTGTTTGCCAGGAGCAGATTCCTTCGGTAGAGAAGTGGTAGAAACATGGCTTGATGGTGAGACTTCTTCGACTTGAACAAACGAAGTCTAAAAAATATTAACACTTCATGACTTCTTCAACGGAATTGATCTTGAATATACCTCAGCTCTTTTGTGCGAACGGAACCTGAGTCCAGGTGGCGAAATTGAGGCTAAGGCACCATGCAGGTCGCTGTGAGAATCTTGATGCTCGTACTAGATAACATCAGGATTTGTCAATTTTTGATGGTTAAATTCATCATAAACATACCTCAAACCTTCAACCACAGAATTTGCAATAGACTGTGGGTGAGACGGTAAATTCTCCTGTAGGGCCATCATCTGGGTTTTGATCATGTTTGTAATTCACATTAGAATGTAACACTTTGTGACGATTGAAAGTCTGACATACATCTTTCCATCAAGGAATTTTTATTCTTCTTTGATCATAGAATTCAAAAGTAGGAAGAAATTGTCCATTTTCGTCTGCAGTGGAGAACAACTTTCTGCGCGTGGTGAATAATGTCACCCACTGCTTTCACGAGTTGAACTGGAATGGACAATTCCTTTTACCGTAATTTCTTACACCATAAGTACCTACTAAAGAAGTTTAAAATTGAGTACGTACAATGCCATCTTGAAGCAAAACTGAAATCTGAAAAACGAGGAATATAGCACATAGAGAGGCGATATACAGGCGGGCTTGGTTCCCTAGTATTAGTCTTCACTTCCCCCATTCAAACATTAGAAGATTGAGGCTTTCAATCTCCCCAACCTGTATTAGCTACGGTCGAATAAGGCTAGCTACCCTCCATTTATTATTGTTAGAAGCCTACAAAGCTCCTAGCCGTCTTAGATAGTCATAGACTCAGTGTAGACGTTAGTTTAATCAATCAAAGGCGATATACGTACTCTTCACTTCACAAGTTATAAACACAACATTTCCACAAAATTATATCATACCTATTGCAATCTTATGATCCTCTTCAGATACCAACTGCTGAAGTGTTAAAATCATATCAACATCATATCACTTCTACCGTTGAAAGACTTGACGAATTTCTCATATACTGTACCAAGTCATAAACAAGAGAATTTATCCCTCCCAAAAACTCCATTTCAATAAAAGATAAAAGACATGGCCACTTGTATATATTCTTCGATAAATTTGAAAACTACGAAACATTCAAAACAACCCCCATGGAACAGCATCTTGCTCATTGGAAGCCCGAGGAACACTATATCTCTTGCGCTTGCCAACTATAGCATGGAAGAGGAGAAGCAGCCAGTGGCCTTTATCCAGGTGTGCATAGATGTCTTTTAAAACCTCAAGAATCCATCTCCCATAGAATAGCGATAAAGAAAACGCTGTATCTACCAGCTCTCAAAGTCGATGCAAAGTCTACCATTTCGCAGATTTTTTGCGCCAGTTGAGCGAGAACATTGAATACCATTGAAAGTTCTTGGTACTCGGACCGGCATGATAATATACAACCAGAAGGTCGCTGAGATAGGAGGTCCCCTCAATGAAGAGGATCATATAAGACTCCGTCATTCATACATGTCCGGCTTGCTCAAAGTAGTTTATGTATCCGCTGCCATATCCTTAAATGTGTCTAAAATATTGGTAAGTGCTGCGCAAGCAAGATGATGTTTACCACCAATGATTACGTAATCCCTTATCAGAACTCCGTTTGTAGCACTTCGTCTCCCACAAGAGCGAGACCGGCATTTTACTTTGCCAATATCAGCATCAACCTTGAATGATGGAATGAATTGACTCCAAGTTTCTATTAGCTCACAATGTGGCAGCTACTCCGTGCCTAGCAATGATATTTGGTAACCTTATCTACCAGGTTCCCTATTATTGACGCGATAACGACTTTTCACTTCTACCACCACCTTTAGTCCAACGACGAACTGATTATTTCATTGACCAATTCTTGTGATTCCGCCGTTATCGTGGAAGATTTCAATATCCCACAGACTGATTGAGTCTTTGATAAGGATATGGCCAAGCTATGTACTGTCTTATCGTTCTGGGGTTCCCATGTGGCATGAGCCCATCAATCCGTGCCTTTTTTGATATCAGAAAGGCACCATTGACGGATATGCTTTCTGATTTGGATAAGATTGGTTTGCTGAAAGACAAATCATCTGGATGTTAACCCAGGCAGAGTAACTTCATCTCCAAGTCCCGATTTATAGCTTTCCGCCCCCCTCCTCCACTCCCGCTCGATTTGGGTTCAAACGATTACACAGCCAAAAAGAATGCAACAGGCAGCATGAGCGTATGGGTACTCCACGATGGTCGAAGGAGAATAAAATATCCCCACATCCAGCGTCATGGTGTCTTGATTCGTGCGCCGGAAAATTTAGGGACAGATCAGATTTGATAGGCAAGGTTATTATTCGGCAGTTGAATAAGTTGTTAGCTTTCCCCTAACCATGAAGGTTCTCCACCCCGCTAACCCCTAGGCTATCTATCTACCTTTCCGCCCAGACACACACCACATCATATTATAATACATGATCTTCCTTGATCATCGAGAACCAACCCCACGATTTATATTGGGAGACCTTTTTCACTCTGACCAAGAGTCATCTCGTATTGTGCCGAATACTACTTAGATAAAAATCCCAGCTTGATTTGATAATTTTATTGGCATTGAAGATTAGTTCGATGAAGGAAACGCTTGGTAACTCAGTTTGGTAATGATGCACTAAACTATTATTAAAGTACTTGGCGTCAGTAGACCAAAGTCTACCCGGTGAGATAGATAGGCATACAGGCAATGAGTATAAAGAATCATGCTTCTCTTCTGTATTCGGTTCTTCATCTTTCTATATCTAGTAGAACACCATCCTCTCTTTCATCATGTTCTCACGTTTTCTTTCCATCACTGCGCTTGCAGCATTTTCCTCTGCTTCTCCAGTCGTTTACCAGCGCGACAATACCACAAATCCATATGTTTTCACTAATCCCAATGGACTTAATTTCACCCAGATGGATCCTACTTTGCCGAACATCACTGTTTTCGCAACTGGTATATTATCCCTCTGGCCATTTTTTCAGATAAAACTATACTAATTAAGAATTTAGGTGGTACCATCGCAGGCTCTAGCAGTAGTAATACAGCAACAACGGGATACACGCCAGGTGCCGTAGGCATTCTAACCCTCCTTGAGGCAGTCCCAGAAGTTCTCGATATTGCCAACGTTGCCGGTGTTCAGATCTCCAACGTCGGTAGCCCGGATATAACTTCAAGCATTCTCCTCAACCTGTCAAAGGAAATAAACGAAGTAATTTGCAAAGATGATACCATGAGCGGTGCAGTCATCACCCATGGTACCGACACCCTAGAAGAAACCGCCTTCTTCATGGACGCTACCATCAACTGCGGTAAACCCATCATCATCGTCGGATCCATGAGACCCTCCACGGCCATTTCGGCCGACGGTCCTTTCAATCTCCTCGAAGCCGTATCTGTAGGTATTAATCCTGATGCTGTTGGTCGTGGAGCTATGGTTGTTCTGAATGATCGTATCGTATCTGCATATTATGCTACCAAGACCAACGCAAATACAATGGATACATTCAAAGCAGTCGAGATGGGAAATTTAGGAGCACTCATTTCAAATACTCCTTATTTCTTCTATCCGCCCGTTGAACCTACCGGGAAAATCGCATATGATATTTCGAACGTGACGGAGATTCCTCGAGTGGATATCCTCTTCTCATACCAAGATATGCAAAATGATACTCTCTACAACGCTGTTTCCAGTGGCGCTAAAGGCATTATTGTAAGTTCCTCTACTTCCTCTCTTCACAATAAATATCCATCTAACCCACCATTACCATTAAGATCGCCGGTTCAGGAACAGGAAGCGTAAGTACATCATTCGACCATGCCATCGAAGATGTAATCAATAGATTCAACATCCCCATTATCCAAAGCACACGCGTGCAAAATGGAGAAGTGCCCGAATTCGAAAGTGAGACTGCTATACGTATCACATCTGGATATTTAAATCCTCAGAAATCTAGAGTTTTGCTTGGTATTTTGTTGGCGTTGGATAAGAATATTACGGAGATTAGGGATGCGTTTTCCGGGAATGCTGTTTCTTAATCTTGAGATGGATGGATGGGATTGGAAAATTAGATGTTAATGATAATTTTATGACTTCTGTGTATCTGGGATTTTTTGTCTGATTGGTATATTTGGGATATGGGATAAAGTTTTTGTTCTATTGGTTTTGATTATATAGTAAGTGCTCTTTGAACTAATAACATGATTGAGATCAAACAGCCGATTCTCTGCAAACAAGAAGATAAAGGAATCAGGATGAAAGCAAAATCCACACAGCGAGCATACAGTATCAACCAAACAAATGCAAAATTACTCCTATCTACTATCTACTACATACTCCAATCTCCCTCTTTGAATCTTCCATTTCCATGTCCGAATCCACACCACACCGTTTCTTAACCTCAAACTCAGTCCACCACCTTTTTCTTATACATTGCCTCAATCCTTTTCAACACCATCCGCCTCCCAATTTATCCTCCGGGGGCTCGCTAATCCATAGGCAAAATTTATCGGGATGGTCTAGTCGGCCACGTTGGCGATCGAGGTGCATGCTGCGCTTTATCATGAAGCATCCGATTATGTTCTCTTCCCTGACGATCAAGAGGTCCGAATTCCGCACGAGCAAAGCCTCTACAATCTCCAGCAGGATGATAAATAGCACCCACGATCTTTTTATCAGGACCCGTAATACCCCTCATAAATCCTACATCATTAGGCCTATTTTCCGGCTCGAGCATCATTGCTCGTTCATGCGGTGCGATCGCCGCTGGCTGCTCGCGAGATGGTCGGCTGTAATCGAAAGATGCCTTGTCGGGTGTAGTGACCGGATACTCGTATAAAGGGACTGGTCCCGTTCTGTTTGGGTTGATTCGTCGCTGAGGTAGTTCTCGGCTTTCGAAAAGTGGATATTGGCTTGGGCGATCGCCTTCTCTGTTCATGCATCTGTGTGGCATGTTGTTTATAGAGTTTCTTGGTGTAGCTGGCGGAGCTCTGTTGATTTCGGCGACTACTACTTTGTGTGTGATGTTACCACGCGGTGTGTGGTATTGCTAGGGGAAGGGTCAGAGAGTGTGACTTATAGTTGAAGTCTATTGACTTACTAGGTGATCCTTGGTGTTGTCAGAATTCCTTCTTCCCTGATCCATCTTGGGCGAGATAATAGTGTCTAATAACTTAAACTCGCGGGAGATGTAGACGTCTTTGCTTAGGCTTGGAGCTGGAGATTGATTCTAGACGACAAGAGAAAGGATAGCTAATGGATAGTGTGAAGTTGTCAGCCGGCTGATGATGGAAATTTGTGCGTTTGGATTTGGACGTGAGGTATCATTGTTCCTTATATCTTCACTTTTTGTACACTCGAATGCGTATTTCAGTAAGTAAAAGTTCAACACGAACCTGGCAACAAGTCGGCGCCAACATCATGATAGCGACGCTACCCTCAGCGAATCATCCAGTTCCAAAGTCATCTCCTGACACCATCATCCTAGAGGGGAAAGGTACTCGGAGAACTGCTAACAACAATAGAGGTTCTGGCAAGTTATTCCTTTCCCTGTTGCGACAAATCTGGGACTTACAGCTCATGCACCATGTCGAGGTCCCGCCCGTATATTTTGTTTCATGGCTCAACACAGCAAACGCTTTAGACGTTTCCATGCCATAATGTAACAGCATTTTCGAAATTAGCCCAGAAGAATTCAGCTAAAAGTTGAAATCATTAACGATTAGAAGCTAGACAGCAAGAATCGATCGCTTGACCCCCTTATTTTACCAATACACCGGTACCGCTGAGTGCTTTTGCGATTTTGGAATATGATGGAATACCCAAAAAGCATCAAGATCAAGCGCACTGCGCAACATCCCTGTATCATTGTAATTATTTGGTGAGGATCAATTGTATTTCAGCGATGGAATTACTTCCATCACGGTCATCGTATTTACCAAACTACCGGTACCGCCGTGTGACTACTGGTTGCATGAGCGGGGCAGCCGCTTGTTTAGCATTTCATTGATGAGAAACTTTTCATGCATGATTGGAGGGACGTTCAAACAATTTGTCGTGATGTGGGTGGCATCGTACCAAAATGCCGGTACCGCCGTGCTTTCTTTTCGACTGTGCATTTCGTGTTGCTGACTGTTGGTCGCTTTCATGGATTTGATGGTATATCGGTTCCCCTCGAGTTGTACTCGCAAGCGGTAACGCCATTCCCGCTCGGCTCAGGATGTAAATTTGTTGATACATATTTCGCAAATGATCCAGCTTTGAGAAGGGAAGAGATGGTACATCGAGATTAAGCGCTTGGAATAGGATGAGGAAGATGCTTATAAACACACCCCTGTTTATCGCTCCAGCCACATGGTGATATGCACGCGCCTGCATTTTTCTGTCACCTCTATCATCCAGTTACTCGATCAGACGATTACCTGGTAAAGTCTGTCTGATAAAAGTTACGATGTTCTCTTACTGCCGCATTCTCATCGATACGACACACTTATTAACTATTTTTCTGCAATTTATATCAAATTACTTTATCACCATCAACGACTGATATTTTGCTCGGCATGACTTCTAGTACTGAGAACGCAAGCTTGACTGAAGCTGCTAGTATCGAAACACAGCAGCCATGGCTTACTTTCCTCACTGAACTTGCTTCGAAACCAAACTGCGAGAAAATGGTATCAGATGTTGCGAACATGCTGAAAAACTTTCTCCTCTCTGACAGTGAGAATGCTGCTTCAGAAACTGCCAAGCAAATAAACAATTACACGCTCTTTGGCACCCTTACAAGAAGACATCTTAACTTTGTATTTCAAACGATATACAACCTAGCGGCACTGATACCATATGAAGATCACAAGCAGGAGATGTTGCTGCAGCTCATCGTTGAGCTTTTGAAGATGTCGAGCAGATCGATCACGCAGCCGGATGGCAAGGTAAGTTCTCTCCATTAGCGATCGGCAAGGGTTGAAATGGATCGGAAGATGAAATTGACATGATGAGTGGTAGATGGTCGATGAAGGCACTATATACTATGACATTAATATGGAACTAAAGCACGATATGTGGAATGCGAGACATGGTACGTCGACCACCCGTTTAATGTTCTTTGAGCTAACACATTGCCAGTGGATGAGTTCGATTTAGATCATAAAACTCAAGATAAATATACTCAGGGATGTATTGAGTGGATTAATCTCTCTAAATTCTATGCTCGCTGTATTGCGGAGGATCTCGATGATCATGATGATAGGGCATGCAAATTCCCCGGTTATGATATTCCTGAAGCTTTGGAGCAGCAATTCGAGTACACGCCTGGAATAGATACAGATTTCAGGGTCATGGTAGCCACGCAGTATATTATTATTGCTGGAGAGAAGATCCGAGAGGACAATATCAAATGGTGGGATGAGCATGCACCGACCTGGGAAAAGAATTTGGAGCAATTGGAGAATAGTTATGAAAATGGGTTTCCGGAAGTTGCTCCTCGTTTTGAGACACCACCCGGAGAGAAAGAACTCATTGGAACGGGAGACTTGGGTATGGATATTCTAGGATCTGTGAAGGATGCGAGGAAGAAATTGAGAGCGTTGCGAGAGTTGCGAGAGGGAGCTTCCGAGCAGGGGAGCGAGGAAACTGCCGACACCCTGGTTAATAGTGAAAATCCAGCAGAGAAGGATGATGAGTAGATCTTCTAGGTTTGATCCGGTGTCTTAAATGGAGTATGGATAAGAAATTCTGGAGCCCAATGCTTTTGCGAAGATTTGGAGAAACACTAGCGATGACTTTTCAAGCAATTTGATCTATTTATAGAAGCATCTATACGAACGGTCAAGTGATACCACATGACTGTTAGCAAGTTGACGACATTGGAAAAAGTTTTGCAACTCCCAAGGATTCACGCTATCTACTCAACATGAATGGATCTCACACTTTATTAAAGTGGTTGAAACTTCAGCCAAACCAGTGCAGTCTGACTGATTTGGACCAAACAATGGACTTTTCCCCAGGGAAATGCGTTCTGATACTTAATTTGCAGGCAATATAAACCATCCTACACTGCACTTCTCAATTGCTCTTTCCCTATTAGCAGCAAATTACTTCCCGTCTCTAAGTCACTTCCTTTTCTGTCTCCATAGTCACTTCCTCAAATCTGTTTCAAATAAGCGATTGTCATATCTTACAATCTTGCAACACCAACATACCATGTTCTTATTGCATCGTTCCAGGTTTTATCATACCATACATCAATATTTAAAATTTGAGCATCAGATAATGGACCAACGACCGTCACCAAGATATTGTTTCCAAACGCGCCCCATTAGTGGACATAACCCCCGCCATTTTACGGGCCCTGAGCCCTACATACCGGGCATTCCTACCATGCAAGCCCCCATCAATGACGATTGTGAGACAGTGGCTAGATTTGTCAAACGCTTTAACAGAAACAAAAGAACCTGGGAAAGCAGTGTGAAAGGAGGACGTCACGATCCTCTGGTTCTCTCAATTACAAGTCGGAATATCGATAAAACCGGTGCTTTGAAGCCACCAAAGAATGTGCACACTGAAAAGTACATCAGACCGAGTGATCGGTGGATTGCAGCGAATCCTTCTAGCAGTATAGGGAGAAGAGCAGAAAGTCGTGACTATATTAGGGCTGAGGTCTGTATAATGTTTGACACGGCGATTCATTGCTTTCCTTGGTTTCGAGCAACATAACATTTTGCTAACAATACAAAATCATAATAGGATCTTGGTGCGGCTTTCATGAATGACCCTGTCAATTTTCCATTCCTCAAATCTTCAATACGACTAACTAATAAATGCATAGGATTCCATAGTAAAACATGTTGTTTCCCGCTTAGACACGAGTTCAAACATGTACTTTCTTGTTGTAGGTACGCAATCTCTAGAATCCTGTTGTAAAGATTAACGTCGTACTTTACAGCATTCACCACAAGATAATTTGGGCCTATCACTGCTCCCAGCTAATATGCCTCAGCCGAGTATATCTCAGCCCAATATACCTCAACCAAGTATACCTCAATCAAATATATTTCAGTCGAATATATCTCAGCCCAATATACCTCAACCGAGTATACCTCAATCGGGCGTACCTCAGTCGAGTATACCTCAGCCGAGTATACCTCAGTGGAATATATCTCAGCCTAATATACCTCAACTAGGTATACCTCAATCGAGTATACTTCAGCCAAGTATTCCTCAACCAAATATACCTCAGCTGAGTATACCTCAATCGAGTATATATCAATCGAGTATGCCTCAGTGGAATATGCAGCCAGTCGTCGGTTCTCCTCTTCCTTCATTAGCTACCCAAACTCAACCTCAAAGTCTTCAAAGCTGTAACATACCCAATGACGACCCCAGCGTTTCCAACACATTTCCCCCAACCCCTTTTCCCACAAACAACAGCTCGCAACTAGCTACGACTTCAGAGCTACCGTCTCTAGAAAATCCAGCAAACTTCTACTCTTCTTTGCAACGACGACCCTAAAAATTTCAATGCATCTTCCCTGGCCTCTTACCCGCAGACAGTAGCTCGCAACTAGCTATTACTTCAAAGCTACTGTCTGTAGAAGATTAAACGCCCTCTATTCCTGTTTCACCGAAGAATGCATTCATTGGATTTATTCGGTAGTATCAGACTGAAAATCATTCTTTCTTGGATTTGACTCCCTGATGGTGATGGCGATAAGAGGTTGAATGAATTGATGATGATGATGAGAAGATGAGATTCTCGTAATTCTAAGTAAGAGATTAGTCAAGGATAAGTTTTTGTGCCGGATAAAGTCATTGGCAAAAAAAGAAGAGTGGAATAAAGTATGATAAGTTAGACTGCGGGAAGATAATTGATGATATGGCAATAAAAGTACTATGGATAAGGACTTATTGTTGGGTGTTAAAAGTATGTGCTACCCGGTGCACGATTCATTTCGATTTGGGTGGGACGGACAGCTGGTAGCAGCATGCTAGAGATCTTCCGATTCAAGTGTCGATAAATGGGAAAGAGATATTATTAATTACAGTTATTCTTTTTGTAAGGAATACCTTTAAAATACCTTTGCTTCCCTGCTTGTGGATGTACTTGAAAATCCAAATGCTTTTCCTAAGCTCTCGTCCCACCACAACTACACTTCAATCCTACCTTCACCATTGTGATCATTGTGGGAGGCCTTATAAAGAGAAGAAGCGACAACACAATCAATCATCTCACCTGGCAGAGCATCTTTTGTCAAGGGACAGTGTCAGAGCCTTCGAAATTCCACGGTATCAACCATGGAAAATTATTTCAGAAGGTCGATCATCCTCGGGCTGGGTTGAACGATATTTCTCATTCTAGATTCATCACACTTGCTAAAATACATGTTGCGAACGGCTTCTTCCTGAGCACTGCATTTCATTGACAATTTGGTCTGTCACTTCTGACGTTTAGGTATCTGTATCTTACGATGGACTTGGTGTTCCTTTCAGCATGTGTGAAATACATAGGAAAACTCGAGATTCTACGGCTATCAAAGAGCATGAGGTGGTGGAGAGCTTGCAGAAGAAATGGACGGAGAAAGCGGAGGATAGAGGATTCAAGAAAACTGATGGAGTTGATTATATTTAACTCAATTCCGAGATTGCTTGATAATCCGCTAATTTGTGTTCATGATAATGATGGGACTAAGTTGCTGGATATTTTACATCAGATATTATGAGCTTAGCAACACTTAAGCGGACGGAGAAGTAGACCTAACATACGCTCAGTTCGTCAAAACCCGTCGGACGTTCAACGTCTCTTCATCAATTTTCCGAACCAGACGTTGACCTGTCTGGCCCAGGTCTTGCCAACTCATTGATGTGTGTATGGAGAAAATCTGCCTGTGAATCTATGCATTCAGTATACTGATAAGTTTATCAAACACTTTTTATCTCTGGATATGGCTACGGTGCTGCAAAAGGCTGCAGTCAGCGATTCTGTTGTTCATGAGCAATTTGCAGCCACTAGGCTGTTTTTCGAAGACTCCTTTGGCGATGCACTGATGAATGTTTTTGACATGATATCAATGCTTATGATAGGTTTTGGCTGCCAAAGACTGGAATTCAAGAGTGACAATCTCAAATGAGTAGATGGGTAACTAATGGTATTGGAAGACTTTTGGCTGCGAACTGTTCTGCAGTAGTCCCGTCAGTTTGGTAGATTTTGAGAGAGACAATACCGTACTAGAGGTTGATGCCTTACAGGAGAAACTGACTAGAGCTCATAGAATCACCGTAGAAACTCAATCAATAAGATATTGTCAATGTCATCTCAGACTAATAATGAGAAGAATCAGATGAGAAGCGGAAGAACATGAAAGTGCACCTAATGACTTTGTGCTTGCACGTCGACTCATGATCAACAACAGGTAAATCATGGTGATGTTGAATGATAAGGAATTATGTCCGAGAATCAGAGTTAGCTTTACCTGGCTGGCTGTATTGATGCATCTCTTTTCTATGGAACTGTATTGTCGGTTATCCAACTACTTCACTACATCGACTTCTATTTGTTCCTATGGTTCAATATTCACTTTCACATTCGCACTCTTTTTCAATCACTCATTAAGACAACGCAATTTTTAATCCAACCCCTCGAGATTCGACCACTCTTCCTAATAATTCCAGAAACAAGAATCTTACAATCTTTATACAATCTTTGATTCTATTGCACTTTCTCACAACCCTTTCGAGTTTCCATTATCTACATAGGCTTTGCGCCTCTCAACTCTGTTTTGATTTCAAAACAGCTTTTAAAACAGTCGTATTCATTAATATCTTCACCATGTCGATCCAACAACTTAATACCTTTCTCAGAAATCAAGATGAATACAGTCGTCGTTTCTGGGCAGCTCCACAACCAATGTTCTTTCAATACGACTATGCCGAATCGCAACAAGTATTCAAGAATAAATATCCATCCAGTGAACTGAGATCTCTCGGTGGTCTATCAAGTTGGGAATGGTTCATTGATGGAAATAGTACGTTCAATCTGAATAATTTTCTTCTCAATTACCTCTTCTGACTTGAGACCGCAGGTTTACCTAACATCCGACTGAGATTCTATAACCAGAAATTGCACGATCCAGTTGCTCCTGTATTGGCTCCTGCTATAACCATTGATCAATGCAAAACGCGTCCACATCCAGGCGTATTGGGCTTTGTTTATGCCATGTCGAATACAGATTTAGCAGCACTGGAACAAGAGCAAAGTTTGAAAGGCAGACAACAATTATACCTTCCTATTGAACTTCAAACCAAGTCAACCAACGGAGCACTTACAGCAAAGGTTATTTTAGCAAGTGTTTTTATGGATATGGCTAATACTCGAGATGGATTTGTTGATTTGGCCAATGAACTTACGAACTTAACTTGGGTTACAGCTATCAAACGGATGCTACAAATGGGAATTTTGGTGTGGTATGTCAAGAAAATCGAGATGAAACTTAAAGGAAACGAAATGAGTTTCGAACCCTTCTTTATCAATTACAAAGATAATCCCGTTATCGATCTACGAGCTTCTCGAAAGCAACGGCAGCAGGAAGAACAGCAAAAAGAAGAGCAGGAAAAGCACAAGCAATCCTCCAAACAACCCATAATCACCTTTTCTCAACAACAAAAAGATGCAATGCTACAGCAAATCTTCCGCCATGGAAATATACCCATGGAACAAGCTTCGAAACTTACGGAAAAACAAAAGAATTTCGTAGTAGGTAGATATCTACGTAAACGACAATTAATCATGCATGAAAGACAAAAGACAGATCGAGGACACCAAGAGGGATCTCCTAATCTGAATGTTGAAGTCCCAGTACAACAACAGCAACAAAACCAACCGCCCATTCAAATCCCAGACCAGCAACCAAATCCCCACACAGAAACTATCCTAAATGACGTGGTTCGCAAGCAAAAAATGGCTCTGCAAGAGGAAGAGTCTAGATATGGTTTTAGCATGCCACCGCCTATACAACCTATACAACATGTACGTCGATCTTCACAAAGCGGCCAAGTTCACGGAAAAGTACAAGTTCATGCACAAGCACAAAAAGAAAATACAAAACCACCACCTCCCCATCTCAATTATCCTCAAAACCCCAATAACCTCAAACGATCAGCTTCGAATTTCATATCGAGTGCAAATGTTAACGGAGTACCGGATGCCAATAAGAGACGGAATATGGGGGGAGGTGCCGCTTGTACTTCTAATATGAATAGGAATGAGAATCAAAGTGAGAATGGAACTGAGATCCCTGCAGCAGAACCGAAACGAAAATACGCAGGAAGAGGAAGACCGAGGAAAAATCCAATTATGCAGCCTCTTCTTGCTGTTGGAAAATTAATTGGGAATTCACAGGTAGTGGGTGCTAGTGAGAAGGTACGCGCAGATATGTCGTCTGGGTCATTTGGGGATTGCATGCTGGATGGAAGTGCGAATGCAAATGCAAATGCAAATGGAAATTTGAAGAAAAACAATAAATCAAATATTAAAACGCAATTTCATCCGCATGTGCAACAAGCGGCGCAGATGGTGTATTATTTTCAGCCGAAAGTGGGGGTTGAGCGGGCTGGGGATGGGAGGTTGCAGTAGGTTGCAGTAGGTTAGGTTTGGGGTGGATTTTGAGTTGGGGGTGAGGAGGAGGAAAGTGGATGGATTTGTAATTTACTTACTCCTTAACCTTATAGGGATGAGGGGGAGCGGACTGCGGGTGGGGGGGTATTTATATACTGGGTGTTGATTTCGGCATGAAACCTTGGAAATTAGTCGAAGGGGGGTTTGTAGTTAGGGTGTTGAATGGGGTTTAGGATGAGATGTGAACATATGAGTGGGATATGGAGATGAAGTTTTTTTTTAGATTTTTTTTAGATTTTTTTTTGAAAAAGTCAAGAATCATACTCGAGCATATATACGGGTGCGGGGTACCTTTTCTATTCCCTCCCTTCCTGCCTCCCAACATAGCTAGCTAACTAGCAGGGAGAAAGGTAGAAAGAAAGAAAGAAAGGCCAAACGAAGAGAAGCAAAACTATAGCCATCCGATGATCTTCAAGAGAGACAATATCTAATTATGATTTATGCGTAATGATTGCAGGAGTTTGGATTGGGTATTTGGTATTTGATATTTGATATTTTGAGCTCCAGGGTGGATGATGACAGATACCCTGCAAGAAGAAATGAAATATGAAGGACAGAAAGCGATATATGAGATGAGATGAAAGTGGAAGGATGATTTAAGACTTTGGGAGTGGAAAAAACATTTAAGGATGTGGAGGGAAAGATAGGGATTGAGATGGAGATATTACAAGAAGATTTTTTCTTTTCCTTTTTTATGAAAACACTACGATTTGTTTTTCCCTTCTATTTCTTTTTTTTTAGCCAAAAGAGAGGGTAGGGGAAGAAAGTGGATGGGATACATAGCATAGCATAGCATAGCGACTTGCTTTGAAATTTTGCGGTTATTTATTCTGGGAGATGTGAATATTTGTAAAAGGCAGATTGGTACTACCTAGTAGGCAATATGCTTAATACCTATATGAAGATGGAATGATGATGAACATATCATGCAGCAGTCATTTAAGCGAAACAAAAGAAGTAAATTGATGCACAGGTATATTCCATTACAATCCTCCAACCCATCCCACCAAACCATTCTATAACTAAAACTAAAACGTAGTTTTCTTTCCCTCACTCTCCACAATACCTCCTGTCAAACGTGGTGCGTATGATTGTCTGTACTCAACCTTCTTAATAGGTCTCTCTCTTTTCTCTCCTGGAACCCTCGGTACAACAGGTTCATCATTAGCTCCAACCCTAGCACCAGATTCCCGCTCCTCACGTGGATGTCTTTCATTGGGGTTCTTTGATCCATCCTTGCCATATCGTTTCTTGTATCGCAATTGATCATCCTCTGCAAATTCCATACGTAAAGGACGTCCTTGAATCTTGTTTACCCACCATTTCCTCGTTTTGGTTTTAGGTTTCTTGACCTTTTCCGTTTTTGGTGCAGCTTCGGTTTCTGAGTCTGAGTCGGAATCGCTAGAGTCGGATGAGGATTCTTCGTCAGATAGCTCTTCTTCGATATGAACCCAGCCTTTGACTGCACTTTGAGCTGCTGATACTTCTTCAAATACAATCCAAGCATAACCCTTGCATTTTCCTGAATCTTCGAATGTTGCTACGTGGATCTTCTCAATAGCTCCACATTTCTCAAAATGTTCCTTCAGGATCTCTTCTGTGGCATCGAAACGTAGATTACCGACAAAGATCTTTTTGCTAGGTGGTTTGCCCTCGATGACAGCTTCCTTCTTTTCTGGGCGACCCTCAAAAGATTTATTATCCTTGATGAGCAGTCTTCGACCTGTGAGCAATTGTTCAGACAACTCAACTGCCATCTTAACCTGTTCCTCTGTTGCGAAATCCACATAAGCAAAACCCTTATTATGAACTGGTTTTCCAAATTTCTTCTCAACCTTATTTGCAGGCTTTCCATCATTAGGACCAGGCATATGAATTCGGGTGATATTTTCTTCCTCAAGATCCGAGAATTCCACAAACCATTTGCGTAATTCCTCTTTCGACACACTCCAAGGTAAATTTCCAACCCATACACCATGACCCGAACGTTTTTCTACTTCGGCCTTCTTTTTGGCTTCTGGTTCGGGAGAGGATTCTGCGCCTGATTTAGATGGAGGAAGTGGTTTACCCTTTTTTAAACGACGAAGGGCCTTCTTGGAAGGAGGTTCTGGGAGGGTGATATCAACTTCAATTTCTTCGACGGAGGATTTGCGCTTTTTGGTGGGTGGTTCATCGGATGTCTCATCGTTGTTTGTTTCGGCAACCTCTTGTGTAGTTTCTGCAGGATTTGCTCCTGCTTCCTCTGAGGCCTCATTTGATTCCTCACTTTTCTCTTTCTTCTCCTTTTTCGAGCGCTTCTTCTTAGATTCAGTTGTGATTATCTCCTCACCACCCGTCATCTCATTGTCGATATCCATAGACTCGTTGGAAACTGGTTGTTCGGTGATAGCACTAGACTTTCTCTTCTTGCTCTCTTTCTTTTCCTTCTTCTCCTTTTTTTCCTTCTTATGATCCTTGATTGAGTCCATAGTATCTGATTCAGCGATGTATGGCATTGTGGTTGAAAATAAATGACAATTGTTAAAAACTCCCCAATAAAATTAATCCATCAAAATTTCTTATCGAGAAACTTTCCTCTGGGCTGCCGGTGATAAGATAACCCGGATCTAACGAGGTCTAGCATAGCCTGACTTTCCTGCAGGAAGGCTGCACTTTAGTGGCGGCTATTTCCACCCTGAATTAATCTCGACATACGCTTAATTCCAGCCTGATGATGCTCTAAACGTATCGATTGTTCGAATAAACAATTTTAGTTCTGCGACATTGATCCTTTTCTTCAATTTACAACAACAATTCGAACGACAAATTTCAATCTCGAAATTGCTACGGTTCTCGGTTCCAGGATAAGAGTCGATATGACTTCCTCAATCGATGAGGAAATCTTGGGTGAAGATGTTGAAGAGCAGGAAAATGTTCAAAGCAGCCCTCCAGTGGCTTCCAAACCACCGCCATACAAGTCTTTCCGGTACGTCGCTTCCTCAATCAATATTCATTCTCCGAAATGATTCACCTTAGAGTCCGTTGGAATTCATTTTGTCTGTATATAATTCCTCCAAAACCTCGCTTTGTGTTCCTTGAAATTCCATATTTCAAAGCCACCAACAAGTTTCTCCTGTATTCAGCACGTCAATTAGCTAATATGAGCGCATATAGTAAGAAGTATCGTAAAATGCGAATAAAGTTCGATGAAGCTATGCGCCAAAGTAATTCATTATTTATGGAGGAGCAGTTGGCAGATGAAAGTGCTAAGAGGTTGGCACGAGAAAATGAGTAAGCGAAGCTTTGGAACTGCTCTTCGGAAACATGGTTAACATTGTGGTCTACAGTCGACTTATGGATTTACTTCTCGATATCAACAACTCCGAGCAAATACCTGCCAACAAGCGCATCGATTTAAGTGTCGCTGGACCTGCTCTTACAAGCGTCCCTGCTCTTGTCACAAAAGAAGAGCTTGCGAAAGCCGCTGAAGATACATCACCTGAAGGCCAAACTATCTATAAAGAAATTCAGGGTTTATTGAAGGACCGAGATGGCACAAATACGACTGTTAAGCCTTCAAAATCTCTTGCGAAACTCCTGGCGACTGTCCCGCATATTTCCTTGATGAACCATCACGTCTCTCCACAATCCTTGGCTGATTTCGAACCTCAGCCTGGAAGGAAGCATCCTATTGGCTATTTATCTGTCGAAGAAATTGATAATTACCTTCACGCAGTAGATGCAACGATTGGTCTTGCCCCCTCCCTCGCAACTGTCGTCTACCCTCCTACAACGCAAGATGTCACTCTCAAAAACCCCCATAGCGTTCTAAACTGGCTCCGTCGTCATGAGCCCAAAATCTTCCTTCAAGATGGTGAAGGCCCTATTGAAAAGATCAATACCAAACCTGGTGCCTTGCGTGGAGCAGGAAAACGAGCAAATATTCCCGCACCAACTCGTCTTGATTCTTTAGAAATTGTCGAAGAAGATGGCATTGGCTACGATACTACTTTAAGCGGACCATCCAGCTCCAAAATCAAACGCAAGCGAGACCCAGAGGATGATGGTGGATATACACCCAAATCTGGCAATCCAGTTAATAAAACCAAAAGACAAAGGCCATCCAAGAAAAAGTCTGATCCACCTGGCGAGCCAAGTACTTCCTCTAGTTCGAAAAAGAGTAAATTGAGAGCCAAAAATTCATCTCCCGTTGACACAGGTCCAGCCCCTCATCCTTTCGGCCCAATTGACTGATTGGAGTGGAAGGTCGTTGAACGCAGTTTTTTCAGTCGTACGTTAGGGCTACTACGAGTTGGTGTGGTTTCTTCTAGCTCTTACCTTAAGAGGCGATCATACCATTTAGAAGGACTCTATTCTAATTTAGTTTGAATCGATATAATGAGATTGTATGTTTTGTGGGGGAAGAAGGGGGTTCTTGATGATGGATGAATTTGTTTACGGAGTATTGAGCAGGGCGAATGGTATCTGGTTTATTTCTAATGCAAAGGTTAAGGGAATATGCATGATTTGTACAATACTAGGAGAAGGGGAATATTGAAGAAACTCTGGGATTTATAATTTTCTTTGGGAAGTCATAGAGGATGGTCAAGGAGTGAACAGAGAGAAATGAGATCGATCAAAATGTTATGACAATTCGTCTTGTGGAGCTTGTGATTGATCAGTATTGAATACGTGTATGTTTGAGCATGGATGACAATTGCAAATCATGAGTAACACTGCCGGTGAAGCAAAACAGGTACTCGAGAGAAGGTCAAATGGTCTTTAGGGTGTAGGAAAGCAAGCAAGTGAAGTTCCTAAGATACAACCAAGTCTCTCATTGAGATTAATACTCCGAACGTATGAAGCAAAGATTATACGACGAACCTCCCAGAACTGCTCAATGCTATAACCCAAGATTATAAGTAATATATTTAAGTAGTGATGTTGTAATGAGAGAAGGGGAATGGGTTCCCTGGATATAGGGGAAGAAATTGGAGGTTCTGTACTTTTTAAGGCGGAGTTTGGGGATGGAGTTCGGTGTCAATCGTGTGACTTGTGTGAATTAACAAAGATTATTTTGTACTTTACATACATGCAGATAGAGAATAACTTTTAATACAGCTCTTCCACCTATAAAGCCTCAAAAACACACCCGTATCTGAAGTCACCACCCCCTCATTCCACACACGTGACACATCATCCTTTTCCGGAACAATTCCCGAAACCCTGCACGTTACAAACCAAACGGCTCCAAAAACCCAAGTCTAGAAAACCCTTCTCTGCCAATCCGCCATTTGGCCGCTGCTAAATAAACCGATGTGGGGTAACTTCTTCCAGCTAGGGTTAATTTCCCCCTCTATGCCTCCGTTGTCGGATAGCTCTTTTTATTCGTAGGCGGGGCACAGCTGATGCGTTTTTTTACTCTATACGGAATTGGGGGTTTGTATTTTGCCTGTTTGTGGTTGAATTTTTTTGGGGTTTTTGCTATCGTTGGGTATTTGGTATTTCGGGTTCGGTGAATAAGGGTATTATTGTATTGTGTTGTTTAGTGGGTGGGTGAGGGCGTACATTTGGGGGATGAAAGTTTAGGGGATTAGATTGGGATGTGTACGTATGGTAGGGTGGTGTAAATTGTGATAGATTTGATAAATTTAATCACAATTAATTCGATTTTATTATGTTATTGTTATGTTGAGGTTTGGTCATCTTATTGTTTAGATGTGACTCCGTTATCGATCATAGCTTGGATGGAAAAATTCCTTTCTATCTCTCTTCCTACCTTTCTCTTCTCTTTCTTTCTGAGATGTTATTCTAGATTTCTTATACTACATACACGATATCCAAGATAGAATTGATTGATCGATTGATTGATTCAAATTCAATAATATCTGCCTTCCTCCTCTCCGAGACATATTTCTTCTTCCCCGCGGTTAAGAATCCCCCGCGCACCTCACATCCGCGCTCCTCACTGGTCCTCGGTACAACAAGCGCATCGCATCGGATCAACCAAGCAAAGCAAGCAGCCAGTCAATTCGTTATCAAAAGCCTCGTCTGCACCTCCTCCAGAATGTCTCTCCACCGCAGCATTACCTCTTCATTCTTGCGCACCGTTCCTCGTTCCTCAATCTTCACACCTCGATTCGGCAGCGCCATTACCTATTCGCGCACCATGGCTTCAGCTACCTCTTTCCAGAAAATCAAAGTCAAGAATCCAATTGTGGAGCTTGATGGAGATGAAATGACGAGGATTATTTGGAAGGATATTAAGGATAAATTTATTCATCCTTATCTGGATGTTGATTTGAAATATTATGATTTGGGTTTGGAGTATAGAGATGAGACAAATGATCAGGTTACTATTGATGCCGCAGAGGCTATTCAGAAGTATTCCGTTGGTGTTAAGTGCGCTACTATTACTCCGGATGAAGCTAGAGTTAAGGAGTTCAATTTGAAGCAGAGTGAGTAATTTTCTTTAGTCCATAGATCTGCGAGGATGAGGGTGAACTAGAGAAGCTAATTAAGTATCTAATAGTGTGGCTCTCACCTAATGGAACCATCCGTAACCATCTCGGCGGTACAGTTTTCCGCGAACCTATTGTCATTCCTCGTATTCCTCGTCTCGTTCCTGGATGGAAGAAACCTATTATCATCGGTCGTCATGCATTCGGAGATCAATACCGCGCAAAAGATATGGTTGTTCCAGGTCCAGGTACCCTTACCATGACTTTCACACCTGATGGAGGCGCACCCACCGAAACTGTTGTCTATAACTTTAAATCGGGAGGAGGAGTTGCTCAAACTCAATATAATACTGATGAATCCATTAGTGGATTTGCTCATGCTAGTTTCAAATTGGCTCTTAGCAAGGGATTACCTTTGTATATGAGTACTAAGAATACAATTTTGAAAAAGTATGATGGAAGATTCAAGGATATCTTCCAGGAGATTTTTGACAAGGAATATAAACCTCAATTTGATGAGAAGAAGATTTGGTATGAACATCGATTAATTGATGATATGGTTGCGCAAATGATGAAGAGTTCAGGTGGTTATGTTATGGCTTTGAAGAGTATGTTTTACCCCTCTTGATTTCCAATCACTACAAAACTAACTTTATGAACAATAGACTACGATGGAGATGTTCAATCCGATATTGTAGCTCAAGGATTTGGTTCCCTTGGTCTCATGACCTCAGTACTCATCACCCCTGATGGAAAGACCTTTGAATCCGAAGCCGCCCACGGAACCGTCACTCGTCATTACCGCGAACATCAAAAAGGTAACCCTACCTCCACCAACCCTATCGCATCAATCTTTGCTTGGACAAGAGGTCTCGTCCAAAGAGGTACTTTAGATAATACACCAGAAGTCGTTGCTTTCGCAGAAAGCTTAGAACAAGCTTGCATAGATGTAGTTGATAAGGAGGGTATCATGACGAAGGATTTAGCATTAGCTTGTGGAAACACAGGAAAGGATGATTATGTTACTACTGGGGAGTATTTGGAAGCAGTAGAAAAGAGGATGAAGGGACTTTTGAAGGAGAAATTGTAGGTGGTTATAAGAGATGTGGAGTATTTGATTTTCAGGAGAGGAAGGAACAGCAGAGGTGGAGGAAGAAAAATTAAGAGGATAGACCATATATCGATTTTTATCGCATGGTTGATGTGTATGAGCGGGTGTGCGAAAATTTGTTACTTGGTTATTTGATTACTTGAATTGTGTTTCTGGAGCTGGCTGGCTGGCTGGCTGTCTGTCTCTCTGGATAGGTAGGGGCTAGTTCTTTTTGAATATAAGATACCTTTGATGTGTTGAGTTGGTGAGCGAGCGAGTAAGCATGCATGCATGCATGTATACACTGGTTTTGGCGTGTATATTTTGATTTTATTATAGGGGGGGGATGGAATGGAGAGGTGGAGATGGAGAAGGGGTAGGGGTAGGAATAGGGGTGAGAGGGGAAAGTAGAGGGAAGGAAAGTTGGGGGAAGTTATTATATTATATTATATAGTTTTTTATATACAAATATATGAATATATTTCTTAAATCTATTCTACTTTCAGACCACCTCTAATTCGGACCCCTCTTTTATATCAAAAATAATAATTTTTATTTATTAATAACTCCATAACAAATCGATCTCCTCTTAATGTTTCTTTTATGAAGACTCTCAATAAAAACAAATAGTCTTAAGTCTAGTATAAATTAATACTGTGACCAAAAGGGTGTTTATAGACCAGCAATTGTATTTAACTTAGAATCTACAGGTGAAGAGCACCTGTAGATGGGGATAGCTACTCTATATATACACAAATGAATAGCCTAGCCGCAATGGCTAGGCAAAAAGAAGTCATATTTATTCCTCCAATGATCTTACTTTACCGATAACCATTGATACCTAGTACTTGTCCGGATCTGATCCTCAGGTCACCTAAATCGTATACTAATCTCGAGTAATCGTATCATGTGTGGACATGGTTAATGTACCTGAGGTTTCTTATATAATAAGGGTGGGAGGAAAGCAGGGATTTCCGTCACAAATACTAATATCAACAACCCGAAGCATATACATCAAATCATTTACACACACAAAAACAAAAATCACTACACTAGATCACTTAGGTATATAAATACCAATTCACAACAAGATCAAGAATCTCAAATGTGTAAAAATAAATAGTAAATTTTTTTATATTTAATATTTGAAGGAAAATAGAAAAATACCACCTAAACATTAAATCCTGATTAAAAAAGCCTTCCTTCCCCATTGATATCATCCCATCCCTGTTCATCCCATCCCAACCCATCCCAACCATTTCCATTCCAAATCTCCATCAAATCATGATAAAACATGATTTAATCATGGAGAGTAAATTTTTTTTTAAGCGATCTTTTGATCTCCTTTGTCGACTACCCGCACCATGCAGCGAAAATAACAACAACAAATATAAATGATTCCTAATTTTCGAATTCCGAAAGATCTTAGAAAAAAATCCTTTCTAATGTAAACATCAATCAGCAACCCATCCATGCAGAAATAGAAAGAAGAAGAAAAAAAGAAATCACAAAAATCACAAAATCTTCTTCTCTCCCCTCTTAGACTTACATTTAGCAGGTTGAGCAGGCGAAGGATATCCATAACCACCATAATTACCCCCCGAGTAAGATCCCCCAGGACATCCCGCAACATCACAAATGGGTTCGTATTTAGCCGCGTAGGAAGCATTGGTATATGTATAGGCCTGGCTCACAGACCAATAATCGCTTCCGCGATACTGACCCACATTGGTTGCGTAGACACTGGCCCATTCTTCGGTATACATGGAACAGTAGATTCCTTGAGGTTTGTTTTCGTCGCTGAGAACGTACACGACGAATTGGTTGCAGACGGATGGGTTACCCGTGGGAGGGGGGTGCTCGGCGTTGTATTTGGTTTGTGCGGTACAGGCGGCTGTGCAGGCTACGACGCCGTTGGCGTAGGTTTGGACGTCGTCGAATGAGAAGAATTTATATCCCATGTAGGTGTCTGTGTGTGTGACTGGGTCGAGTGGGGCGTTGATTGCTCCTCCCAGGGCGACTGGACCGGTATAACCATCTGCTGGGGCGGGAGCAGCATTTTTATTGTAGCCATTTGATCCGGCGATAACGACGTGGAAGTCCTCTATTTTGGTATTAGTATATGTGTAATTTTATTATTGACCTGTTGTGAGAGAAAAACTTACGTCTCCATTGTCCGACATTGGTAGCTGTAGCCGCTTGAATTTGAACACCCCACTTCACGCACTTGTAATTGGTGGTAGAAGCTGGATTAGCGCAGGTAGCGCCCGGATCAACTGTTGGATCGCGCTCCATGTAGATATTGAATGCGATACAACCATCTTGTTGATCGCAGTAAGAGGCACAGTTAACTGTATCGTAAGAATCCAAGGTCTTGTATCCAAGGTACGAAGTAGTTTGGGAAGAACCTTGTAAATTCTTGAATGCAAGGTTATAACCTTGGGGAGTGGCAGCTACATCGGAAATCGCAGTGTATTGAGAATCCGCTAAAAAAGCCTCTGCGGTGTCTGGACTGTAAGGCTATTTGTTAGTGAGAGTTTTTGATAAAAGCTTGAAGGCCATTAAAGTACTTACGTGGAGGTTGGAGCAGCTCCGAGAGGTTGAGGTTCGCAAGAGGAGCGCTTGATGTTATTGCGCTTGGCGACTGTACTTGGGACCGCCGTGTTAGTTACTTTTGCGGCCCCGACAGAGGTAGCCGCAGCGGATGGCTTGACGCTGACACTTTGGGAAGAAATATCGACTGGAGCATTGGAAACTGCAGCTGGTGGTAAACTATCGATAGTGCCCAAGTCAATCTCTTGAGGGATAGGATTTCCAAGGGCCAAAACTGCAAAGGCAGAAGTGAGGATTGCAGAACGCATTTTGATGTTCAGGTGGATGTGGATGTTTGATGTTTGAGAAGTGAGTTTGTCTATGAGATGAAGAAGATGAAGATGAAGATGAAGAAGATGATGATGATTTCGATTTGAGGTGGAGGAGATGCTCAATCTTATACTTCATCATCCATTGCGAGCATGTCTACTCGAGATAGCTCCATATCAGCTCTGGTGGGCCTAACTTGGACCAAGACTCTAAGATCGAGCGTAGGCAGTACCACTAGGTAGAACAAGTGCCACTTTCAATAGAGTGGAGGGTTGAGAATGGATCCAGATGCCAGCGGTCAAAGATGCAAGATAAACGTAGTATCTAGCCGCAGAGTTGAGCTACTAGTCTCATAGAATACAAGAAGCTGTTCCCTTGTACCTTCGGCATGACTTTCTATATTTTGAGAACTTTCAGATAATTTGAAATACACTTCATCCCATGTTAAGAAGGGGTCATTGGTTGTTGTACGAGATTTCCAATGTATCGTGGACTCGTGGAACTGAATAACACAACCATACGCTTACTTGTACTAGCCTCATGAAGATAGATTAATCAAAGGATTCATCCATGTGGTAAAAGTCCGAAGCGAGAAAAGGGCTGATCCACAAAATGAGGAGTGAAGTTAAATCAAGGTGCAGGCCGTGCGCATGATTGGTTATCTTCAAATCCCAAGCCTGGCTTTTGAGTGGTGGCTATGATTAGAGTCAAGAGTGCGTAACGCTCTGACAAATTTGGAAAGAATAAGCTCGCATAGAATAATCACATTTCCGTAAATGGAATTTACGTTTCACAGATGTCTTTTTCTGGTAGAGTAATTTAGCGATGCGCGGTCCAAGCCGTGAGGAAACACATGGACTATAGAACAGGTACCAGGAACAAGCGAACATCGATGTGAGCATGGCTCACACACAAAAAAGAAATGTTTTCTGGGCACGTACTTCAAAATAATGTTCCGAGCTAAAACACACTTGTTCGCCACCATGACCATACAGGACAAGAAGTGGAATGTTCTCTGTTTACTATCGACTGTTACGAACCACCGTGGTCATTGTGAAACTTCAACTGCTTCTGTATATTTTCCGAGCTGAAATATGAGTGGGTCTTTCATGCCAAGTCGATTGAACGTGTTCGTACAACGACGTAGATACTTGTCAAGAAGTAGCTTTTACAGACTTAGAGCTATTGACGCCCAAGTTTGGTTTCGGGACGGGATAACTTTTGATGTAATATCACAATTGTGTGCGGTGCGAAAAAGGTAAATAAAATACGCCTCTTTGTGGTCGTTGACATCAACGACTTTGAAAATAAAGCTTTTGATGTAAAAATATGTCTGGGGAAGATCAACAGACTTAGAGCCGATCACCCGCTGCAAAGATTACGTGCAATGACCCAAAGCTATGGCTCTTAGCTCATGCCCTTATATTAACCGACGACCCATTTTCTTCTAGCGGCTCCAATGACATGGACGCAATCAGAAACTCAGAAAAGTAATGTCAAATCCTTAATATTAACTAAGGCATGGGATCGTTGTATAAAATATTTGATTTTTCATGCCTTAACTCTCGTGATACGAAGGTCCACTACCACGCAGATACGAAAAGTCATCGATTGGATGATACAGGAAAACATGTCAGTAATGAGGGGAAGAGGCTACAATCTTGACAGCTGAGAAAACTAGGCAAGGTCTTTTCCCATCAACTTGGGCCATCCATTCTATGCCATGTGGTAGAAATTGCCCTGCCCTACGGAAGGGCCGAAAAAAACCTTCTGGATTTACTTATCTCCTTCATTTGTGATTTTGCCGCCGGTTCCGCTTCGTATACTCATGTACAGATTATTTTGATTGAGCCTTTGATATCATTTCTTTCTTAAAACAACCATCTTAGTTGCGCATACGAAGAATGGGGGTCGGGCCAAATACTGGCGCCGCATAGGCTGCATGGAAACAGAACACTTACCCTAAGTAGACTCTAAATCCGTGAGCTGGCTCAGCTAGGGTATTTTTGGAGTAAGATGAGTATTGAAATATGAGTAAGCTCAACGTCGGATAGACCGATTGCGGGAAACATTGGTAAGGAAAAACATTTTATGCAGTAGCATTTACTAGCACACGTTATCAATAAGGAAATTAATATTCCCTTTGTAGTTTACCATCTTGCGGCGCGTGCTTAAAGTGGAGTGGATGGAGTGTACCAAACCTTTTGGTCGTAAAATGACATGATTCTATGAGCCGCAGCAAGCAGCATGGTCATGACTTTCATGACCACCATGACTTTTCCTTCCATTTACCTTTCAACGCATCACGGCGAGAAAGGAAAATGCGTTTTCCGACCATCAAAATGTGGCGATCAAATAGTGACTTCGTGTTCATTTTCATTTTCACTAGAAAATGATTCGACCGACACGTGAATTGACACTATACTAAGTATCTTGTGGCTAAGACAGATGGCGCTTTCCAGACCCTATATTTGACTAACCTCGGAGCTGGAGAGAACAAACAAGGTTTTCATCTTCTCCCAAGAAAGATGGCTGCGTTCTTTTGCCTTATCATGAAGCCAAAGGTCTTGATTGTTCAAACCGAAAAGAGCAAGCTCAATTGTCCCATACAAAGCGGGGTACCTCGGACGACCGAGGACAATGTAGTGGGAATTGATTGCGAGAATTGATTTCCTGCATCGGTTTGGTGAAGCCGTGCAACAATCTGTCGGTATCCGAAGTATTGGGATGAGATCAATCACTGCATCACTTTATTGAAGTAAACCAATGGTGTACTGCATACAATCGCATCGGCGGATGGTGAGAGAGAGATCGAGTATGGAAAAGAAGAGCAATTACCTGGTAAAGAATTTATCTTAAGTTTCATTCTTTATTATTGATGACATTGAAATTTTGGTTGATGGCTGATGATTGGTGGTTGACAATTGATGATTGATGGCCGGTGGTTAATAGGTAGTTGATGATTGATACTTGATTGTTATTTCTGTCGTGGGTTTTCATTTTCATTTTTCATCATCGTTTATTTTGTTCATATTGCGACGATCATACCAACTTTCATTCATGCCTGCATCTCAGCGCGTGAATTACGCCATGCCCACGCGTCAACATGAGGTACATCTTCACATCTTCACATCTTCACATCCTCACATCTTACATCTCCCGTCTTATAAAATTATCAGCAACTCTTTTTACCACTCATTATATACGCCCCAAAAGCCTTAATTCTTTAAAATCTTGTCAGGAGATAACACGTTAGATTTTGTAGGTAAGCTTCATTTGATCCTCATCTCAACGTTCATGCGACAGATGAGGTCAGTTGCTTCTATTTCGGGGAGAATTTCTGCTGCGAGCCGTGCCGCTCGCTCTGTCTGACATTCCTTTTCTTCTCAAACACGTTGATTGTTGCTATCCTGGTTCTCAGAAATATGTAAGTATGCGTTTGTTGTGTTTCTTTAGTGTTATATTTCTTATTTCCCTCTTTCCTTGGATCCCCTCCTTTTCTGAGAGATTCCCGCGCCGGCGCAATATTTCACTTCATCTGCGAAAATGCCTTCATCGAAAGTACAACCACGACCCTCATGCGACGAGGAATCTCCCCTTATCCATTCTGTGCGACCAAATTCCACTGGCACACGCTCCCTGGTTCATCAAACCCATTCTCCGCGAATTATTATCTTACTTCTTACGACGATCGTTTTCATAATCGGGGTTGGAGGATATTTGGCTTGGATACCATCGATGCGCATTTATGAGGATATATTATGTCATCGATATTATGAAGAGTTACAAGGCCAAGGGGGAATAGGCTTGAGTAGTAAAATTGATGAAGCTAGGTGCAAGGGTGATAAAGTTCAGGAGGAATTGAATATTTTAACAGCGGTATTGGAAACGTTGAAATCGTTACCAGGTAGGGAGGAGCTCGGCGACAAGCTGCGAGATGAGAGCTGATGATATTTAGGAATGTTCATGGCTGTTCCATATGGGTTGTTGGCTGATAAGTACGAATTTTCTTTACTCCAATATTTACATTGCCAAATTTTATCATCGTTAAGTTTTTGCAATTTTCATTGTGAAAGATGTGATCTGACCTTGATATAGAATTGGACGTAAGCCAGTCTTCGCCTTAGCAATTCTTGGAATCCTCCTTTCCCTACTATTTGAAGTATTCATAATGACAGAATGGATGATGTTACCTATTCGTGTCGTATGGTTTGCACCGTTTTTACAATTTATTGGTGGTGGTGAAAAAACCGCCTCCGCAATATTTTATGCTATTATCTCAGATGTCACTACGCAAAGCGAAAGGTATTGATCCAAAGGAGATCCCCCTTTCAGGTTCTCTTACTGACAAATAGTAGAGCAAATGCATTCCTATTTGGCGCATGTGCTTCACTTTCTGCAGAACTTGTTGCACCTTCCGTAGCCGCCGCAATCATGGTTCATTCTCCTTGGGTATCAATATGCTGTGGAGTATCTGTCTTAACATCAGGATTATGTCTTATTGCTTTTATACCAGAAACACTCCATCTTCACGCCTCTCAGATATCCATACTAGTTCCAGATACATCATCCTCTCAATATCTGAGCGATTCCTCATCAGATTTCAATGAACCCTTGAAACAAAAACCTACCTTAACTCGTCGCCTCACTGATTTTTACACCACTAGTCGACCACTTCTTACTATCCCAGTTCTTCTCCTGCTTCTCCCATCTATAACCCGCGTTATAGGTCAACAATCCATCGACCTCTGTATTCGTTACATCTCCACCCGTTTTTCCATCCCCCTATCCCACGCCTCCTTAATCCTCTCCCTCCGTGCTCTAATCAACATTCTCCTCCTCCTCTTCCTCATTCCCTCCCTCTCTTCTCTCCTCATAACCAAACTCTCCTTCTCAACAACCCACAAAGATCTCCTCCTAGCACGTATCTCCTCTCTCTTCCTCATCCTTGGCGCCCTCACAATCGCCATTTCCCCCTCTCTTCACCTTACCATCTTCGGTTTAATTATCTATACACTAGGAACAGGTTTCATCTCTTTAGTTAGATCACTAATTACGGGTTTGGTGCAGCAAAAATCTGTAGCGAGGATTTTTGCCCTCGTTGCTGTGGTGGAAACTTCGAGTGCGTTGGTTGCTGGGCCTGCGGTGGCGGGCATGTATGAGTTGGGTTTGGTTTGGAGGCGGAGGTGGGAAGGTTGGTTGGGTTTGCCGTTTGTAGGGTTGGCGGGGGTTTGTGGGGTGGGGAGTTTGGGGGTTTGGTGTGTGAGGGGGTTGGGGGAGGGGAGTAATGAGGGGTTGGAGAGAGATGAAGATTTGTAGTGGGGAGGTCATGATTTGTTATGATTTTTTGCTAAAATTATTGAGGATGGAATGGTTGGGATTGGGATGGGTGCAATTCGGTGTTTGCGGTTGGGGATAAATTTGGCTTAGAACTTTACGATACGATACCATTGATCAATTATAGAAAGAAATTAGATATTTACAGATAGATAATAAACTATCCTTAATACTGATCTTCCAATATAAAATAAAAGAACACAACAACTAAATAACGTTAATCTCAGAAATTTGATAGTAAAGATATAAGTGTCACGATTCACCATTAGGATTGATGGTGTTACGATGGTAGCAAACTGATTAATTAGGAGAGCTTAGGCCGTGTGCAAACACGATCAGATTTCATCGAATTAGTATGTGATCTTGGTCACCTGAAGATCGTATGCACACGCACCATCAGAAATCGCGTGATAAGGAGTCTTGAGGAGCCAGAAAGCTCCTAGGGGCCCCCTTTATTGTTCAGTATATAATCAGAGTAGTTTCATAGTTTAGGAGCTTCGTGCTCAACTTAGTTATCAATTAGTTTACCTACATTCTACTTGATCTAGTAACGACTTCACTTCCAAGTGAAGACTAGTGATAAAGCCTTAACCCACAACTACCAATCAGACGAAACCTCAGGCAGCCGCTGCCTCCGGTACAGTATCGTTACAATAAGTCTAATACCCCTAAGAAAGCAAAAAGTATATAAGTCTAGTACCCTACTTTCCGGCCACCCCTAATTCCGGCCACCCTTTTACATCAAAAATCGTCATTTTTATCTATTAATAATTTAACAATTAATAAATATAATTAAATACAATTTAGATTATAATTTAATTATATAATTATAAATCAATTCTGAAAATTTCAGATTTTTTGGAATTTATTTCGCTGAGATTTATAATCTTAAACTTTTTGATTTTCGATTTATTGTTACGATGGTAACAGCTGACTTGTTTTCGTAAGCTTGGGCTATGTGCAAATCGGTTTCGATTCTCTCAATTTACTATGAGATTTCGGTCACCCTAAGAACTTATATGCACGCACCATCAGAGCATATAAACAAGTATGCTGGTGTTACACCTGTTGTGATAGAATGTCACATGACCTTGAAAGCACGTGATTGAACGGTGAGGAACGGACGTTCCTAGGAACAATCAGGAACGCCCGCTCCTAGGAGCAACGGCTCCTGACTAGCCATCGGCACAAAGGTCTATATAATCAAGATGGATTTCCTTTGTATAGAGCTTCGTGCTCAAGATCAATCATTTAGTATACTCTACTATTAGTTACGAATTGCATATCATTATGGTCATTACTTAAGTCCCTGCTTGACGCCTAGTTATAAACCTACCCCGAGAGCCTAGAGCACTTCTACGTGATCTAGATGGCTACCCTCGTAACAATTCCCAGCTATTTGTAGTATTGTAAAGGGCACAATCCAGTAATGTGACCGCCAAAAAACTGCAGAAAGGCAAAAACGTCGCAATCTGGCGCCTCTGCCTCTTCAGGCATCATTGTATTTATTTTGTAAATATAGTATGATAGAGAAAATCACACGATTGGAATCTGAAACCCAAGTATGCATCAAATGATCGTTGCTTGATATCCTTTCTGGCAATGTTTTCCTAAGGGATGATTTCTTGATTGTGATTTCGATGGAGCTTATTATAGAAGCCGATTTAACGATACGATTGGCACTATGAGTTTAACTATTTTCGTATCTTTTCTGATTGGTTTGACGGAAGCAAAGTGGTCACATGAAAACCAATTTGAGGTTTTATTTTTTAAGAAGACTAAAGTTGCATATATAACCCCAAAACGTATAGATTTGTGGCCTGGATCAAAGTGATAACCTTCCTCTTGTCTCAACCATCTCCCCTTGGTCGGTATTAAAAATGTTTAAAGAATATGATCAAGTTTTCGCCTTTGCCGTCTCCGATCACGACAAGCATAAAACCACTCCGCTGCGATTCGGAATACAAGTAGTAAAAATAACACGAATGCAATCCCACAAAGTATAGCTGCTACTAGAACACTAGTGAATCGGCTTATATCCCGAACAATTTGCCATGGAGTACTATCAAGAGATTCTACAGCCAGTTCCAACTGTAAAGCATTCAAGATAATTGATACTATTCCAAGAATGAACAAAACAGGACTATAAAAACGTCCAAAATAAGCACCATATTGGCCATAGACTTCATGAAAAGTGCTTTTCCCAAGAACAATCTTGATATAAAAATTCAATCTTGAAAGGCGTATCTCCCCAAATGCATAACGTCCCGTAACATCGCCATCATCGATTCTGCGGAGATCTGAAACAAGTCTGGAGAAGGATTCCCATATCGTTGCTTCCGGTAAAAGCCTCCTTTCTATAGCAATATTGAAATCGGATTCATACTATACGAGATATCGATAAGTATGAAGAAAGCCGAGTGCTGAGCGTTTAATAATCTCTCTTTTTGAGCCCAAGGGCGAAGTTGGTGATATGAGATAGGTATGCTAAAAATCGAAAGATAATAAATATTTTGGTACAGGTTTGATGAAGATCTTGTCGTAATACCAAATTAGATGAAGCTCAGGATTCTCCGAAATGACAATATCGCGTAATTTAACACCTTGATGATGGAGAGGTCCAATATGTGCGCTTGATTGTGTGGACATCCATTATAGACGAGGGGAGATTTTCTCTAATATTGGTGTACAAATATCTTTGGATATAAAGGTTGCTAGTTCCATTGTATCTTGAAGCAAAATTTGAGGATAGCCAGGTAGTCGCTGAGCTTCATTTGGATTATGTAGTTCATTATACAATTCGTGCTCTTTCTCGAATGGGTATTTTAGCGATGTTGAATTGATACTCATATTGCTGGTTATCTTATCGTTGCATTTAAGCTTAGTATAATATTCACGATGTAGAAGAATGTGCCAGGAGTGCTTGAGGGGGTAATAGTTAAGTTGAATATACCAAATTCACACTGAAAATGGGTTTCGTATATACACCGAGTACATATATGCATCGTAACACTGTGTCTGCCTCGGCGTATTGCCTGCCCAAAGTTTGTCAGCTTGCATAACTAATACTCCAATCGCATCAATTGAATATGAACAGCATATAGAATACAGCCTCAACATAGCCTTCTTATTTCTTGTTGGAAATCTATCCTCGAGAAATTTTTGAGGGCATATAATCGATACTTCTCCTGAGATATGCTAATCTTTTCGTGATTGCTCAATCAATCGTTGTTTGTCTTATATAGTTATACACCAAAAAACCCAAGGCGAAACGTAAAAGGCAAAGCTGAGATGGAAACTTTGAAGATGCCAAGGCAGATTGATCCGTAAGATTTGGGAATCTATGTACTTGTCGATTGCGAAAGCCCTTTTGTTGAATATGCACTCTTATTTATTTCATTTTACCTCCGGATAACCCTATCTTCCAATACTAACTCTTATAAAGTATAGTGGTTGTTCATGGACTTGGGGCCACACCAATGACGACCTGGACCAAAGCACGGAAACCACAAGAACATATCGATCGTAATACCGAATCTGGCATTGCACCCCCTTCTGTTCCGACGAATAAATCCGAGGATCGCGTTAATTGGTTAAGCGATCCAACAATGCTTCCAGCAGATATCACCAATGCCCGAATAATGGCTGTGAACGATATGGCCTACTACTCGATCACTACCAACTCAATAAGTTTTCCGATCCTAAGGATGGAAATTGGAGAGAACTTTCTGGTGTCATCACCAATCTTTGTGATAATCCACATCAAGAACTAGCTAATCGCATGAGTGGGAATGGGAATGGAAATGGAAATGGATATGAAAATAACAGTCGTGATGAAGGAGCTAGCTTTTCAGGCCATTTTTCTACTAATGGTGGAAAGCAATTTATTGGTAGTAATTTCAATTCGGGTGGTGGATCAATGACTTTTTAAAGAATCATCATTAAAATTAATCGTTGAAAGATTGTCATTATAAGTGTGAAGAGGGTTGTCTTATTATTGAAGCTAACGTAAGTCATGGCGTAATGCGTCTAATTGTGGGGGACCACCCCATCAAAAAAGCAACAATTCAACAATGGTCCGTCGAAAAAGTTTAAAAGTGCAGGAAATGGAATCTCGACTTGCTGAAGCAGTATTAGGAGTTCAAAATGGAAAGTATAAGTCTTCATATGAAGCTGCAAAAGAACTGGGGCTTTCTAAAGATACTGTGACGCGACGCGTCAAAGGGGGTTCATCGCGTTCTGAAGCACGTCAATCGCAACAGAAACTTTCTGCTGTACAAGAGAATGTACTTCTTAAGTGGATAAAGCAATTGACAATTAGCGGCTATTCATCAGGCCATCAGTTGTTAAAAGAATTGGCTGAGGAGTTACGTTCAAAACGGACTTATAATTTGGATTGCCCCTCATTTGACTCCCTTGAACTCCCACCACAACACCTTCTTGGTCATGAATGGGTTCCACGATTTATCAAACGACATCCTCATCTTACAGTTGTTATTGGCCGTCGAATTGAATCTGTAAGAATGGATGGTGCAACCAGGGAAACATGTAGTACTTGGTTTGACGCGTATCAAAAAGCGATTCAGGATTATGGAATTGAGAAGAAAGACGAATACAATATAGATGAATCTGGACATTCAATTGGGACAATGGAATCAACCCGAATTATTATCGATTCTACACTTCGTACAAAACATCAAGCACATCCAGGCCGTCAAGAGTGGATTTCAATGGTAGAGTGTATTTGTGCGGATGGATCCATTCTTCCACCACTCGGGATTTTTAAAGGTAAAAACGTCCTTCAAAATTGGATTCCGAAGGAAGTTCTTGGTAGCTGGTTCTTTTCAGCAAATACAAAGGGCTGGACAAGCAATCTTCATGGATTAGAATGGCTAAAACGCGTTTTCGAACCTGCAACTCATGCAAAAGCAGATGGCAAATATCGGCTTCTCATCTGCGATGGCCACGATTCTCATATTAGTGGAAGCTTTATAGCTCACTGCCTTCAAAATCGAATTGTACTTCTTATACTTCCTCCTCATACCTCGCATTTGCTTCAGCCACTTGATGTTGCGGTTTTCGGTCCATTGAAAAAACGGCTCACCGCAGCACTTTCTGATTTGAATCAAGCTCAACTTGTACGAATACAAAAGATTGAATGGATGGAGGCATATATTAAAGCTCGAGCCGATGTATGCCATCATCAAAATATCGAATCGGCATGGCGGGGAGCTGGGTTACATCCATTTAATCCACAGAGAGTGTTCCGTACACTGGGTCGAGAGTTTACCCCCGAAGTCGAAATATCCAAAGAACCAACCCAATTTGATATTTTTAATCAAGTCTTCGTCAATAGCTCACCCCCGGATGTAGCAATCTTACAAACAGCAAATAACCTTTTAAATTCAACAATTGAAAATGATACAACTCTTTCAACCCCGGTTCGTCAATACATTCGAAAATTGACGATTGGGAGTGAGCAACTTCGAGCTCAAAGTATTGTTCACCAACACGATGCGAATAATTTACGAGCTATTATGAAGAAACGTACGATACGTAAGAAAGGAAAGAGACTAGTTTTGAAGGGCCATTTTCATATTTCTACGCAAGAATTATGTGATGCAGTAGTGGAAGCCGAAAAAGCTACTAAAGTACAGACAATGAAAAAAGGAAAAGGGAAAGGGAAAGTAATTGAATATGAGACTGAAACTGAAGAGGATATTGGAGAAGAAGTTGAAGATGAATCTGAAAGTGATATTGGAGATTGTATTATAGTTGATTGTTGAGTAATTGAGATTTTAATAGAGTGGTTCCCCGCAATTAGACGCATTACGCCATGACTTACGTTACGATTCCTGATTATATAGACCCACTCATTATCGTACTTGCCATATTAGGCCTAACATCGTATGCCTCCAAGCCCTGTTAGTCCCCCACTCGATCCACACCCCATTGATTAGTTACTTTGAATCTCTTTCACGTGACAAACCGCCTCAAGGTCTCCAAAAGCGTCCCCTGTGGTTAGGCGCTCTGCGTTCAGCCCCGGACGTAAAAACAACAATGACAATCTACGCAGTAAAAGCGTCTATTCCACCCGAGGACGCAATAAACAGTTCGAGTAACTTGGAAGCTTTCGAGTTCAATTACTTCAAGTATATTTATCACAATGCCCGATCCACTTGATAGTGTTACCGCTAGAATCGTTACTAGAATCGAAGCTTTACTCCACCTTGGTAACACAGTCCATCAATATCTAAATAATATCAAAGACCCAATCACAGATTACAGCAATATCATCAACGAGATCAACTCTATATATGAAATCCTTTCTACTTTACAAGCTAATATACAAAACAATTCAATCAATAATGAAGATTGGTCGACAATTTTTCAAAGACTTGAAGACTCCGATGGCCCATTAAACCTCTTAAAGACAGCACTCCAGGAATTAACTACGAAATTCGAGGATACAGCTTCTACCATAGATGTTAGGGTTCTTCCATGGGATTTCAAGCAGAATGAAGCAGAGGAACTCTTCCGATTTGTTACAAAGCAGAGATCCTTACTATCTTTGGCTTTGAGGAATAACTATGTTGCACCTTCGACGGATATCCACAGTAATACACTCCCTATTCGTGATATCGAGGTAAGGTCTACTCCCCAAATGATATATGTAGGCTAATATCTTATATAACCAGAATACAAACCTTCATAAACGATATTACACAAATCATGATACAACTTTCAACTCGCAGTATCAAGATGATAAATCCCGATATATACCTGAAACACAGTCTAAACGACAGAGAATTAATCGACAAGGCAATTTTACAAACGCGGGCGGGTCACAATTCATTGCATCAAACCTTAATTCTGGAGGAGGGTCTATTAATATCAATACTCACACCTTGGAAAACCGCTGCCTAATCGACCTACGAACCACCGATCCACGATTGGACAAGAGACGTATCGAAGAGACTAAAGGAGGACTACTCGATAATGTATATAATTGGATTTTCGATAATAGTGATTTTCAACAATGGCACTTTAACCGAGATGATCGCCTACTTTGGATTAAAGGAGATCCTGGTAAGGGCAAGACCATGTTGCTCTGTGGTATAATAAATGAGCTGCAGAGATCGGATGAGACTGCCTTAGCCTATTTCTTTTGCCAAGGCACTGATGCACGCATTAATAGTGCTGTAGCTGTTCTACGTGGCCTTATCTATATGCTCCTAGATCGGCAGCCTGCCCTTCTCTCGCATTTACAAAAGAGATATGAGAAGGCAGGGGAACAGTTATTCAAAGATGCTAATACCTTTATAGCACTCTCTGAGATTTTGAAGGATATCTTGCATGATAAGAATTTGAAGCCGACGATCTTGATTATTGATGCACTTGATGAATGCCAAAAAGACCTGCCACAATTACTTCGCCTAATTGTTTCGGGCTTATCCATTTCTTCTCGTGTTAAATGGCTTGTCTCTAGTCGGAACTGGCCCGAAATCGAAGAGCAGTTACAACAGGCCGAACAGGGAACCTGGCTCAGTCTCGAGCTGAATGCTGAATCAGTATCTGCTGCTGTCAGGTGGTATATCCAAGAGAAGGTGAAATATCTTGCGAGAACAAAAAAATACACAACGAAGACAAAGGATACTATCGAACGTTATCTCCTAGAACATGCAAATGGAACTTTTCTTTGGGTGGCTTTAGTTTGTCAAAATCTTGAAAAAGCTCGATTATTCACGAATTCAAAGCTACAAGATTACCCTTCCGAACTTGATCCTTTATATAATCGTATGATGGAACAGATAGTAGATATGGAAGATATCGAGGCGGCTCAGATATGCCTTCAGATCCTGGCTATTGTAGTAATAGCATATCGGCCTCTTACGCTTGACGAACTAATGTCCCTGATGGAGATGAATAATGAGAATCCACTAGAGGAAATAATACAACTTTGTGGTTCCTTTTTGGTTTCTCGTAACAGGAGTGTATTCTTTGTTCATCAATCAGCGAAAGATTTCCTTTCTAAAAAGGCTGCTAGAAGGATATTTCCCGATGGAATTAGCAAAGTCCATGATAAGGTATTTCGAAATTCGGTAACAATTATGAGTAACACTCTAAAACACAATATATACGACTTGTGTCATCCCGGTTTCCCTATTGATAAAGTCAAGCAGCCTGATCCCGACCCATTGGCATGTGTACAGTATTCCTGTATCTACTGGGTTGATCATTTAAAAAATGGAGATCCTGAACAAAAGAAAGAATATATTCAAGATAATGGTTATATTCATATATTCCTAAAAAAGCGTTTGCTGCATTGGCTGGAGGTTATGAGCTTGATAAAGAAAATTTCAGAGGGTATCATTGCAATAAGCTCTTTAGAATCGTATTTTTCTGTATGTTGATCTTCTTTATTTTCTTTTTTTTTTCTTTTTCGGAATTCAGCTAATATATAATAAAGAATATTAAAGGTTCTGAACTTTATACCTTTATATATGATGCTAAACGATTCTTGCTACACAATCGAGTAGGAATTGAACAAGCTCCTCTTCAAATCTATTGCTCGGCTCTTTTCTTTGCTCCAGAGAATAGTATTATTCGAAAAACATTTCAAGAATATATTCCAAGTTGGATTTATAAAATATCAAGGACACGATCAAATTGGAGTGCCGCCCTCCAAACGCTCGAGGGTCATTCGAGTTGGGTTAGGTCTGTTGCCTTCTCACCAGATGGTACAAAAGTAGCTTCGGGCTCTTACGATAAAACAATCCGGCTTTGGGATACAGTCACGGGCGAATCGCTTCAAACGCTCGAAGGTCATTCGATTTGGGTTTCTTCAGTTGCCTTCTCACCAGATGGTACAAAAGTAGCTTCGGCCTCTTACGATAAAACAATCCGGCTTTGGGATACGATCACGGGCGAATCGCTTCAAACGCTCGAAGGTCATTGGAGTTGGGTTTCTTCAGTTGCCTTCTCACCAGATGGTACAAAAGTAGCTTCGGGCTCTCGCGATGAAACAATCCGGCTTTGGGATGTAGTTACGGGCGAATCGCTTCAAACGCTCGAAGGTCATTGGAGTTGGGTTAACTCAGTTGCCTTCTCACCAGATGGTACAAAAGTAGCTTCGGGCTCTCGCGATCAAACAATCCGGCTTTGGGATGTAGTTACGGGCGAATCGCTTCAAACGCTCAAGGGTCATTCGTATTTCGACACATCCTCAATATTTGAACAGTACTATATATCAAACCATTGGATAGTTGAAAGGTCAGATAGAGAAGTACGAAATACTCTTTGGCTACCTTCTGACTATCGGCCCTTTTGTATTATTTTTCATAAGGGAATTATAGCTATGGGATTTTCTAATGGTAGCATTTTCATTTTGAAATTTGAAAATGGAAACAAATTTCATATTATCTAAGTAAAAACCAGTTTCAGTGTATCTATTAACTACTACATCATTTGTATCTTTAATATAATATCCTTTTTTTTTCCCCTCTTTAATAGAGAGGTTGGGGGAAGTCCATGATTATATAGACTTTCTATTTGCCACCTTGATTCCAGATGTTCATATATGGTCATGTGGTATTTTTATCAGCACAAAGAAATATAAAGAATTCTTTCAACTGATGCGGCTTCGAGCCAATCATTATTAGAATTGAAGGTCTAGAAGTACAAAGAGAAAGATGTCAATTCTTGATTCTGTTTCCAGTCTTGTATCATAATTCATTGTCACGAATCCAATAGCACGTGACTAGTCACCTATCATGTGATAGATAGACTAGATAGCCGCTATCCATGCTATCCTCCTCGTTTCGTGATCCATATAAACCTTCGTTATTTTGTAGTTTAGGAGCTTCGTGTTCAACTAAGTTATCAATTAGTTTACTTACATTCTACTTGATCTAGCAACAACTTCACTTCCAAGTGAATACCAGTGATAAAGCCTTAATCTATAATTGCCAACCGACAAACGTAAGGCATCAGTTGCCAGAGAATACCGGATCGTTACAAGTACCTGATTTCGCCCTGGCCAACACTTTCATATCCGCGTAGTTCCAGTTGTCGAACTCTTTAACAACCCTTCCTCGATTTGGTCCATCATAGTGAATGCAGATCCAGAAAAGCACCCAGAAAATTGATTCGAGGTCATATATAAATGGATTCGGTGATTGCTTTGTAGATTTGATCCTAGATGAGTATATCGTCAGGATTGTCGGCGAGCGCTGCATTCAAGAGAAGTTTGATACAGTTTTTGACATGGAGAAGAGCTGAAAGAGGCACGAACCAGATAACCCTTTCTCAAATACTCATGATTTAGTTAAGGGTTCTAGAAGACTCGACGTCTGGTAAAGGCTGTACCTCGATTGCGAACCAAAATCACCAGCAGAGTCGGATCCAAAGCCTGCAACAGGGACCAAAGCAACATCACCAATAGAGTCAGACACAGAATCCAGAACAAAGCTGGCAGCAAATCCACAGAGCACACAATCGAAATCAAGATTGAAGATTACGCTATAAGTTTGAATAAAGCGAGCACAGTACTCAGCGAGCAATTGAAAAAGAGCGCCGAAAAAGGTGGATGATTAAAAATTCAGGAAGAAATTGAAAAGACGAATAAAAAGGTAATAAAGTCTCACAGTAGTTGAGTTTAGATATTTTGTCACTAACTAGGCGAATTCATGCCACACAACAAATTTTGAAGAAAAAATATTTTTTGAAATAAACCCTTTTATATCTCCATTGCACTAAAAAAATCAGCATCAATCGAATGCAATTGTCCCCAAAGAAATCCATCGATACAGCAATATTACTCACTACCGAAATCGAAAGAAATTCAAGATCCAAGAAAAAAACCTCAACTCTCTTCCTGGATGTTAAAGGTGCCTTTGATCATGTATCTATGAACAAATTATTAGATATCTGCAAGAACCTAAACCTCCCAACCAGCCTAATCGCCTGGATCTCATCTTTTTTGAAGGAAAGGCTACTCAAGCTCTCATTCGATGGCCAAATTGAAACCTTCAAACCGATCAATACCGGGATCCCCCAAGGCAGCCCTATTTCGCCAATCCTCTTCTTAATTTATATTCGAGATCTATTCTCAGCAAATTCAATCAAATATCTCTCATATATAGATGATATAGCTTTAACAACATTTTCAACATCCTGGAAAAAGAACATCATCTCCCTCGAAAGAGCAACTAAACAGATATATGCTCTGGGCAAAGAAAATGCTATTCAATTTGATCTAGCGAAGACGGAACTAATACACTTCTCTACATCCAAAGATACGAAGACAGCCTCAATCAAGCTTCCGAACGAGGAAATAATTCAACCCTCAACATTAGTTAGATGGCTAGGCATATGGTTCGACCCTGGCCTCAGTTTCAAACAACATGTCACAATCCGAGCTACCCAGGCTAAAACCTCATTCTACCGAATGGCTAGACTTGCTAATTCTGAAAAAGGCCTTAGTCCCAAGGCAATGAGACAGCTCTATATGGCATGCGTCACCAGTATAGCTGACTACGGTTCAATTTTATGGTGGAAAGGGCAAAACCAATTCAAGAAAATCCTTCAATCCCTGCAAAACCTCGCCCTTCGAAAAATCCTAGGAGTATTCAAAACCTCACCAATAAAACCAATGGAAATAGAAGCCGCATTGTGCCCTCCAGAAGTAAGGCTAAATGCTGGAATCAAACAATACGCCTTCAGATTATTGAAAATCTCCCCTTCTCATCCCGTCAATTTAATAGCTACAAAGCTGGCTACAGAAAAGGAGAATCAAGATGTAGTTGCAACCCCTCGAAGAAAGCAATTAAAACCTACTCAACTCGAAAAGATCAAAAATTCAATCCAGAAAGACTTCGATCCTCTCACTTTAGAAGGAATCCATCATTTCTACTTTCCTCCTTGGAAGAAAGAAGTTCCATATAAAGTCAATATCAGCAAATTAGGAAAAGAAGAAGCTGCGATGATCCACAATCTGGCTTTCAAATATAGGTGCAAAAATACCATTACAATATATACCGATGCCTCATCCACTTTAGAGGGAATAGGGATTGGGATCGGGATAGCGGTTATCTTACCAAATGGCCGAATTTCACATCAAGAGACTATCAATATAGGTGTGAATCAGCTTGTCTATAATGGGGAGCTCCTAGGAGTTACTAAAGCGATCGAATACGCAAATTCAATAGCCCAGCCAGGAAACAAGTTCAAGATATACTCAGATAATCAAGCAGGATTATTCCGGTTGAAAACCCCCTCCGATTTACCTGGTCAATCATGCCAAATCAAAGCTATAAAAGCTGCGGAAGCTATTCAAAATAAAGGAGCCGAAATCTCTCTCAATTGGGTCCCCGGACATACATTTGTACAAGGAAATGAGCTAGCTGATTCTCTTGCAAAAGAGGCGACCAAAATACCATCCTCATCTCACGAAACCAGTTATGCCTCCATTGGAATGAATATAAAAAGAATTGTTGGTACGAGAAGGATACGGAAGACGTAGCACCCACGGATTACGTAGGTCCTGTATGTCTAATTGTATTCTGTCTAAAGAGCTAGCTACATATTGAAAGTAGTAAGTCTTATATAGACTTACTAAAAGAGCTAGTCTCTTTCGCGTTCGCTTAGTTCTTTATTACAGTAGTAATTGAATTGAAGTCATTCACTTCGTTCACACAAGAATGAAATCAGAGAACTGGATAGCCATCCTTAACACTAACAATGTTCATCAACTATCGTCAACATATTCAAGAAACTACCCCTGGAAGATCAGCTCAAAAATCAGAGTTCCAGGAAACATCAAAAGAAGCACAATCTGTGCTCTGTTCCAACTCAAAATTGGACACGGATACTTCAAATCTTATTTGAAACGATTCGGGATCTCCTCTAATGACAGTTGTAAATGTGGGGGAAAGGAATCTCCTGATCATCTTCTACTCAATTGTCCTATATATAAAACGGCAAGGAAAACCCTCAATAAGGATAATCCCATAGTCCGACCTACCATGAAATATCTGCTTCATACTAAAGCAGGAATCATCAAGACCCTCGAATTTATCGAGGCGACGAGAATAGCCACCAGATCATGGCATCTCAATAGAATGCATGAAGAAGAAGAGGAAGAAGGCGGAGAAGAAGGGGGTGGACCGGAAGATTGTGATTGAATTGATCAATTATGGCCAATTTGGTCAATTTAGTCAATTTGGTCAACTTGGTCAATTTGGTCAATTTGGTCAACTTGGTCAATTTGGTCAATTTGGTCAACTTGGTCAATTTGGTCAACTTGGTCAATTTGGTCAATTTGGTCAATTTGGGCAATCACCCCAATGTCAAATTTCATTACATTTCATTTGTTATTCCTCTTATTTGAATACGAGAGTATCTGTAAGGCGGGCTTGGTTCCCTAGTATTAGTTTTCACTTCCCCCATTCAAACATTAGAAGATTGAGGCTTTCAATCTCCCCAACCTGTATTAGCTACGGTCGAATAAGGCCAGCTACCCCCCATGTATTATTGTTAGAAGCCTACAAAGCTCCTAGCCGTCTTAGATAGTCATAGACTCAGTGTAGACGTTAATTTAATCAATCAATCAATCAGCAGGAATAGAGAGAAACAGAGTTTAAATACATTTCTCCTACAGGCAGGATACCCATTAGAATGTATTCTCTACAACTTTCCGCGAACGCTCCTTATCTCATACACTCGCTTATCCCAGCCAGCGACTCTTAGCTCTCCAGCGTATGGGTCATAATCGGCGGATAGCCCCATTTCAGAAATGACTATAGCTCCAAGCGAACCATATTCCGGCAGAAGGATCAAGTATATCGCGCCTTTAATCTACTTCCATTTCCTGTTATGCCTCTTGTGATCGCCAATATACAGTTCAAGTGCTCGCAGCTTCTGGCCGTCCGTTTGAAGTCCACAATAGACTACAGGGTCTATGATAGCGATCAGTCTATCTCATCATAAATCAGCCCAAGTCAAGGTATACACCGCATATCACTCATCTTGTAATACGGAAAGCTTGCCCGAATTCTTTTGCTTTACACTGAGGCGATTCGCAACACAGCTGAGCAACCAAGCAGATACATCACTATTGTGAGGCATTTTTGCGATTGGGCAATGCATAGTGAGGGGTCAGGAAAGACCAAGACAAGCCCACTTGTCACCAGTGCTATCGGGAGTATGGTCAGGGGAGGATGCAATGGGTAAGAAGGTAAATTGGACTTCGTTGTGGGCCTCAGCATGTACTTTGACTCGTGCCATTAAAATTGTTTGGTTGATTGCCATTCCGAGAAATCAATATTTGTCGAATTCGCAATGGTAGCTTGATTCTGATAGCTAGGAGAGCTGCCCTCTACAAGCTTCCGTGCACTCTCAATATACAAACACCTCGGTCCCGACACAGACCCCTTCGCGCAAGACGTGTCCCTAACGTCGCCGGGCTAACGTCATTAACCTTGCATTCTCAGTGTGGAATGCGCCTATCTTGTAGATTCCCACTCCACATGTTCACAATTGACCAATCTCGGCGTTATTTCGCGATCGTCGGTGACAGTATGTAAATAGAACCTTCCCTTTGTAGAAACGAGACTATGCAGCTCCAGATGATCGTATATCCGCTCTGGCGTCAATACAATATCCCTTCAGTAGCAGGATATTGAGCTGATGATCCTTCCCAGCTCAATATGAGGTCCATCCTTCTGATATGACAGCTCTAAATAGAGCTTGTTCCGAGGTCATACGGCCTGTCCCCTTGTAGATACCCATGGAGCGACCCAGACCTCGAACCGCCAGCGTTTCGTCGTCGATACTCTGGAGATTGCAGTATATAGTAAATATAGGTTGCTCTCATCACAAATCAACCCCAGTCAAAGACAGACTATACACATCATTATTGTTGGTACGAGAAGGATACGGAAGACGTAGCACCCACGGATTACGTAGGTCCTGTATGTCTAATTGTATTCTGTCTAAAGAGTTAGCTACATATTGAAAGTAGTAAGTCTTATATAGACTTACTAAAAGAGCTAGTCTCTTTCGCGTTCGCTTAGTTCTTTATTACAGTAGTAATTTAAATTGAAGTCATTCACTTCGTTCACACAATTATTTCGCCGTGCAGAAACTTACCATGATCCTTCCTTTAGCACATAAGCTATCCATAGCGCAGTGAGACAGCAGGGGCACCCCATGCTATAATGAAGCATTTCTTTGATTGGCCAAATTGCAGTGAAAGCAACCAGGCCCCAGGGTAAGAGTACTGCAGTTGGGCTTACTGAAGTGATTGTTGTGGTGATCGCAACAATGCGCTGGTGAGAATGGAAAGCCGAACTATTGTCTCCTTCGTAACTCGGCTAGTAGAATGCGAGTCAGTTGATTGATCGTCATCATAACAGCCAAAGGGCATCGAGTTCAAGGTAGTAAATCGAGATTTGTGATTTGAGATGGGTAATGCCGTCGACGTTTTTCAGCTGTGGCAAGACCGATGTAAGTGGAGATTCGATGTGGGGCGGTATGGGAAGGGACTTACAATGCAAGTCAAGTCTGAATGACCGAACAAGGAGGTGTTGGAAGAGAACTAAAGAGACAGAAGATCGAGGAGAGAGGAGCGCGATTCTTATAGATGTTGAAAGCGGCGGCTGGGCTCGTGCACGCACGTTGCCTGATGCGGCGGCCGCTAAACTCAGGGGGGGGCAAGCACCACGACTGAGATTATAAATAATAGTATTATTATTTAAATTTAATATTTAAAACTTTTATTATATAAAAATTTCATTTTCTCTTTTTCATCTCTCTCTCTCTCAATTACTACTTCTTAATAATTATTCTTCTTACTCTCTTGTTACGAGGTTTGCCGTCTAGATCACGTGGAAGTGCTCTAGGCTCTCGAGGTGGTTTATAACTAGGCGTCAAGCAGGGACTTAAGTAATGACAATGATGCAATTCGTAACTAATAGTAGAGTATACTAAATGATTGATCTTGATCTTGAGCACGAAGCTCTATACAAAGGAAATCCATCTTGATTATATAGGCCTTCGTGTTCTGGCTCTAGTGGCTCTAATTAGATTCTCTAGAGCTGCTGGCTCTAGAGGCTCTAACTAGATTGATTAGAGCCAGTCACATGATAGCTTTGATCCTGTGATTAGTCATGTGATACGGAAATATGTTACCCGTTGTAACACTCTCATATTCATCTATTATTCTTACACATATTATAGAATTAATTTCATTGTTCCTCGTTCCTCTCAATCACCAAGATGACACAAAATCCAGAGATCATTTTATATCATTACAGATCCTCGCCATTTGCTAAGAGGTGTGTACACGTTCCTTTCTGTTTTGATGAAATTCGAACTCATGTTAATATTTGAATAGAATCGTATGGTATTTGAATCTTCGAGGGATTCCATATGCAGAATGTGTAAGTCTTTGATTATCTATCTGTTCAAGTCATGAGAAATTATTCAAGGAATAGTGTTGATATCTGAATAACAGCTTCAAGGTATGATCATGCCCAGGCCTGATATTGAAGCTTTAGGTACCAAGTACCGTCGCATACCTATCGTTGTTATTGGTCGTAACATATACAATGATACACGATTGATTCTTAAAAAGCTTGAGAAGCTCTATCCCGATTATCCCCAAATATCAGCGTCGTCAACATCTTCACCTGATCATACGGCGATTGAAAAACTTCTTGAATTTTGGACTGTCGATGGTTTGTTCTCACGAGCAGCACAGTTGATACCAACGAACTTACCATTGATGAATGATCCCAAGTTCACTTCCGATCGAGAGAATTATACTGGCAGGAGCTGGGAGAAAAATAGTCTTGCTAGAGGAAGACCTGAAGCTCTGGCTGCTTTGAGAGGAGCCTTCGAATTCATGGAGAATACCTTTTTTTCGGATGATCGAGATTGGATACTTAAAACTTCAAGTCCAACATTATCGGATATTGAAGGTATGACGACATGAAGATTGTCATGATAGTTCCATGCTAACTATGAAATATAGCTGTGTGGCCATTCCATTGGTTAACCACAATGCCTGGTGCATTATCAGAAGACTATATTTCACACCAACAATTCCCTAAAACGTTTGCATGGATAGCGAGGTTTGATAAGACAACTCGATTAGCTGCAAAGAAGGTTCCAAAAGCTAGAAGACTCCTAGGATCCGAAGCGATTAAAATAGTGTCGACATCGGACTTTGTGGAGATGGATGAGATAGTGGATGCTCTAGATCCTACCGGGCTTCAAAAGGGACAGGAAGTTGAAGTCTGGCCAATTGATACTGGAATGAATAATAAGGATAAGGGGACATTAGTAGGACTTTCATCGCAAGAGATTATCATAGAGTCTCACACGAAAGATGGAGTAAAGATTAAAATTCATACACCTCGTCACGGGTTTAGGATTCGAGGTATTATTAGTAAGGGTGGAGGAAATGCAGCGAAACTTTGATGCCCCACAATTGAATTGGATACAGGTACTTGGGATTTTTCGGAGATCGGAGGTTGGTCCGGTGAGTTAAGTTGATGTACCTAGGTACATATATTAATTATAGTGCGGTACCGCATTAATCAGGAGGGGAAGATCCTTTTTACCCGCTGTGCAGCACTGCAGTGAATTAACTGTACAGAGTAATAATTCTGGCATCAAAAATGAAGGTCATTGGGAGATGAAAAGGCAAATTCGTGATTTGTGACTTGGATGATACAAGCATGAATGGACATGAGTAAAAAGCAATCCTTTGAACTATGTTTGTAGATTACATAACCTTATTTGATTGGTCGATATCGAGTACTCCGTAAGCAAGTCAATTTGTTGATAGAAGCTAGTATTCAAAGTACCTCTGTACTCAATTCTACGCCTACGCTTCGAATATTGGATTCTCCGTTTGTAATGGTATACCGTAGTTGGCGCGGAATTGCCTACCACACGAAAAGATAGCGACCCAACACTAGAACACAAACACCCAATTAATAAATCTACTAGGTAGACTGAACTGATTCTGAGAAATGGGTAAATTGCTGTGTATCCATAGAGGATCGATATCAACAAATGTGGAATACTCGTACATCAAATATTAAGGAAAAGCAAAAGAATACCAGACTCGAGAGATTTTCTCAAACATTACTCCCGTACACCCATCACAATGACCACAGTGAGTTAAGTGAGTTGAATGCATTGACTTTGTCTGATATGTTTAACCATCTTGGCAAAAGGATTCGCTTGGAAATATTGAAAACCTCGGCTTACCTGATCCTATTGATTATTGATTAGGTGTGGAATGAATGTTGATGTAATTGAAATACTTTATCGTCTACCGTACTCTTCACCTTTTTCTCACATTTTTTCTTTCTAATCAAGGAGATGCTGCTGACGAAAATGGACTAGAGCTCACATTGACACAATGGATTTAATCAGAGACGAAGCCCGGTTATTGGCTGAAAATGGAGTGGGACATGGCTTTAAAGCCCACGCTAGTTGAAAGCACTCTCTTCCAAATCAAAACAAGAGTCAGCGTCATCATCTTTCGTCATCGTTTTTTTCTCCTGCACAATTATTTTTCCACCAAAGTCACGAACGCCAAAAGAGAGAGAACTCGAAGCCGAAAAAGAAAAAAGAAGCATAAACAGCCTCGAATAATCGATATCATTCTAAAAACCTTATCTCGAGATAAAAATAAAAGGCAGAGCCTCATTTACCGATCTGGAGATTGATTCATTTGAAGAGAATTTCCTCGAGAGGTGGATTATTGATGAAATTGATAATTGATAATTACCTAGCCAGTACTCTCTACCTACCTATTTGAATAAAGGAATTTTGAAGTTTTCGACCGACTTTTATTAAGAGGAAACGGCTTCCTTTTTCAAGACGACCGGCCGCAATCTGCAATTTTCACGCTTTTCGCAATCGAATCCATCGAAAAGGTTACGTCACCGCTAATTATCAAGCCTTCGAATCTTTGAAGGTTTGAGGGAAGAAAGAAAGAATATCGGTACCCCGTCAGATAGATTTGATTGATTGATTGATTGATTGATTTTCTACTTATTAATCAAAAAGAAAGAAAAGGAAAGGAAGAAGAATAGTAACCTTGGGAGTAATTCTTCCTAAAAGTTATTCTCCCCCCCCGCGTCTTTATATCCATCTATCATCTAAAATAGGTACGTACCCTCCTTTTTCAAGATTCTGACATCATTCAAATCTTGTTTCTCATCTGAATCCACAGCCAAATCCGTCCATCCAGCTTGATCAAGATAGAAGGTATCCAGAGTCGCGAAAGCACACAGTGAAGCAGCAATAATAATAGCAATAGCGCAAAAAGCAAAAAGCAAAAAGCAAAAAGCAAAAAGCAACCCAACGCAATACAACACAACACAGCACAACACACAACACACAGGCACACGCGCGCACACACATCTTACATCAAACCAACCATCTTAATTGAAGATCGATCACTTTAAACTTTCGAAATCCAATAATCATTCAATAAACGGAGCAAAGGCTGGGAATTGGGGAATATCTTCTCTTTTAACGGCTCGAGCTTCAAGGAATAATTCCAACTCCACATCACCACCCAAACCAAGAATTACATTCCTACAGTGCTGAAAGTACTAGGTACAGTACTGCGAACCTCAATCCAACCTAACCATACACTTATACGCCCATACAACTATACCCTAATCTACACACGCTATCTGCTCTGCCGGTATAAAATCTACACCACTTTCGTCATCATCGTCATCGTCGTGTAAAGGACAATCAATACTGTAAGAAGCTCCATCATCTATCCAGCCAGCTACACTACGCTACCTTGAACGCAATTCATTGCATCGTCTCACACCTGCTACGTCTTCTTGGTGGTCATTCCTCTTTCCTTTCCCATCATGGTGTCCTTTTCACAGAAGATCGACAGTCCTATAAATGATGATAATTTTAAACCTTCAGGCAAGCATTCCATTTAATTGACTTCAATCCTTTACTTCAGTTCCATTCAACTTCATCTATCCAATTCCGTTCTCTTACTTACATCCTTATACCTCTTCATCCACAATGATATGCTACACATTAATGACTAAAGAACTAACATGCTTTCTTCAGCAGCCGATTCAATAATATCAGATGCCACAGTAAAGCCTGTACTGTTAGAGACAAGCCGTCCACTCCCAAATCCACCCGTGCCGTCGCGCAATGAAGTGAGCGATTATATTGCAAAACGGTGTAATAAACTTGAAGAAGAAGAAAATCCTTTCGATTCTCAATTCGGAGGTGGTCCTGCGAAACTCAATCCAGCCAAAACTCCTGGTGGTACCTTACTACCTTCGATTCAAGCTTTACAATCTGGATCTTCACCTGGCTTTAGTAATATGGAAGGATTACGGTCGGGTCCATTGAGTCCCAATATGCTCGCTGGTCCAAAAGAACCTGCCGACGATTACTTCTCTGGGGATCATAATATGATTGAAGGTCCGAGGGGTTTCACTCCAATGGAATCTGCTTTAAGGCATGAAAGAATCCTACCATCACCAGGGAATGTTCTAAGCCCTGGTAATCCATACTCATTGAATTCAAGTTCACTCATGGGAGGAATAGCAAGTCCAGGAATTGGAATGTATAGCAGTGGCATTGTCGCAACACCTGGAACGGCAGACTTTCAGCGGACTGCTTCCGAAATCCGTCAACGTCAAGTTGCCGCTAGTCTTAATGAGCAAAAGAGAGATATGAACATTACTTCCCAACCTCAACAGCTGACCGAAGGTAATCGTAATGACATGTCGAACTACCCTGGGGGTGGTGATTACACTGCAGCCCAGAGCCTTCATATGTTGGCTAATCAAGCTTCGGCATCATCTCGGGATGCTTCGCCACATTACAACATTGCCCTGGGTCAACCACGACAAGCACAGGCCTCCACACAAAAATTGTTACTAAATCGAAATCAACAAACTTTGAACCAACAGATGAACCCTATGAACCCTATGCAAGTCAATGGTCAAATGGCTGGTCGATCAAACGACCCATCTGTAATGAATGGCCATCCTATGGATTCGAGAGACAGGAACAATTCCGTAAACTCAAACTCATCGAGTCCGGTGAGCAATGGCAATAGCATTGGTTATGAGAATGACATGAACGGAAATGGTAGTCAGTCAAAGAAGAGAGCAACCACAAAGCGAAAGGCAAGCGCCAACAAGACTCCACCAAAGAATAACAAAAGGACCAAGGGGGGCAGTAACGCTTCAAAAAGGGATGATGATATGAAGAATGAAGAATTTACAAATGAAGACCTAGATAACATGGATGATCAAGGTGATTTTGAAGAGAATGAAGACAACAACAACAACGGCAAACCCAAGAAACCTGAAACAGATGATGAGAAACGGAAGAGTTTCCTTGAACGAAACAGGTTAGTTTTTCCTTCATGACATGTGATCTTTCATGCTAATTAATTTTCAGAGTTGCTGCTCTTAAGTGTAGACAGCGTAAGAAGCAATGGCTCAACAACTTACAACAGAAAGTTGATACCTACACCAACGAAAATGAGGCTCTACAACAAAGAATCCAACAAATGGGTCACGAAATTATTCAACTTAGAACCATGCTTTTGGCTCATAAGGATACTCCCATTGGTATTCAACAAGGTATCGCGGCATTTGTTCCACAAATTTACGAAGAGATGCCACAAATGCATCAAGCTCAAAATCCATATGGTATGGCTGGAATGCAACCATCTCAAAATCCCGCCATGCAGTAAATCTATGATTCATGGCTTCAAACGATGTGTCACGCTAGGGTACCTTGATGAATTCGAAAATGTTGGATTCACGAATATGCTCCTCTACACAAAAATAATTTGTATCATAGATTACTTCTCGATTTTCTTTCGTACATCATCTGGAGCTGGAATCGAAGGAGAATTCTTCTAGCTTACAGGTATGATCTTCATTCCGCTTATACATATTTTTCTCTTACACTTAATTTTTGACAGAGTCCAAGTCCCGGATTCTATTCAATTTACGATTAAAATGTGCATACATGGTGGGGGTATGTAACCATACTTTCGGCGCTGGGGAGGATCGGTGGTTATTTTATTGTTTACCAGGACTGGTTCAACAAAACGTATATGCATACATGTACTCTAACTGAAAGGAGGTTTTGGTTCTGAGACATGGTTGGGTTTCGCGCATGGTAGGGTGTGGTGATGGGATATTTGATTTTACTCATTCAATTCATTCATTTCCTTTTCTTAAAATATTTGGGACTTTTTGGTCTCCTGGAAACGAAATGGATTGGACTGGAGTTGAAGGGGAAAAAATTTACTTCGGGCGAATGGAGTTTTTCTTTCCTCGAGAAACAGAAATTTGAATTGAATGGTTGTAATGTTATCGAATGTCAATTAAGTTTTTGGTTCTTTTGATTTTGTGATTCTGTGATTTTGTGACTTGTGAAATGCCTGTGTTGTGTGACTGTTTTTTGTCATGGTGGTTTTCAGATTTGTTCGTAAGGTTACTTGGATGGATCGCTTACTTTTTACGCGTCACTCGCTAGTCTAGCTGTTTCTATATTGATGTCTTAATATCTCAATATCTTGATATCTTGGCAATGGAAGAGAGGGAGAGAGGGAGAGAGTGGTTTGGGGGGGGAGGGGGGTGGGGGGGTGTTTGTGGTTTTGTGGTTTTGGAGGTTGTGCTTTAGATGGGGTGTGGATGTGAATGTGGATATGAAGGAGAATAAGAGTATGATGAGAAGGGGAAAGGGGAAATAGGAAATGGAAGGAGGGAAGTGAAGGAGGAGGGGAAGGGGGAAAATGGTTGGATGTATTTTGATGTTATGCGTAGGTGGGAAGAGGTGGGTTTATTTTGAATGGGATGGGATGTGGAATTTGTTTGGGTGGGTGGGTGTGTGTGGATAGGAGGGTAGGAGTGTCTGGTTTATGTGTCTATATGTGAGATAGAGATAGGAGTAACTTGAAGAGTGGAATTTAAAATGATATCGAGAAAGAAAAAAAAAAGAATAAATAGATAAAATAAGATAAAATAAGAAAAAAGTAAATAAATGAGAATGAGAATGAGCGATTGGATGTAAATGAGTAAGAATGAGAGAGAGAGTAAGAAGACAAAAGAATAAAAGAGAATAAGAGTTTAATATAAGTCTAGTACCCCACTTCTCGGCCACCACCTAATCTCGGCCACCCTTTAACACCAAAAATCGTGATTTGTACCTATTGATATTTTCACAATTAATGAATAAAATTAACTAAAATTCTAATTATAATATTATTATATAAATATAAAACGATTCTGAAAATTTCAGATTTTTCGCGATTTTATTAATTGAGAAATTAAAAGTTGAATTTTGAGGTTTTAACTTGGATAGGTGTAACGATACTGTACTAAAGGCAGCGGCTGCCTAAGGTTTCGTCTGGTTGGTAGTTGTAGGTTAAGGCTTTATCACTGGTATTCACTTGGAAGTGAAGTCGTTACTAGATCAAGTAGAATGTAGGTAAACTAATTGATAACTAAGTTGAGCACGAAGCTCCTTAACTACGAGACTAAATGAATGTTTATATACCCTATATCATCTTTTGAGGACCTCTAGGACCCTAAGGTCCAAAAGGTCCTCGAGGTCACGTGAATTAATGAATTGTGACAATAGGATTTATAAATAAATTATTAAATTATTAAAACTTGAAATAGCTTATATGTAAAATTAATTGAAAATAAATTGTATATCTTTTTTAATTTTGAAATTATAATAATTAAAAAAAATGAGTTTATTCTTTTGTTATAAATAATCATTTTAATAATGTGACGGAAATCCCTGCTTTCCTCCCACCTTTATTATATAAGAAACCTCAGGTACATTAACCATGTCCACACATGATACGATTACTCGAGATTAGTATGCGATTTAGGTGACCTGAGGATCAGATCCGGACAAGTACTAGGTATCAATGGTTATCGGTAAAGTAAGATCATTGGAGGAATAAATATGACTTCTTTTTGCCTAGCCATTGCGGCTAGGCCATTCATTTGTGTATATATAGAGTAGCTATCCCCATCTACAGGTGCTCTTCACCTGTAGATTCTAAGTTAAATACAATTGCTGGTCTATAAACACCCTTTTGGTCACAAATAAACACATTCAGTTCATTAAAAACACTCGTTTCAATAAAAACAATCAGCTTACTAGAAACACTCGATTTATTAGGAACATTAATCTCATTGAAAACGCTCATTTCCTTGGAAACAATCAACTTATTAGAAACGCTTAGTTTATTAGAAGCACTCTTTGATATAACACTTATTGAGGAGATTTTTCACGCGAAGACTAATTGGGTTGATTTAGATTAGTCTCCTTGTGGAAACACTATATCATAAATACTTGTTCGCATATATTCTCGACTGAGAACTAAGTCGTGGTGATGATATTCTTCTCTGTGAAATACTTCTCGCCATTCGTTAAATTAACTGCATTTGTTAAAAGCCCTATTGTAGGGGGATTCCCCCGACTTCAGGACGACTATCATATGTCCACCAGGTAGTCCTATTCAGCTGTTAACGGATATTTGTTCGGTGAAGTGTTTTAATGGATTTCATGTTCGAGAAATTTCTGGACATTCAAACATTAATATGAGAACGATTCAAATATTGGAAGGTCAGAACAAGTGTCAAGGTTAACGTAGTTTGAGACTATTTAAGGCTATTGTCAAATAATTCGAAGGACTGTGTCTATCCCCTTCGGAGTGGCTCTCTCGCTAATTTCATCATAAATTAGTGATCATAGAGTCAAATAATCAAATAGGTTGGAATATACTGGCAACAAGTTGTCTATCATCCAGCTCTTCCACTTTAGGCAAAATCAAGCAACATCGAAACTAAACATATCAGATGAAGCTTTATTGCTTCGTGAGCTGCGATCCATAATACTTGCACTTGGATGTTTGAAGGTTTCCAGCTACCTTCTGACCTCCTGCAAGAAAAGTTTCGATATAATTTTAGTTCAAAAGGCAAGTATCGTATTCACATGTTCAACTTTAGTCAAGCTCGCAAATCCAAGGGCAATCATAACGGTTTCAAGCTATCAGAATTTTTCGGATTCAATCACAAGGCTTTGTCTTCCATCCTAACAGCCGCCAAAAATTGGAACCTATTGAAATATAGCCATGAGGACGTCTTGCTTGTTTGTGTTAAACCATAATCTTAGCTGGAGTCCGTTGCAGAGCTTATGACTAGGCTACCGATGGGACGAGCCCCGCGATCACACACTTTTGACTTTCAAATTAATTATAAAAACCTCAAGAGGTAACTTTACTTCTTTCTTTACCCCTCGTTTTCTCGACAGCGATAACAGTCACTGCATTCATTCCAACCACCAAAGGTACCGCAACAATTTTTAAGATTGCTCAGCTTGAACTGATACTAATAAACAATCGTGTTTCAGATTTGGTACTCAATTGGTATAATACATCGAAATACGAACAGTATTATGTCCTCTTATAAGATTTATTTGTTGGAAGCTGCCATCTGCATCTTTGCCCTTATAATTTTTGCCGATGGGTGGGATTATGCTAAAAAGTATCAAGTTCCTAAAGCAGAGGCACGGATGAGAGCAATAATACTTTGCGACTTATTGCAGACGCCTCCAAGTAAACGATTCGAGAGAATTCTGGATCTGTTGACCTGAAGAATGATTATATGAACCCAATTAACCACTCCTCAAGGGTGGCGTCACTTTTGGGCAACAGGATCTGTGCTTCTTTCTCGTCTCGAATGAAAATGAGAAAGAGATGCTTCATTTACCCAATAAAGTTCTTTCGGAAATTTATCAACATCTTGAGAAAAGAATCCGGAGGGAGGGATAGCTTGAGGGAGAGCCTAAAGGCTTTATGGTCTTGACTAAGATGGGATAATATGGAATGGCGTGCGGGGTATGGGAGCAAGTTTGAGACACAGCGGGTTTCACTCATTGTCAGTAGAAGGAAAATTATACTAACTGGTACTAGATACGTCAATTACACGAAGCAAAAGAGACAATGCCAATCAATATCTTTCAAATTTGTGAATATGTTCAGCGTTTCTACGCAAGATCCTGTGATACTATATTGTGTGTCTTAATATCGCAGAATGCCAATAAGCTTTCTTTCCTTTCTGGCGATTCCGTGAGAGATGTGAGCCGGCAAGGTCAAGGAGCCCATGGAGAAGGAAGCCGTGCGAGGAAGTGATCTGGGGAATAACGTACTGCCACACATTCCACCTAAATGGTAAGTTGCTGCAGCTTAGACTGGTTAATGCCGTGTGCGAATTGATAGCTCGAGGTCGGATAGACTCCAATGTGCACCCACGATGGGTTGACATGGTGAAAGTGCAATTGGATTCGCCGAGGTTGAGGGAGTTGAGATGAAGGGCGATGGGACCTGATTTTCTTCTGCTTGCAAGCCATGCACCCGCTGCGGGATTTAAGGTGATTTCTTCAGGTTCCCTGCATATTGCTAAGCCTGAGTCTCATAAGGTGGATTTGACTTCGAAAACGCGTCAAGTTGCTGCGTGCGTAAGGTCAACATATTAGCGAGGATGGAAATGAACGATGGTACCATCGAGATGAAAAGAAATTGTCTCTGGTGGTGGTGCGGTGCAGAACTTTACTGCTCAGAATTAGAATTGGGGCAATGAGAACCGACGGAGTACGAAATGTGGAACCGCAACCCGAGGTGCGTCAGGATGCTAAGCTAAACTGGTGGGGTAGTTTTCTCAAGGACATAAATACATCACTAGGATCGGATTTGATACCGATTGGGGCCTAGTGATATGGTCAATATAACTTCTAATCCATTTTCTGGGAAAGCTCAAGGACCGGAGACACAGCCTCGACAGCCGCGAACCACCCCAAACTGAGTTTGAGTCATGGATATCTTTAAGGAAAAAATGTGCAGAAATCTCTGCGCTGCAAGCATTCGATATCCCATCAATAATCGATACCTCATCACCATTAAGGGTTTAATATAAGAGAGAACACTTCGACCAAAGGTCCTGCCGAGGACGTCGACCAGGTTTGACCGCCCACATCCGCTTCAATTCTAGACATAAGTTCTTCACGTGTAATCGAAGTCAAACTCTCTTATTTACACTGCTTCATCCAATCAGAGAACTAGCAGCGCCGCAGTTTGTCAGATATCATATCAAACCAGGCTTGCCACCGTATTGTTGCCGTCGCAGCTTGTCAGGTCCTTCCAAGCTATTCACCATGAAGAAGGGAAAAGGTGGAGAGAAACATGAGTATCAAAAGAGTGCACAGGTAGCACCAGATCACTATAACGATAGCGAAGGGGTTATTGCCAATGGCAGCTGCCACGAAGCCGACAATGCTTCACACACTTCAGAAGACTTCGATTGGGAGAAGCCGCCAGCCTACGAGTTTCGCGGGTCTGGTCCAAACATCGAGACGAGTGTTGTTGCTCAAGGTAAAGAGAAGTTCTCTGTTCCAATATTTTGATTAGTCAATAGGTTGGGAAACAGTATGTATTACTGACATCGACCTTTTTCAAGATGATGGGAGAGTTGCCATAAATTTCATCGCCACTGAGAAGCTACCCATTCCAATTCCAGCAAAGCCAAATTCTTATACCCCACCCAATATTACTAACTCAAAGTCACCGTTTTTGAACATCGTGATTCAAATCGTCGGTAGCAGAGGTGAGTCGTGTTTTTATCTCTATACTGGTTCCATATCCGTGGCTAAATCTTCATAGGCGACATTCAACCATTCATTGCCTTGGGAAGCGCGTTACGAACAGCAGGGCATCGTGTGAGAATTGCAACGCACGATGTTTTCCAAGATTTCGTTAAAGCGACCGGGTTAGAATTTTTCCCTATCGGTGGAGATCCGGCATCCCTTATGGCCGTAGGTGAATTCTGTCTATGCCTCTGTCTTCTATATTGATATTTCACAGTACATGGTTAAAAATCCAGGAATAATCCCAAAATTCGAAACATTCATGAGCGGTGAGATCTCACAGAAACGCAAGATGGTTTATACTATGCTTGATGGCTGCTGGAGATCCTGCATCGAGCCAGATCCAGAAACAAATATACCGTTTGTTGCGGAAGCAATAATCGCCAACCCACCAAGTTTTGCCCATGTGCATTGTGCAGAATCTTTGGGCATTCCTTTACATTTAATGTTTACGATGCCTTGGAGCCCTACAAGGGAATTTCCTCATCCTTTGGCCAATATTGAACGGTCAGATGCGGATTTACGGACTACGAATTACTTGTCCTATGCGCTTGTGGAGATCATGACTTGGCAGGGGTAAGACACCTTCGCTGGGGACTGATGTCGAAAGATGTGCTAATGAGTGTTGAGACTTTCTGATATTATAAACATGTGGCGCAAAAAGTCCCTTAGTCTCGAACGAATACCAATGACAATGGGCCCTCTACTTTGCGACACTCTTCAAATTCCCTTTACCTACTGTTGGTCACCTGCATTTGTCCCAAAGCCAGCTGACTGGCCAAATTATATTGGTAAGACGCATTCTCTTGTGCAGTTAGAAGACTAACACAATCAAGACGTGTGCGGTTTCTTCTTTAGAGGAGAACCAGATTATACCCCTGATGCGGAACTAGACAATTTCTTGAGAAGTGGTCCACCGCCTGTATATATTGGCTTCGGTAGCATTGTTCTTGACAGCCCAGAGAAGTTGACTAATATCTTGATCGAAGCTGTTCGAGCTTGCGGGACAAGAGCAATTATCTCCCGTGGTTGGAGTAAGCTAGGTTCTAGCCTAAACGAGCATGCCAACCCAGACATTCTTTTTCTAGGCGATTGCCCTCACGGTGAGATTGGCATGCATCTTTTCTGTATTTGAAGGGCTTGAACTGACTGACTCTTTTTAAGAATGGCTGTTCAAGCACGTATCTTGCGTTGTACATCACGGTGGTGCTGGGACCACGGCATGCGGTCTTCTCAACGGACGCCCAACAGCCATTGTTCCGTTCTTTGGCGAGTAAGTTACATTCCGTCCTTCATACGTCTCGATAATACCCATGTTCTTGTCGTCAATACTCTGGAATGATATACTAAGCTGATGATTGATCTCGATTAGCCAAGCATTCTGGGGACAAATGATCGCCGCAGCAGGTGCAGGACCACTTCCTATCCATCACAAATCTCTCAACCAAGGCAATCTCACAGAAGCTATTCAGTACTGTTTAACAACCGCAGCAATGAGCGCAGCCGTAGAAATCTCACAGAGGATGAGACAAGAAAGTGGTGTTCAGAGGGCGGTACAATCCTTCCACACAAATCTTTCAGTAGATACCCTCCGCTGCGACATCCTTCTCAATCAAGCTGCTGTATGGCAATACAGTAGTAAGAGTAAGAACGGACCAAAAAAGACCATCAAACTATCCGATGAAGCTGCTTTCATACTTGTAGAGCACAAGAAAATCGACCCAAAGCTTTTGAAGCTGTAAGCCTGATCTTCCTTGCAAATCATCCCATCCCTAATTAAGCTTCACGCGCTAATCAAACACAAGGTACCAACCTAAACCAATCTCGATCGAAAATTTTCGCTGGGATCCAGTATCAGCCGGGACCCAGGTTCTTCTCAGCACTATGACCGACTTCACCATTGGCTTCAGCGAGATCTTCACCGGGCCCGCGAATGCCTTTCGAAGCAAAGAAAACGGCGGGGGCGGTAGGGAAGCAGCTAAGACTTTTGGGAAGGGGTTTGGAAAGATGGTGGGTGTTGTTCCAAAAGCTACACTGGTGGATTTTCCGTTGGCTTTGACGGAGGGTCTGCATCACATGCCTAGGTTGTATGGTGATGAGGTAAGGGGTCATGGCAAGGTTAAGGATTGGAAAAGTGGTGGTGTTGTAGCTGGAAAGGTAGTTCTAACTCTTCTTTACTTCCTTGGGTATAGTTTTTGACTCTTTGGAGCTAACAATTCCTTCGCAGAATTTCGGCTACGGATTCATGGACGGTCTGTCTGGTACAATCACCAAGCCCTACAAAGGTGCTAAAGAAGGCGGCTGGGCCGGTTTTGGAAAGGGAGTGGCGAAAGGAGCAATGGGGCTAGTCACTGGACCTGCATCAGGCATGTTTGGTCTCCTTGCGTATCCCTTTCTAGGAATGTATAAATCCATTGCTACGTCTTCGCTGTCGCGCACTGAGAAGAAGATTATACTTGCGAGACAAGTGTATGGGAGTTATATGGCGAGGGAGAGGGAGAGAAAGAATGAGAGAGGGGGTGATGGCGGGGAGGGGATGGTGCTGGCGGGGTGGGAGAGGTTGAAAATTAGTGAGTGAGTTTGAGACTGTAGGAAGAGAGCAGGAAAGTGGGAGAGTGGGAACCTGTTGTACTTGTGTATACAGCTCTTAGTGGACTTGCGACTGTAGTAGTTGAGTAAATATGAGGTTTAGATCCCAAGTCGCAGGTTATAAAGTATTTATAGCTAATTCCGCTGTTTCTCGGAGCTATTATGGTTGCTATTGGCTTCCAGCTGGTATGATAAATCTCCACCAACTTTTACTTTGTGAGAATATTTTAACAGACCCTCACTAATTATACAGTTCCAAATTGCACATGAATGAGAGAGTATGAAGTTTACAGCTACTTAACATTATCCTTTTCGTTATTGTATTACTTACGATTCCAGTGTCTTTGGATATAAAGCTCATTAATTAATCATTCCGGAAATCACTGACCAGCGAAGTCTGATAATGTAAGAATTTCAAATATTAGAGATTTCAACTTGGGCAGGTCTGCAACAGATCTTGAGTGATTAAAATATAAATTTCCAAAAAAGGAAAAAAAAAAAAGCGTAGCTGTTTCTCCAGCTTGAAGCACACCCTAGAGGTTCCATATTCACTTCCCACACTCCTATTCTTTAGTTCCACTTACCATAATATGATGTCATAATCCCAGAGAGAGAAAAAAGAAGATGTATAAAAATATTCAAGTATCCATTATCAAAACAGTACACTCAATAAAGGAACGGAACCCATCTCAAGGTGGCGCAAAGAATATTCTGTGATAATGATCATCCGGTGTTCTTGATGATTCCCTGGGGAAAGGAGACTATTAGTTTATTATCTCTCTAGAGCGGCTGCTCGTCTTGTAAGAACATATATCCTTGTTTTCATTATCATTGAGTATTCAAAATTGCTGTTTAGCGTTGGAAATATACGTCGCCAATGAGGAGAGATCCATAACAGTGATATTGAGCCGGGCCAAAGTTCATAGTAATAGTTGAAGAAGTTTCGTTATTTGTTAAAAGATCTTACATTTTTTTACATGAAATATGAAATCGTCTTGCAAAATGTCTCTCTGGGAGTAGTGGACCCTAGGACATGTACGATTTCCCATGGTTAACATTGCTTACCCTAAAAGAATTTGTGACAGAAGATCTTTTTATACCAATCAAGCCAGCTATCTCGCGTTTCCTCTTATTATTCTCAACCCACCGAACTACATATAGCTAATTAGGCGGAGTATGATTAGGAGCAAATGGGTGAATATGATCAATCGTCTTTCCACGTCCTGCTCTCATCTCACTTTCATACTCCCACTCTCTGAATCACAAGCTAGCTATCAAAATTCCCACAAATCACTATAAATACACACTATGTCTTTGGATAAATGAGAACTTCAAAATGATTCTTCCACGTCAGAAAGCGGAGTAAGGAGATACAACGGATGTGTAGATGAGAGGTAATTCTCCATTCCCCCCCCCCCCCCCCCCCCTTTTTTTTCTCGGCGTTGAAGCCCAAAGATTACTTGAGTAACTCCTGGATCTGTAACTGGTGAAGATAATTTGGGATGGTGCTAATTATCAATGCTATGGCAAATTGTAGATGTTGTCGTTATTCCTCATTCTTATCAACTCTATTCATCGTCACAATCACTCTCACCATGATCAGAGTCTTCCATCAAACTAGATAGAAAACAAATTAGCTTTACAGTTTTCAAGAACCATATAGAACGACATCCCTCACATTATCTTTATAATGTACAAGGTCATTGGACTAGAAGTCTATATAAGTGTCCCCAATCACATTCGTGCACATGAAGACTCTAGAATAGATGTTTAGTAGTATTTATAAAACTTTAAAATCTCATAAATTCACCTAGGTAATTTTGCTTCACCCCTCTGCCGCATTTATATTTTGACTGCCTACAGACTTCCATAGATAAGCCCTATAAAAACTCTCAGAAATTCCAGATATTCTAAGTAGTAATTACATCTAGGAGGATCTTGAACGATACTAGTAAGGTTCTGAATCTAGACACTCTGCTAATTATCACAGGAAAAGGCAAATTTTTTGATATTAGGGAATCATTCATTACATTAAAAGTTTACTAGGTAAGGTTATCTCTGACTGCCTTTAGAGCACAATATAACATCGATTCCTCCCTTCAGGTTATAATCTTAACAATGATTCAGATAAGGTTAATCGACAACATGTAAATTATACGGTGTAATTAATAGCAATATATAATTCAAAAGTAGTGCGTAAGGTTAATAGTCCTACTGTCAGAAATACATGAATTAAACCTAATATATTCCCATAACAACAACAGCAGCAACAACAACAGCAGCAGCAGCAGCAGCAGCAGCAGCAGCAACAGCAACAACAACAACAACAACAACAACAACATCTAAACACCATCTAAACACCATCCACCAACCTTTTCAAAGAGAAATTCGAGAATAACAGAATAGGTAAAAGTATATACACACTTATCACACATATACTCAGCCCACATTATAATCTGCCCATTTTTCTTTGAAATACGAGTTGCATATATGAAAGATGAAGAATAAACAAATGAGATGTGGTTTAGTTTAGTTTATATATCCATAGCTTATTAACTAGTCTAGCTATCTATCTATTTTATTTTAATTCAGATAGTAGTAATCTTACCTTCCGAGGAATAGATACCAAGAAAGAAAGTAAGAGTAAATAACCTATACAAGCGAACAATCAACGTATAAGAGCCTCTCTACCCCTCCGTAATCCGGCTTCCTTGAATAAGGATTTTTATTACGGTGATATTTAAGAGGTATCCAGGATAGATATAAGAGCTTAGAAAAACTAATAATGTATCTATATTACAGTCTAGGCTTTAAGCGTCTAGTCTGTACAATAATTACAATACAAATCCACACTCTTCCGACCGCAGCTAGAAATAAATCTGAAGGTACTTTCTCATCACAGATAATATCCATATTTTTCAGTCCGGGATTCAAAGTCACTGTTTTTGTTTAACGGCTAGGATAATGTTGTCATCTATTCATCCTCACCATCATTCTGATTCAAAACCCCGTTGTCACATGTATCTAAATCTGCAATCATATCAACCACACCCGCGCTCTAGTTGCCCAAAAAATCCTAGAGTTCTCTGCCCTCCACCACTCCCCAAACCCATCTTGAGTGGTCAATAAAATGGTCCTTGGTACTAAGAGCGCGAACATTGCGCAGAAGTGTATATTTTCTCAAAGAGACTTACCGGTTCCTTTTATAATCTTGGGGTTATAAAATTGGGCGGAAAAAAAAAAAGCGAAGGAGCGATAGCTCATGTTGGATCTCTCCGATTTTTGAAGAGAAAGGAATATCTTCTTGAACGATAGCTATAGCATCGATGAGAAATTTGAGAAGTGCACGCCACAGCACCATTGGTTTGGTTGTATACCTAAAGTCTTGCATTCAAGTTGGTAGATTTATGTATACTATATATATGGTATAGACACAGTGTTCGTTATCAGATACATCTTCTTAACCATTAAAACCATAATCTTATGAAATCGTTGAAACCTTTAAACCCCTCTCCATTGATATCCAAAACTTTCTCTTAATTCCCTGGTATTTTTCAGGAAATGTAGAACTCTAAAGACCCGTTTCTTGTCTAAATCGATTTAAATAAATGACCTGACCGGGTATCCCAGATTATGTCAGGTAATTGAAGTAGATCGTGCTTTATAATCGAACATCTTGTACTAATAAGCGGTAGAACCCAAAATCAATGACTACATTAATGACAATCATTCCAAAGCGACTGTCTTTGGTTTCCATACTGCCCAACTAAAAGATATCACAAATTTTATAGCAGCAGCGAGCCAAAGGGCAGCGGGTAAACCAGCAGAAGTTTGACTTATCCAACCACCTATAATACCACCAGAAAGAATAGCAAGAACAGCGCATGCTCTTCTATTCCTCTTGATGTTGTCCCAAGCAAGTAATTTTGGATCCGAGGCAAGGTCACAATAGACACTTGTCAAAACCGTTGTAGGTACTTCATTGAAACCAAGAATTCTTGATGTAACAATTTGACCACCAGACTGAAAAGCCAGGAATGCGAGTGGTATCAATTCGACGAAATTGACTTTATCTTCAAGACCAAGGAAGGCGATTGGTTCTGGGACCACATTCGTTTGTACCAACAGAGCAGCTATTATGATGCAAATTCCTTGGAATAGGAAAGAAATAGCCAATATTCCGCGACTTTTTCCAGCACCGAAATGTCGAGTTTGTGCGAAGAAGAGACAACCGCAGAGGAAAAAGAATATCGAAATTATGGATTTGACCCAGCCGAATGGACGAGTGGTAGTTTGCGTAGAGGCGCCAAGAGCTAGGAAGATGGTATTTCCTATGGACAATAAAGCGTTAGCAACGGCAAAAATCGTGTAGATTTATTAATAATGCCTACCAGTTTGCATAGAAACAAAACAAGACCAAGTACTGTAAGCACTACTGTCGCAGATACCAGCCACGAGAGCACATGCTATTATTGGAATATCGGCATGAACGAGAGTAATCTCTTCACTGAGATGGGATTTCGCTCTAGCCAGTAGAGAAACATGAGGGTCTTGAATTAAATCATTTTGAGATATACTGAATGAAGGAAGAAGCCTTGTTGTTGGGAGAGAGTTTTGAGCTTCGGTGCTCGATTCTCTGATTGAAGAAGTGTTGGTCATAGTGACTCGGAATATTTCACCCCGAGTAGCCTCTATTGGTTGATGAAATGATGAATTATTATTGACTGAATGATGAGGGAATAAATGCTCAAGGATAAGGCGATCTTTGAAGCACGATTATAACATAAATGTACAGAATATATATTCGAGTAGACACGAGTCAGAGATGTCTACAAATGATACTGTGAAACAGGAATTCAACGAGAGAATGAGGAGCTGATAGTTTGATAATGACCTCGAGGTATGATCACCAGATGTCTTTTAGGACAATCTTTGGCCTCTATATATAATTTTTAGAACCTATATTATATATTTAGATTTTAATGTATAAATTCAGTTGTCAAACTATAAATTATGAATTTTAATTTATACCACACAATTATATTTATCAAAACTCAAATTCTTAAGTCTATAAAGAACTTTTAACCTTAATAGATTACTAATACCAAAATACTATTTAGGAATTCAGGCTAATAAGAAGTTAAGAACTCTAAATTAATATTCAAACCCTCAATCCAGGAATGGAATTATTAGTGATTTATATTTATACATATATACGAACACTGAGACTTGCTTCTAAAAAGGACGTCATACGAAATGAACGCTTGGATGAATAAATAACCTTATCGATAATGAGTAATTAATCACCGGCATTATCTAGATATCATTCCGGACCCTTGAGTTTTGAGTCCGGAGTGGATTCAGAAAAGATGGGAATTTTCAGTTTCGCATATGAACCAATCAAGAAAGTAACATGCTGAGTAATTCAGTCGACGAAAAGGCTCAAAGCGGCTTTGAGTTAATCCGGAGACTAAACCGAAAATAGCAAGGGGCTTTTGAGTTTTTTTTAAGGGTCAACAAGTACTATCTGATTAAGTGGGGATTTGCGATTACGCTCCACGCACCAAAAAATTCCATTATCTCTATCTTTTTTTTTTCTTCACCTCCTTGTTTTTCTCTTCACCCTCCCATCAAATCCTTCATCTTCACTCCTCATCTTAGCCACACGCGGCCAAGATACACTTCAAGAAAAGCATTCAGCTCGTCTTGTTTCTTCATCTGTTGTCTTTTTAAGACTTCCCCTTCTGCTCGGTCAGAAAATCTCCACTCCAAACCATCAATCTTTTTCGAATTGCGACCAGTCCTAGGTTACTTTTCGACCCAAAGAACACATTTTCATTTTCTCTTTTTCAAAGAGTTTTTTTGTTTCTCACGAAGCAGAATCTTCACCATCTGGAAACAGATTTATATCGATTAACTGAATCATTTAATCGCGTACATTAATATTACAACTTTCGAAAGGGTTCCCAGGCATAAATAATGCCACATCTCGAATCCCCCACTCACGAGATGCCTACAATGATTTCAAAGACACCAAACGGTGTCGCCCCAACACAAGCTGAGATTTCCGGTATTCTCGATAGCATTTTCGAAGCCAAAACTTCCGCTGCATCAGTTGATGCGTCTTACGCTCTCTGCGATCTCCTTCTCAACTCGGTCGGTTTTCGGGGACTTCAGGAGTATGGTATCTTAGCACAGATCAAGAAAGCTGCGGCCGATAAGAAGAGTGGAACTAGAAGAGAAAGTGCTCAAAATCTTTTGGGTGCTCTCTTTGAACGCTTCCCCCCTAAGCAAAAGATCTCCGAGGTTGTCTTCCTTTTGCAAGATGATAGCACGGTGCCATGTGCACTCGACGCTCTTGCAGATAAGGGTGCAGTAGTCCGCGACGCTGCCCAATATGCTCTTGATGCTTTATTCTCCAACTTGAACGCTGAAGCTCTCGTCGTCGGTCTCCTTCCAATTCTCGTCACATATCTTGCCAAGCGCACCGGAAAATGGCAAGGAACAGTCGCCGCCTACAAGTTGATACAAAAGATGGCCGACAAGGCACAAATGTCCGTCGGTGGCACCAGGGAAGAAGCTGATGAGAAGGATTTGTTAAGAGAGATCATGGGCGTAAAGCTGGCACAATTGATTCCTCTTGTCGAGGCTGGAATGCACGACTTAAAGTCGGAGGTTGAGAAGCAATCCGTCATTACTATGACTTCTATGACCACTCTTCTTTCCAACGACGATGTTGCTCCAAGAATCCCACTTTTGATCGAAACTATGCAAAAGCCAGGAAAGGAGACCCTTCAAAAGGCTATTCACGCTTTGTCGCAAACCACATTCGTTGCTATTGTAACATCTCCCGTCCTCGCTCTCCTCACACCTCTTCTCGAAAGATCTCTCAATGATCGCTCTACTGCGCAAGAAGTCTTGAGACAAACGGTTGTCGTCGTTGAGAACTTGACAAAGTTGGTTCATGATCCCGTTGAGGCTCGTACTTTCTTGCCAAAGTTACAACCTGGTGTGAAAGGTGTTCAAGAACGTGCATCTTTGCCAGAGGTTAGAGAAATGGCTGATCGTGCCATGAAGGTCATGGACAAAGCCATGAGTGATGATGCCGGTAACGTTGCCAATGGCATAAGCCTAAACGCTAAAGTCACCGCCGATGAGGTTTCCAAGGTCCTCGACTCCGAAATTAAGAAAGCTGGTGGAATCGCTGGTGACTTGGATATTTTCAAGCTTGCCAAGCCATATATCTGTGGTATGGTCGTTGAGAATGTCAACCATCGTACAACTGATCGCATCGCATCCAACATCACACCTTACCTTGAGCAAATCATGAAAGAATCAGGATCCGCTGCCACTGTTGGTGACGCTGTTCAGCAGTTCTACGTCGACGAAGACCACCGAAAGTTTGGAGAACCAGTAAAAGAAGATGATGGCGAAGTTGAAATCGTCAACACAAACTTTTCTTTGGCATACGGAGGTATGCTTTTGCTCAACCACACCAACTTGCGCCTTCTTAAGGGCCACAGATACGGTCTTTGTGGTCGTAACGGTGCTGGAAAATCGACACTCATGCGTGCCATTGCAAACGGTAAACTCGAAGGTTTCCCAAGTCAAGATGTTCTCCGAACATGCTTTGTCGAACACAACCAAGGAGAGGACGCTGATATTAGCATTTTGGAATTCGTCGCAAAGGATCCAGAGATTGCAAAGGAAGGTCGTGAACGTATTTCCGAGGTTCTGACTGAGGTCGGCTTCACTGCCGGTCCAGAAGGTCGCCAATCCGAGAAGGTCGGATCACTTTCAGGAGGTTGGAAGATGAAGCTTGCTTTGGCTAGAGCTATGTTGATGAAAGCTGATGTCCTTCTTCTTGACGAACCTACCAATCATTTGGATGTTGCCAACGTTAAATGGTTACAAGAATACTTGAAAGCTCACACGGAGATCACCAGTTTGATCGTTTCTCACGATTCTGGGTTTTTGGATGAAGTTTGTACCGATATCTACCATTATGAACCAGGAAAGAAGCTCGCTGTTTACAAGGGTAACCTTGCTGCTTTCGTAAAGCAAAAGCCTGAAGCGAAGAGTTACTACACCCTTTCTGACTCTCTTGTCAAATTCAAGTTCCCTCCTCCTGGTATACTCAGTGGTGTCAAATCTCAGACCAAAGCCATTCTTAGAATGACCAACTGCTCATACACTTATCCTGGCGCCACCAAGCCATCTCTCTTCGATGTTTCCTGTCAATTGACTTTGTCTTCCAGAACCGCCATCATCGGAGGTAATGGTGCCGGAAAGTCTACTTTGATTAAACTGCTCACGGGCGAAACCATTCCAACTGTTGGTACTGTAAACAAACATCCTAACTTGCGTATCGGATACATTAAACAACACGCTTTGGAGCACGTTGAGATGCATTTGGAGAAGACTCCCAATCAATATCTCCAATGGCGTTATGCTAACGGAGACGATCGTGAAGTCCACATGAAGCAAACACGTATCTTGTCCGATGAGGATAAGGCTCAAATGGAAAAGTTGGTTGATCTTGGTGATGGATCAGGTGGAAAGCGTATCGAAGCTATTATGGGTCGTCAAAAGTGGAAGAAGACTTTCCAATATGAGATCAAGTGGGTCGGATTGTTGCCAAAGTACAACTCTCAAATCTCTCGGGAAACTTTGGTCTCCCTTGGATTCAATAAATTGATCCAAGAATTTGACGATCACGAAGCATCACGTGAAGGTCTCGGTTTCCGCGAGCTTACTCCAACTGCCATCTCTCAACATTTCGAGGACCTTGGACTCGATCCAGAAATTGCCAATCATAACGAGATCTCTGGTCTATCAGGAGGACAAAAGGTCAAGGTTGTCATTGCAGGAGCTATGTGGAATAACCCTCATCTTTTGGTTCTTGACGAACCTACCAATTTCTTGGATCGTGATTCTTTGGGAGGTCTCGCTGTCGCTATTCGTGACTACAAGGGTGGTGTAGTCATGATTTCTCACAATGAAGAGTTCGTTGGTGCTCTTTGCCCTGAACAATGGCATGTCGTTGCTGGTCGTGTTATCCATAAGGGAACCATGGCTATCTCAGCTGATCGTTTTGAGGATAGTAGACCATCAAGTGGCTTCAACAGCAGCGTTGCAAGTGCTGCAACTAGTGCAAATGCCAGCGCTGTTAACAGTGGAGTAGAAGATAATGGAGATTTGGGCTTCAAGGCGAAGAAGAAGAAGAAGAAGACTAAGAAGGAGTTGAAAGATCAAGAATCTAGAAGAAGACTCAGAATTATTCAATGGTCCGTAGAAGTCCATTCTATTATATTTTTGCATCATACTAACTAAATTTATAGGTACAACATGCCAAAGGGTACTCCACCGCCAGTAGACACAGACGACGAGTCATAGAGAGTTACATGGCAAACTTTGTTTCTTGCATATATGTTCATATTTGATTAGAAATTGGTGGTCTGGTCTTATAGAAGGGGTTTAATTCTGGATTGGACTCGTATCATATAGATGGCATGATCTTGCAGTGTTCATTTCATGCTCTCACGAATACGGTCACATCAAAAGAATGGCGTTATGCGTAAATTATAGACGGATTGGATGGGATCTTGTTGATGTTTTCATGATAGTTATGATTATGTCGAGACAATATATTTTGTCCGGTACTTAATCAGATAGATGGAGGATGGCTGATGAAGGCGTTGATACTAGACGCGGTAAACTGTATAGGCAATCAATTGAAATTGTTAGTAGATATATAAATGTGTTTTAGTGATGATATCTTATGTTTGTTATAGCTTTACGAGAGGTTTTAATATATGTAGTGAGTAATACTCAGGCAAAGAAGTCGAGTTCTATGGCTTTGGCTTTAGTGTTTCCATCAAGTGATGCAGGAACAGTGATTGTGCCCACAACCTAGCTACCTCGGGGAATAAAATAGACCGATTAGATAGATAGATGGATAGATAGATGGATGGATGGATGGATGGATGGATGGATGGATGGATAAATAGAAAGATAGATCCCAAAAAAATCTATTTTTAACGAGTAGTTTGACAAACAAAAACGACTGTACGGAGTACAGAGTAAGGAATTCGTAGCAAACAAAAGTTTGGATACCTGCATATGGCGCAGTAATTTATCCGAACTTTTTTGTATTTCTTTTGGTTTGGTTGTGTGATTAATTGGTTGGTTGGTTGTTTTCGTGGGTATACTGACCTACCTAGTTGGTAGGTAGGTGGTGGGGTGAAGTAAGTAATAGATAGATATTGTTGGTGGTGGTTTTGGGTTTTATGTGATGGGCTGGGTAGGATTATGGGTATTTTGTTTGGATGTATGTATGTATGTGTGAGGGAGTGAGGGAGGGAGGGAGGGAGGGTATGTGAAATTACCTGGAAATTAAAAGGGGTTTAGTAAATTATTGGAGAAAGAGATATCGTGAAGATATAATCGTGTGTAAGGATATGGAAGAGATGGGAAAGATGGTGTGGTATGTACTCAGTAGATTACTATGTAAAGACTTCCATATTGGAAATGAGGGGTAGGTTGATTGTAACCCTAGATTAAAAATCACATTCTCCGCCCCCCGCTCCGCCTCCAAACCTCACCAATTTTGGTCATCGCATCTCCAAGTGCTTATTCTGCATATGCTCAATGTTACTATAGACTTAATTATAGAATAATACTAAAATACTAAAACCTATCAAAAGTTACACTGATTCTCCACCTCACCTCTTGTACAAATTATTTTCTTAGATATAAAGTTTGTTATTGCTATTGCAATTGTAATTGACTTTATCAAAACATAATTAATCGCTATCTCACCCTCAATAAATAATCTATATAAAATCATCATTATAATTTTAATTTTCAATCTCAATGTCTAGCTCCTCCATCCCATCATATTTACAAGATGTTCCAGCCCTAGAACCCCCTCCTGGTATTACTTCCAATTTGGCACATCCGGAGGATAAAGGTTATGTTCTTATTATCGTTTGTTCTATACTTTTATTTCTTATGATATTATGTTTTTCAGCGCGGGTGTATGTGCGGTTTACGAGTAGGACTTATGTTTGGGGCGATGGTGAGATTTTTTTTTTTATTTTTTTTGTATTAATTAGTAGATTGTTGGGAATTTGAATTTGAAATTTGAAATTTGGGAATGTGGCTAATTTTTATTTGTTGGTTTAGTTACTTGTTTGTTTGCTATTGTTAGTATAATGAGAGGGTATAACTGTGGTATACTAGAGATGTATTGTCTAACGTAAGGGTACTGCTTGAATAGATTTTCGCGATAGCTTATTATATTGCGTCGATTATAGGTTAGTATAGATTCTGAATGGAACTAGAATACCTGCTAATGGCATAATATTAGGTGTTGTGAAAGGTCCTGTAGGCAAGCATCAATGGGATGTCACTATTGGGGATGTAACAAGCGATGATTTCATCATAGTACGTATTTAACGAATGCCTCCCCTCTGGATCTCGCTAACTTTCAGTCTTTCACTAGGCCGTTGCATTCCTCAGCAATGTTTTATTTTCTCCCACTCTCCTTCTCACCAAACTCACATTATTCGCCCTTTATCTGGAATTATTTCATCCCTTCAAATGGTTAAAAATATGTGTATACATCGGCATCATCACAACAAGCATCTTTTATCTCGCAACCGGAACTCTAATGACAGTATGGAGTTCTCCTAGTCATGGACAAACGTGGCAAACTCATCTTTTTACAATGGAACAACAATATGCTCAAATTTACGCGTCGCCTTTTGCGGCCGTGGGTTTGGCTATCGATTTATATCTTCTTGTTCTTCCGTTGAAGGCGGTATATGATCTTTACTTGCCGCTTAAACGCAAGTTTGAAGTAGGAGTTGTCTTCTTAACTGGGATTTTGTATGCAACCCTGTTCAAACTTTCACTAGGTATTATAACCTAATTTCTGAAACAATACTAACAATTAATACTCCCACAGTGCATGTATCGCATCTACCCTCAGCGTCTACTATCGCTTCATCAATAAGCAAAGCAACACCAAAGATACAACATGGAGTCTACAAAACGTAATTATCTCCTCGTAAGCCCAAGATCTCCCTATCATTCTTAAAATCATTAAATATAACTCCAAAAAACAGATTAGCCGAAATGTTCATCGGAGTAATCGTCTCCTGTATGCCCGCAACATGGAATTTTCTCCGTCACAACCACCAATTCCTAGCCCTAAAATCATACTCATTAAAAATATCCTTCCGATCTCCCAAACTCGGGAGTAAAACCTCGACGTCGTCCACAAATGAAAGTAAGATTACCAGATTAGATACGCCTGCAAAATCGCTATCGGAAAGAGTGCACGTGGATTCTTTACATGGAAAGGAATATAATAATTCTAAAATAAAAACTTCTTCTTCTCCATCGAAAGAATATAAAAAAGAGAAAAAAATTCCGCAGATGAAATTAGAGCTCGAGTCTTTTAGGAGTGTGGAGACGTATATTAGGTCGGATGGAAAGATGAATTACGTAAGGGATGATCGGATTCATCTTCAGCGGGATATTTGGCAGACGGGTCATATTTAATGGGGAATGTAGGGTAATCTGGGGTAATCTGGGGTAATCTGGGGTAATCTGAGGTAATAAGAGTTTTGGAAACTATTCATGTTATACTTACTAAATGAAATCATATCAAAATTAATTATTTTTAATTCTTTTATATTTTGATTATAACGTGGTTTAACACCTAGTGCACCATATCACCGAGTGCACCACTTTTACCTCAATTTGCACTTTCTAACTCATATCATTCAACAGTCATTAAATCAATCAGTTGAAACTATTAAGAATCTAACAATCTAGGGTCTATTAAATTATTAGAACAGGTTCTTGAATTATGACCAGTCTTTCCACATTTGCTACAACATCTATTAGAAGATGCTTCCCTGTTAGAATTCCTTTCATTTTGATGTTTGTTGCGTTGAATCTGAATATCAATCTCTTGTTGAGATAATATATCTGCAGCTTCTTGTTCAATAAATACTCCTTTTTGGTGTAATTGAGTCTTTTTCGTATATCGATGTTTGCTTAATGTTTCATTTACCTTTCGAAGTATACAGTTTTCTGCATTTAAAAGTGTATTTTCATATGTTAATCTTTCTGTATCTTTAGCTAAAGCTAATACAGTTTCGAATATAAATGTAAGGGAGCTTGATTGACAACGAACCATTCGAGATTTCACTAAAGTTGATTGAGAAAGAGCTTCAATTGGATTGTGGGGAGTTTGAGAGATCCAAAGGTTTAAATCGAAAGGGGTGGAGTAGGTATATGAATTCGAATATCTAATTTTGAGAGTATAGCTTGAGGGTCAAATGGTATTAGACCTGTTCCTCGAAAGCCAGCTTTCATATTCTGAGAGGTGATTGATTGTTGATATGCAGCTTTGAAAGCTATAAAGAATTCAACTTTAGTGATATGATTGATATGTATTGGGTTTCTTGAGACCAGAAAGAGCATCCGATTGAATTGATTGATTCTCTAGCTAAGCAGTTAAGCTGCGAGTATATATTCAAAAAAATGAAGGAATAGGGTTAGGTATTCAACCTTCGGAGTTAAAGTGCTTTGAAATCAAAATATTGAAAGCAAACAAACAGTATACCAAAAAGGAAAGAATGAATTAAAAGTTGAGTTTTGTTTGCTCCTTATATGCATCATGCAATATATATGCATATGCTGCCAAGATCCCAGGAGGTCAATAATATGTGCCTTGATAAACTCCTCAATTTGAGAACTATATGAACGTTTAAGTACACCAAAACATCCAACATCAAGTGGTTGAGTTAAATGACTTGAATGTGGTGGTAATTTGAGGCATATAATATCATTTGATTTGTAATATGATTGAAAAGGTATTGATTCGTGGCTTTCGTGCCCATCCAATACTAGCATTCGATATTTGCCCTTCCTTTGACGAATAGTATGTTTATCGAAATGCTTTAACCATTCTAGGCCTGTCTCATTATTCATCCATCCATTGGAAGTAGGTTTAATAGCCCAATCCGCAGGAAAATCAGTTTCAGTATACCAGTTGGAAAGATGAACTTGTCCTTGAACTACCAGAAATAGAGGTATAGTTTCACTCTCTTTATTGCTATATATAATTGCTGTGGCCCACTCTCAATTGCCTGATTATATTGCCTTGCTTCTGCTACTTTGTTTAACACTAATTACAACCATTCTAGGGCATATTATACCTATCATGAAGCCAGTTTCGTCGAAATTGTAGAAATCGCAGTCTTGAATACCATATTTCACCTGTATATTCGATACTAATCGAAATCACTCTTCAATAAACTTGGGATCTTTATAGAGAGCTCTTTGAAAGTTATAAATATGATTAAAATGTATCTTTAATTTCATATAATGTTTTATGAATCAATAAACCCAAAGCTTTCCAATTTTCTTCGTTCTTTGCGATTCAAGAATATAATTCGTTATATCTTCTACATTACTTAATTCAGATGCAAACCCTCTCTTATTCATATCAATTATATACTAAATAAATACCTTCTCTTCTAAATCGATCATTTTGTAATTATTTGCTCGAATTTCTGTATGAGGGACTGAACCATTTATTTTATAGGGAAGTATTGTATGTGTTATATTATATAGCTTGGCAGCCTTTCGAATGCTTAGTTTTTTATCTTTTTGAATGGTTTCGATAACTAAGAGTATTTGAGCTTCTTTTCTATTTGATTGTATAATAAATGATTGATAAATCGCGTGTTGAAGTTGGAAAGTGCAAATTGAGGTAAAAGTGGTGCACTCGGTGTTAAACCACGTTACATAAAAGAAAATAATGTTAAGTTACGACAAGTAACAATTAGGTCACGGGATTAGTAATAACACGTGATGCGAGGACTCGAAGAGCTCGAAGGCTTGGCCTCTCGAGCCCTTCGATCGAGGAGAGCGAAAGGATCGAAGCTCGATCCCCTCGCTCCCTTCGAGCCACGAAGCATGAAGGTCTATATAATCAAGATGGATTTCCTTTGTATAGAGCTTCGTGCTCAAGATCAATCATTTAGTATACTCTACTATTAGTTACGAATTGCATATCATTATTGTCATTACTTAAGTCCCTGCTTGACGCTTAGTTATAAACCACCTCGAGAGCCTAGAGCACTTCCACGTGATCTAGATGGCAAACCTCGTAACAAATAAGTTATCTGTGACCAAAAGGGTGTTTATAGACCAGCAATTGTATTTAACTTAGAATCTACAGGTGAAGAGCACCTGTAGATGGGGATAGCTACTCTATATATACACAAATGAATGGCCTAGCCGCAATGGCTAGGCAAAAAGAAGTCATATTTATCCCTCCAATGATCTTACTTTACCGATAACCATTGATACCTAGTACTTGTCCGGATCTGATCCTCAGGTCACCTAAATCGCATACTAATCTCGAGTAATCGTATCATGTGTGGACATGGTTAATGTACCTGAGGTTTCTTATATAATAAAGGTGGGAGGAAAGCAGGGATTTCCGTCACACCTACCAATCAATCAATGAACTCCCGTTCAACTCCTAAGAAAAGTATTGCAAAAAGAGAAACTTGTAAAGTAAAGTAAAGTAAAGGCAAAGCGAAAAGCAAAAAGAACAGAGCGAGGAGTATGTAATATGAAAGAAATCAATTCAGGGAAAAAACACGTACCATGATTTAGATTTAGATTTAGATTTAGATTTAGATTTAGATTTAGAAGATAGACAGGCAAGCTTAGGGCGAGTAAATAGATAAATAGATAAAGAAACCTACCTCCAACTCCAAACTCAAAATCACTGCCAAGCGGCAGGATCATAAGGTTCCCACGCCTCATCATCATCCTCATTCTCATACTCATTTCTATAGTCCTCTAGTCTCATTCCCAAATCCCCTCTTAGTATCTTTCTTCCTTCTCTCCCCCCACGACCTACACCCAACACCTTCCTAACACTCATCACATAGCGATCTCTCACTCTTGCAAACTCCTCTCTCGCACGCATTAACCTCTCATCCCCAACTTGTCTCTGCTCAATCATTTCCGCAAGATGTGAACCTTCCCTCTCTAGTACGGCATACGCATCATTCAATAAGGAGGTTGCGGAATCTTGCAGCGCGAGCGCATGTTCTATAGCATAGACATCTCGGGATTCTGCTGATACTTGGAGTTGTGTGAAAGCGGCTTGGATTCGGCGTTCGGCCGCGTGATGTCTTTCGTTGGCGTAATTAGAGCGTTTGGCTTGCGTCATGATGTTCTGGTCGGCGCGCTGGATGAAGTTGAGTGTGGAAGTGTAGTTTCTGACTGCGCGTTCCAAGTCGACGTCTAAGGTGGAAGGTCGGGATTCCTGGTAACGTTGCCTTGGTGGGGAATGGTTTCTTCGTGGTGGTGGATCGTTTCTTCGTGGTGGTCTTGGAGTATTGAAGTTTCCAGGCGAAGATGGAGGCATTGGTTCATACTCCACCCATGTAGGGTGCTCATCATCGGAAGCACTAGCATTAGAAATAGGATAATCGTTAGCGCCACCATAATCTGCTTGAGCTTGTTGCATCTGTTCTCTTTCTTCGATGGCTCTTTCTCTAGCAAGACGAGCACCCCTGTTGATGTTTCTGAGACGATCACGCAAGCCACCACCTCCTGTATTGCGAATTTCCTTGCGACAGACGGGACAGGTTGTCTTATCTCCATCAAGCCAGTGTTCGATACAGTTACGATCAAAATAGTGGTTGCATTCTGTTTTGACTGGTTCTCCGCCTTCACTGCCACCAATAGTATCTTGACAAATGGAGCATGTGCGTTGATCCACTGGGATAGAAGCGACACTCACTCGTGTTAATTTTGGTGCCATCTTGAAAGTGATGAAGTTTGCTATCGACTGACTCTTATCGAATTGATAGTCGTAGTTGCGATGGATATGTGTTGATAACTGGTGGTGAATTTTGATAGATATTTGCATATTCAAGGAACTCGATGCTTAAAAGGCCTCGAAGACATATTGTTCCAACTTTGTACCCGACCTGTTTTTGGAAAGAAAATATTTGGATCACGTCTCAAACTCTGTAGTTGTGGAAAGAACATCAAATGCAAAGCGCTTGAATAATCCAGGAGACACTATGAGATGCAGTTCCAATCATTCCGGTGAACAAAGAAGAACAAAGGAGAAATTAGTTGCCGATCTATTGCTCTTCACCATTTTAGAGAAAATTAAAAGCCTCACAGGCACAGTGCGGGTTGCATTCATCAAAATCTTGCAGCTTCTGAATTGAGCTAATGGGTAGAAATAAGTATGATGCTCTTGAAGTGCATGAACGAGGTATCTTCAAAGGAATCAAATAGTGAAAACCCCCTACCAGTGCAAATCCTCACTGGTTATCTGAAAGCTGTGGATGCAAAATCATCCAAAGAAAAAAGAGATGGGAAATCACATCTTTGAGCGAGACCTCTATGACAGTGGAATAACATCTCGAATCGACAACATTGTCCTGCGAAATCGCACAAGAGAAAGTTACTTAAAAAATCTCAAGTCTTGCTCTTTGCGTATACCACAACACCGGATCATGATATCCCAGTCCCCAGAATTGTATTTATCGTAATATCGTCGAATTTCGTAATGCGTTTTTTGAAACTATGAAATTTATTGTATTTGCTGCAGTAAGTCAATTACTGTCAAGTTCGAGCTATCAGATTTGGTGAAGGTCCGAAGAGATCAGAAATGTCCAAAGCTGGGTCTATGAAACCATTCTGATATTGTTGAAATCCGTGATTTGTTGCGCCATGTCCATTCATATGAGGTCCAGAGGAACTTGAATGTCCAGCCAACTGCGCATCATGTTCTCGCAGTAAGGGGTCTAATGTAGATTGCATTTCTGGTGTTTCATGATGCTCAAGTTTCATTGGCATTGGGAGCTGAGGTTCTGTACGATGATTATGCGTATTCACTATGATTGAATCTGTGAACGGCTCAGAGTCGGCATCAAGATCTGGTGATGATGGTTGAAGGGGAGGAGGAGGTTGTTGACGCCTCGGGTTTTCGAGACGGTGAAAAGACTTTTCATGTCGTATGACGACATCCCTAGATAAGAAATTAATCAACATGAACTTCTATAGCGAATGTGATATTCGCGCATCATCAGGACATACTTTCGCGCGTATCTACGGCCGCATAATCTGCAAGGGAATGGTTTCTCTTGTGTATCTAGAAGTTGAAGCTTGTATCAACAAAGGAACTAGCATGACTCGCACAGAATTGATTGTACTCACGACCACGTTCATGCCTTGAACAATGCTCACTTCTCTTAAATTGTCTCTGGCAGACAGAGCAGGTATAGATACGTGGCGTCTTTTGCACCCGGGTCGGTCTACTACCGGGGGTATCGTGCTGTCTTGTATTCATGTTGAATCGAGGGCGAGATCTATTTAGACGATGACTGTGTAATATTGAAAACAATTCGGGAGAGGACCTTGGTTAGTGGACAAAGGTAAGACCGGACGGACAATAAGATTAAAGGTAATGAATATATCAATAACAAAGTAATATTTTAATCGATTTGTCTATAGGCTTCAAGCTGTGTTGTCGATATGTATGTCGTTGATGGTAAGGAAGAGATGAAGGTTTATCGGTACATCGAAAGAACGGTTTACCTTAGCGGGGTAGATAAGAGGCTAACCAATTTTAGGCAATATGTATGTTTTGGTTGGTGACTGGATCAATTTGTGTCAATCTGGCGGGGGACAAAATTGAGAGCAACCTTGGAAAGCACAGAGCTGCACAGAACTGCAGAGTACAGCACACAGCACAGCACAGACTTTTTATTAATATAATTTCACATGAAAGACTGGATGGAGTGATGGATGGTCTTATTCAGTATGGAGGCCAAGATTGGGATGGATTATTATGTACGGAGTATTTGTTATCATCGCATGTTTGGAATGTTCCGTCCAGATTCATGATTATGTAATACGGGTATTGAACAAGAGAAGATCTCGGCTTCCGTACTTCTTTTCTACTCTGTACTTACTGTTATTAGTCACATAGAGAGCACTGCCGTAATCGCAAAAAGTAAACAAATAACTTGGAAGGCCACAAGTAGACAAGTTTTGAGAGTTCGAGCGCAAGAAACCAATGATTTCTTGGTATCTCTTCGGTAAAATTGTCGGATTTTAAACACCAATTAAATCCATCAGAGCAAAAACACGTGCATTCCCGTGCGGACCAGCTCAGTTCATTCATAGGGCATCGGCGATAGGGCATCGGTGATAGATAATGAAACAATTCTACTGCCGAGTACCGGTACTTAAGATCTCAACAACTCGAGATGTGAAATTTCCACGAAACCTTTCGGACACTTCAATCTTCTGCCTTTCATCACTCAAGATTACCTAGAGCGGCAAGAGATTTAAACTTTGACTCACCGGTCGTATATCGGTAGATACTAAGTATTTCAGCCGAGCATATTGTAACCTTAGCATTGCTATTGAAATGAGCCAGGGGATGATGCCAAAGGGTCTCCGGCGGAGTACTCCCTACAAGTCTTGTCTGTAGGAAACTTCATGGTCCAGGAATCAGTTCGACAACGAAGGTAGGAAATGCTCTAGAGACTGGAAGAAGATTTGGAACTTGGCATCTTAAAAGAATTTTTTTTTAGCTTGGTTTCACACTATGAGAGAAGCAAAGCAATTTGCTCCGCCGCTTCTGGTTCCTGGGAAGCATTTATGATCCCCCTTTATCAGTCTTGGCAGGTACGTATTTCGATACCGCTCTGGACCTAGAATACAGTGGAATTGACAGTCAAGATCCCGTCCACACCACTTTATATATGTTATGCTTTACATTTCATCACTATGCCAAGTGATGTTATCCACAAGATCGGCGAATCCGACGGGTCAATACTCATTTTACCTTAGTATAAGTATTTAGCTATGCTCTCCTTTTTGGTACCTGGCGAGATCTTTCTGTGTTTATTTCTTAGAGACGATAAAATAAGTAAGAATGCATTCAAGAAACATCATTCCAACTATGGCCATTGCCACTGGTACTTTGGCACAAGAAAGTGTATATGTTAGTAGAGACCAATATCATTAACATTGCTATCCAACTAATGTCTTATAGACCTACACCGCCGACACAATCTCAACTTTGGACTTGTACAATGTTAGCAACCTTGCGCCATTTCAAATCTACAATGAATCTTTCACTTCAATACTCGGAAACTCGCCGACCATTACCAATGTTTTGAATTCTTCGTTCCCTCAATTCCACGAAGCTGGTATCTTCTTTTCCGAGTCAACTCTTTTCGTCACGAGTAACCAATATGCCGCATCCACCAACTCTCCATCAACAAACAACAAAACTATCTCGATCACTCGTCTGGATAAATCCGGAGATTCATGGTCAGCTACCATTGTTGAACCACAAGGAACCATTACTCTCGCAAATGGAGGAATAAAATACAAAGATGGCCTCATCATTTGCGATCAAGGGTCTCTCACAGCAGCCGGAGGACTAGTCTATATGAACGCCACAGCTCCATATGAAACCAAAACTCTCATCAACAACTACTACGGAGTAGAATTCAACTCACCTAATGATGTTCACGTCACAAGTGATGGAGCATTATGGTTTACTGATCCATCATATGGATCATGGCAAGGAATCCGACCACAACCTCAACTTCCTAATCAAGTCTACCGCTACATGCCAGAAACAAACGACATCCGTGTCGTCGCCGATGGAATCCAAGAACCAAATGGAATTACCTTCAGCCCAGATGAGAAAACAGCATACATTACCGATGGAACTGGTAATGCAACCGCACTAACAGCCCCAAGAGCCATCTACGCATACGACGTCATTACTCGAGGTGGTCAACCATCTCTCGCCAATAAAAGAATCTTTGCCGTCCCTCAAAAAGGTCTTCCAGATGGTATCAAAACCGATGCAGCGGGAAACGTGTATGCGGGATGTGGAGACGGAGTAAATGTTTGGAATGAGGGGGGAATTCTCTTGGGAAAAATTGTCGTCGCAGGTGGTTCTTCTAACTTTATCTTGGGTAATGAGGGAAATAAAACTCAAGTGTGGTTATTGAATGAGGATAAATTTTGGCAAGCTAGTTTGGGCTTGGTTGATGGGATTGATTCTTCTAGTAATACTACACGGGTGTCTTCTCTTAGGTATTGAGATGTAGTACTTGTAGATTAGAGGAGTCTTTGTAGATATATTTGTTTGTATATATTTTTGTATATATATCTGTAACTATAATAACTAGATAGATATATAAGTAGAGATTCGAAAATAAAATTTGTAAATTAGATAGATTATAGACATATAAATCTAGATAGAATATAACACAACACACATTAATAAACACCTATTACTCAAAACCTTCACATATACACAACATACATGACATCCATAATACACAACACATTTTCCATACAGCTACATCGCACCTCCTTCCCACACACCAAATAACCGACCACATACAGAGTCCATACAGAGAGTACATACACTGCGATAGATAAGCCAGTGACAGGTCCAAGTAGCCGGGTTAACACTAACACACCCCATCGCATACAATTTCGATTTAAGATTTGATACCTAGATAGATATATAACGACGGGCTTAGATTACTCAATTAAAGATATTTTTAACCTCCTTGTTTGCTTGTTTATTTGCTTGTTTGTTTGCTTACTTTCTTACCTGAGATTATTGCTATATATATATGTATTACTACTTAGATACTCAAGTATCTGGTATGTGTATATATATGAATGGAAGATGAATAAATAACTAGATAGATAGTGGAGTGTTGTTGCTGCACCCCGCAATTTGATATATTCGGTTTGGTAATTTGTATGTACAGAGTACAGAGTACTTTACTTGCAGCTGTAAGGTTGGCTGGTTGGTCGGTTGGTTACCCCGCTCTTAGCTTTGATTTTTTTGGGAGAGTGGGTGGGAGTGGATGGGAGTGGATGGGAGTGGATGGGAGTGGATGGGGAGGATGGGAGTGGATGGGGAGGAGGGGCAACCTAAAATTTTAAGTTTAGGTTTTTTGTTTTGTGTTTGGATTTTTGTTTGAAGATGGGGAATATGGGGACGATGGATCGGTTTATCCCGCGCTAGTGGTGATGATCATGATCATGGCAATGATAAAATGTGATATAATAACAGAGTACATGTGATATCACGTGATTGAATACAAGACAAGAAACGCAAACCTACAGGCACATACATCTTTTTCCGAATCAAACAAACCAGCGCTGGATATTGAGCTGAAATGATCATTCGAGCTATTCACTCTGGATATGGTATTTAATCTACCTGAATTTGATAGTTCTCGTTTTTCTTTGTTCATTTGGTTTCAGCAAGAAAGCAGCCTAGGTAGTTCTTAACTGCTTTTGCGAGAGAGGAAGAGTCGGAAGTGAGCATCGGGGTATGCTTTGTATTTACCATTCTACTGCGCAAATAGAATTCAGTCGGGAAGGAAACAATGTACAGTTGCGTGTCGGCGGCCACTTGTCAAGTGTGAATTTATCTTCTTGCTTCTTTGGAAATTTGAACATGTTAGTTATGGTTGGTGATGTGAAGTTTTGGCGTATTCAATCAACTTCCACCGGCTTCCGGTTTGCAAAATTTAGCAGTAACAATAACGTGAATCTGCATGTTTTGATACTGATCAACATATATAGCGGGCTGTGAACATCAATTGGGCATGGTCGATAAAGATGAGGATGGAAGCATGGTTGAGGATGTGATGATTTTTCATATCTAGAGGAGATGGTGGTAAAACTAAGCTGCCTAGATAGTGTTTTCAACTTGGCCTTTACTGTCCATGCAGTTTGTATAAAAATTTGATCTTACTGCTTTTTAGTCGCAGTACCGTCACTCCCCACATAATCTTTTTAAGCACTTTCATTCCTTCTCTGAGCTTGATCTTCTCCATTATCGGCTCCTTTTGAATAATCGTCAACGTTACTAATAAAAACTGGCTAAATTCGACAGACTTTCTTTAAAGGGATCTTGTGGGAGCCCCTGTTATACAAATGACCTATGCTACTTTAGCGTCAATGCCCTTGTAATTGACCCTCCGAGCTGAGAGAAAAATGTTGTACACCTACAGACAAATCTCTTTAACTCAGATTCGACTGATTATTACACACAATTCGCTACAAATATATCGCATTCTCTAAGTATCATCTACTTTACGTCCCCGGTTGAAGTTTAGAGAACTCACTCTCGAAAGATTGCCTATGAAGCAACATTTGATGCATTTATTCCTACACCGACACCAAGTTCAAAAAGTAAAAGGAATGTAGCCCACTCTGCAGTGCAGGTATTGATACAGAGCCTTTTAAGAAGCTCAGATTCTATTCCGCAAATAGACTGATCTATAAGGATGAATGGGATTTGTGGAGAAAGCCGCGTCGACCAGTGATTATTCGGAGCACAATGAGAATGTTCTTAGATAATTTTCGAATTTATTGACCGATACGCTAGAGATCATCACGCCGACCAACTCTGCCAGAGCTAATGATATATGAACAGGCCCCTGCTCAAAAAGGCGACGAACCATGAGCTGACTGGTATCAAAATGGCAGATAGATAATACTTTCTTGATGAATTTAATCAAGTCATAAACTTTGTACTGAGAAAATCACAATGTGACATCCCTATGGGTGCAAAACAGAAACACCGATTTCATGTGCACTGTGGGCTATTTGAGGAATCGCAATGGCATAGTAGCATCCTCCCCGAGTTCTCATCGAAGAATTCCAAATGCAATGAGTGGTACCCAAGCCCATGAAAAGACCAATTACTTTTGGCGAGCTTTACGATGACTTTGCCCTTCCAAATTGAATTACAAGGAACAGGTGACTAACAGCACCAATGATTATGAAGATTCCCAGAGCATCGATCCGCTTCGGCTTGGTCGCAAGAAAGAGGTTTCGAGCTGTTTTCCTAACTCCTTTGATTCCCCAAAATATGGTCACGAACGAAAAAAACTGCTCCAAAGGATACATTTCTAAAAGACGAGTTGAGAGTGATATCTAGGAGAATTGAGAATAGACGCGGCTACATCAAAAAGCACGATTCTCCACGAATCATCACGTCATAATGGGCTGCAGAACTGGCACTCACAAAGCTTTCGAGATAGCCTCTTCAAAACAATCATCTAGTCAAAAGATCATCATTTATCTTCATACCCAACCGTCTCTACCACTTCTCTCCACAAGCATGAGGATTCTCTGTCGATGGATTTGGTGCTCATAGATATGAAAACGAAAGGCAAACTGGGAGCGTTCCGCGGGCTTTGTGGTGGCGTCAATCTATTTCCCGGGAGGTTCTTTGCCATGAAGGAGATTTCGGCGCTTTGTTGTGAGGGTATTCAGACTGTTGTGTTGTGAATACGTACTCTAGAAAGAAAAAAATCTATGATGGTGCAGAGCTCTGGCTTAAGTCAGAGCTCTATTAGTACTTATTGGGACTAGCCCACCCCCCCCCTCCCCCCGCTCCCTAGCACCACAGGAACCACTCCTTCAACAACATATTCATTTATCTTATGGATCTATCTCTTGAAATAAATGAATCTCTTCCTCGATATTTGACAATCCCACCTGAAATAGCTCATCTATCCACCACATTTTCTTCACATTCTCCAATTCAGTCCAGTCAGAAATATCCCGTTTCACAGTCTCAATAACCCAAGCTCTCTCATCATCAGTAGTTGCCGTGCAGCCAGCCATAACAAGTGTCCATAACCTCAGCTTCTTCACCCTAACATCCCATACACTACACTCATTCTTCAACAAGCGACGCAACTTGGCCATCAAAACCTTGGTTATTACAGGAATGACCCCGCACCACCTTTTCACCTGCGCTATGAAGAGAAGGGCGCCAATCCTACACAACTCTTCAGTCTTATTATGTATCTGATTTTGGATCTTCAGAAGTACAGACAAAATTGGGTAGACGCAGAGGCCAGCGAAGCTTTGGTCTCCCCGGAGGAGTTGCGTTTTGCTGGTCGGATTCATCTTTTCTCTCTCACGAATTATCGTCACTGTGAGAACACTCAACTGGCTCATGACATCAAGCATATTTTTCGACAAAAATAATGATACATTGGAGTGTGAGCATATGCTAGAGAAATAAACTTCGCCTTCGGCCTGGTATTTCGGAATATATGGATTCGTTAAATATTGAAGTGGTGCTGGGAAATGAGGTGCGACGTCCAAATCACTAGCCATATTGATTTCGATCCAGAATAAAGAGAGTCGCAGTGAGTGCATATGCTCAATGGTCGAAAGTCCGCCCCGCAAAGCTAAAATTTTACAAAAGCCGGCACGGTGAATCTTCCAGGTCTTCGGGTCAGATACGATTTGCTAAGAGGAAGTTTAGCGAATGTTATTCAAGATAAGATAAAATCACGTACATCGTGGCACATGAACTATTTTTTGTCAGAACCATTGGAAGAGAAATTAAGGATGATGGAAAACGCACGCCAAGTATAGCTCCCATTAGCCCTTCCGAGTGTTCCACCACAAAGTTCGCTAATCTTTGATTCACGGATCTCACTGCCGACAGATGGTACATCATTGCATCACGACTTTCCGTCTTAATTCCTCTTATATGATTGAGATGAAGCGACGCATTGGCTAGCACTACATTCATTGCTGCAGGATCAGCGGCAGCTATCGGAAACCAGATGTCTCTGAATGGCTGGACGCCTTGTGATGAATCCCAAACTGTATAGCTGTTAATAAGCATACCAATTGAACGAAGCAAACTCACTGAAATGCACCAACTCATGAGCTTGCATGTTCATTTTGATTGGCCATGCTTGAAAAGGATTTACACGCGCATTTTCAAGTGGTACCATGAGAGTGGTTGGGGAACTTGTTGGTGCCCCATACCGGTGATCTGGTTCTGGCCCATCTTCATCCGTGGTCGGGGCTGATGGTAGTATCTGTGATGCACCCACAGCAACCCTTGGCGCAATTTTCTTTAGACCGTTTGCCATTTTCGGTCGGTTCTGCTTCATGAATGGGCGCATCACATGTTTCCGCACTAGTGTTCTCGTCTCCCTTTCCTCTTTAGCCGAACGGAAGGGTGTCGATGTTATAAATGCATACTTCCCGCCTTCAGGCTGAATATTGGGTACCATTTTGTTGAGATTCTTCAAAAGCTTAGAATTAACAAAGTTCTTTTTCACATACTCACCTCCTGTGTAATGCTATTGTGCTTAATTGAGGCACCCTACATTCATGTAAGTTGAGATCATGTCAGGAGTTCAACCAGTGTTCGATTGCTTAGAAAGATGGTAGCGGTGGAGGTGAAATTCTTTGTAAGCCGGTATTGACAAGTGGTGGATAACAATTACAGTCTAACTGGATTTGGGCAATGGCCCCTTGCATTTCCGCGTCAGACCTAACCTATTACAGGCTCTAGCGAAGGGTCCGGGTTAGTAACCCTACATTAAGATTGGGTGCATAGAAATACATCTAATCTAGCATCTTCCTCAGATGATCGTTCCCCGCAGCAAATTGCCCCGAGAAATACCCGACATCATATATCATAGGAGACCTTTTCACTTAAAATATTCAATACTAAGCATATGATGGCTTTTCCCCCCAATAGGGGGCAGCCCTGTTGGAAATGATCGAAACCAGACACCCAGGAAAAGTTCTTTTGACTGTCAGATAATTAAACACCGAGTCCTGATTTCTTGGAAGAATCAATTGACTGACCACCATCCGCATGATTCAACATTTTTGGAAATGACAAAGGGTTAATACTGCAGGCAGTGTTGGAGCACTATAAAGCCAATAGTGTTAATGAAAATCGCCTGAAGAGAACAAGTTGGCTTCAATCCTCACAAATTCACTGATCGGAAATCCACTTGGAAGGGAATGAGTCGAGATATCTCGAAGCAGTCCTACTCTCATGAAATCACGAAACCATAGGAGAGAAAGCCATACCTTGTGGTGGTTTGGGTTGGTACCAACTTTTGCCATGAAATTTCAGATCTTACTCAAGCCCTAGATGGGTGATGGACTCTGGCTTCAAATATATATGTTTAGAATCTATTCACATGACTATGTCAGATGTGTTATGCCAAGTTTCGAATCAATTGCTCTAGTTTCTAGGACACATTCCCATTGCTCAAAAGTTTCCGATGATTTGTGGGATTTTGGCTGTTGAACGAGGGCTGCGTTGGATGGAGACTGTTGGTTGTCTTATCAATCATACCCGTGATAGGCCACCAATTTTGTTTCAATAGCACACAACAACTACGCGTTAGCAGCATAGTGTGAACTTGTTTTGGAAAAATAGAAACGAAATTCAGGATCATTTCTCTACGAGGGAATCACACCTATCGTCTGTACCTTGGTGCAGATAGTCATGATTGTAACGGCTATACATATTTACAAGTCAGTGTCATTCATTCTTCTAGACGATGTCTTCTTCCAACCTTACATATAATATAATCTTCAATACTTTAGATAATTTGCCACATAAGACTCAAGAAAATGTTTAGTCCGTTTGGCGAATACAGTTAGGAAAAAGGGGATCTCTAAACGGAAGATTTCTTTACTAAGATTACAATGGTAGGATCATAGGCTATTTTCCCCTTTTTTGTCCGGTATACATATTTAATAGCTCATTTAGACTGCACGCTATTAAGTATACATTCAGCTCTCAATTCATCGGTCTTAGCGGTGACAGGTTCAATGTTTTTGGGGAAACATTTGAATAACCAAATATCCTTTTTTGAGCCGAAGTAACCACTAATTTTTGCTCTAAGTAATGGAGTCGAGATTTTCCTCGGCCTTGCGACGATACCCAAGAGATGTAGATACATTTGAGTTTTTGCAACATTATCTTCCGCGTGTGATGGCTAGTTTGGTGCTTGGTAGTGTAGACGCCAACTTCGAAGTTTGGTTTAGTACACTATTTAGTGCGCTAAATAATTAATGGACGAGGTCAAAAAACTCTATTTGGACTGAACTTCACATCCACTTGGATGAATAAGCCAGTCATCACAATGGAATAAATCAAATCCACATTCATACTGCAAACATCATCGGCACAGGAAATTAAACTGCTTAGGCATGTAGACAAAAGTACTTGGGTATCCTCATTTGTACTACACTCCAAATTGTCCTTCAGTATTGCCGTCGCCCATACTCTTACTACTGCTACTACCACTTTGAATAGCGCCTAGTATACCATCGATGTATGATGCACCGCTCCATTTCTGATGCGTCAATACATCCACTCCTAGATCCTTCTCCCTTCTCTGGATAAGGTTGACGTATGCTAGCATACCATCATCTTTGAATGCCTTTGATAGTTCATTGGTGACAGTTGCAGTAGAATGAAGCCCGGCAAGTGAAATCAATTGTAGAACGAATCCATGTTTTGCAATATCCCAAATGAAGGATTTCAAGGTTTCGTCACTGAAACCATGACCCATCCAGTTAAATGAAGGAGAGAGATTGTAGACAAGTCCTTTACCTGGGTATTTGGCTCGAATTTCGGCCGAAAATTGTGCGGCGTTCTTAACGTTTGGATCTCCCGTTTCCACCCATAGAAGGTCAGCGTATGGTGCATACTGAATAGCTCGTTTGGTGGCGGCTTCCATTCCAGCCTTGTAATGGTAAAAGCCTTCTCGTGTCCGAGGTATATCAATATTGAATATGATTGGTTTATTACTGTATTTCGAAGCTAGCTGCTTTCGTCTCGTGATGGACATGTCCCGATCTTTCCTTGTGGCTTCAAGGTATTCATTTATGCTCGATTCAGATATACCTTGATCCTTGAATTGCTTTACAACAGCTTCATCACATGTCATGAGTTTTGTCTTCTTAACCCACTCTGCTTCAAATATATCAATTTCGGCGCCTGTAGCTCCAGACAAATCCATGGCTTGCAGGGTCTCTGCTAAAGGTTCGATACCGTCTTCTGCGACGCCTTTAATAAACTCATGATCCCGGACATCGATGGCACTACTAAGAAGTTTGCCGCTCTCGGAGTCTGTTCGAGCTATGACTAGATTTTCCGATCCCATAACATCCCATTGAAATCTAGCAGCCACCAAGCGATTGATGTGCTCACCCACGGGCACAAGAACCTTGCCAGCAAGATGTCCGCATTTTTTCCCACCATGCATTTGATCCTCAAAGTGCACAGCTGCAGCGCCGTTCTCTGCAAATAGTTTGGCAAGCTTCAATACAGCAGAAAGTCCTCCGTGCCCCGTGTCTCCATCCGCGATAATGGGCCTTAGATAGTCGGTATACGGTGTCTTTGCCCTGTCTTCCTTACTCAATTTCCTCCGCGCATCCCATTGTTTTCGATCATGCATTGATTGCGCCTTTGACAGTCTTTGGACTTGATTTGGTACTGTGTTGTAAGGATAATCGCCGAAATCCGGGGATACTTCATTTGTGCTTGTGAGCACAGAGGAACAAGCCCAGCCAGATATGTACAAGACTTCCTGATTCGCAGCTTGTTGAGTCATTTGTACAGGATCAATAGCACCCACTACGGATTTATTAGCATAATTTGCTGGAAGTCCAAACGTTGTGGTTGATCTTTACTTGTATGTATTGGCTCCCCCTTTGCCTCCCTCTCCTTTATTAAATTGAATAACTTCCTAGCCATAACTGAACTTGGGTATGATTGTTGTTGGCTTCCTCGTTTCGATACCACATCTGCCGCAGAATATGGTCTCTTGATTCCTACATATCTTGGACTATTCCACCATGTTTCCACCTCCTTTATCTGTTGTTCGTATAATTCATCCTCGGCGGCTCCGGCCTTCTGCGATTCTGGTACAAGCTGAAATGAATCCGATGCCAATGGTCTCGATATTGGGTCATTGAGAGCTTTCAATGCAGACATCCTACAACTTGTGGTAGATATATGTCGAATGGTAATGATTGGAGCTCTGGCAGAGAAAGCTTTGCGGGGCGCTACAGAAGCAATTTTGCGAAACATTTTGAGATGATATATTTGAGTTGACGAAGCATAACAAGAGATAATTCGAAGCTACTCCTACCTACGATGTTGCTGATCAATCAAAAAGACTTTATGTAATGCCGTCATCGGGGTAGCAATAACGGTATCATCGGTATACACATATAAATATTCGGTTTCGTTCGGTTGTCAATAATTATAACTTCACCCTCGGCCTTAATTTGAAAACACCTCTGGCTTAGTGCGCGGCGGGTCGAACCTCAAGCGGCTTCATTAAGCTACACCTACATTTTTGTTAACCAGATTTGTCGTGATATGATTCGTCAATCAAAGGTTCTTCTACAAAGCCCGCGTTTATCCTCGGCATAAGATTGTGGATATTCCTGATGTTGTATTGCATTGTGAACATCATCCCATGATTTCTTAAATTTCTTTGATTCTCGATAGAAATTCTGAAGTTTTACATCCATTCCATTTGATTGAAAAAGTTACAGTTACACATCGATTGTTTATATCTTCCTTTATGTACCGAGTGTGATCAAAGTAGCATTCATCATCTCAATTGATTGACTTTACCCCGCGAATCTGCCCCACGATTTACCCCATCCGAGCTTCCGATCTCAAAGTTACCGGCGTACATCCGACATTATGGCGATGAACACCAGAACGGCCTCAAAAGCATTCAGATCTTTGCGAGTATGAAGTCCTTTCTATATTGATATTCTATGCCCGATACTGATATCTTTGTAGCCAATCGGCGTTCGTACTTTGGCTGTCCCAGCTCATCGTAACTATGCTACATCATCCGAACCAGATCTCAAAACTACCTTCAAGGAATCCATTCCTGCGAAGCGCGAGCTGTTGAGGAAAGTCAAGGCGAAAGGCGATAAAGTTATTGGAGAGGTTAAAATCGAGAATACAATTGGTGGAATGAGGTACGGACATATCTACAACCGCATAGCGCATCATGAAGATACTAATACTGTGGCAGGGGATTGAAAGCTATGGTATGGGAAGGTTCCGTTTTAGATGCCAATGAGGGTATTAGGTTTCATGGCAGAACTATCAAGGACTGTCAAAAGGAGTTGCCGAAAGGAACAAGTGGTACAGAAATGCTCCCAGAAGCTATGTTCTGGCTACTTTTGACCGGACAAGTCCCTTCTACTTCACAAGTCAGAAAATTCTCCAGGGAACTGGCGGAGCAATCAGCGCTCCCAGATTTCGTGAACAAGATACTCGATAAATTCCCAAAAGATCTACATCCAATGACTCAGTTCGCGATCGCTGTTTCAGCACTCTCACATACTTCCAAGTTCGCCAAAGCATACGAGAAGGGAATAAACAAAGCGGATTATTGGGAGCCAACTTTCGATGACAGTATCTCTCTTTTAGCGAAACTCCCTGTGATTGCTGCCAAGATATATCAAAACTCATATAGAGGTGGTGGAGCTCTCCCTGCTGAGGTTGATCTGGAACAAGATTGGTCATACAATTTCGCAGCCATGCTCGGCAAGGGAGGAAAGGAGAATGAGAACTTCCAAGATTTGCTGAGGTTATACTTGGCTCTTCATGGTGATCACGAAGGCGGAAATGTTTCGGCCCATACCACTCACTTGGTTGGAAGTGCTTTAAGTGATCCCTTCTTAAGTTACAGTGCTGGTCTGCAAGGTCTCGCTGGACCTCTCCACGGGTATGTATCAATGTGTCCTCGAGATTGCAATTACTGACAATTCATAGTCTGGCCGCACAGGAAGTCCTCAGATGGATATTACAAATGCAAGAGCACGTAGGAACTAAATTCACTGACAAAGATGTATCCGACTACTTGTGGTCAACCCTCAAATCTGGTCGTGTAGTCCCCGGTTACGGACACGCCGTTCTCCGTAAACCCGATCCCCGTTTCGAAGCACTCATGGATTACGCCTCATCCCGCCCAGAAATCGCCAAAGATCCCGTCTTCCAACTTGTCAAGAAAAACTCCGAAATCGCGCCAGAAGTATTGAAAGAGCATGGGAAAACCAAAAATCCATACCCAAATGTAGATTCTAGCTCTGGTGTGTTGTTCCATCACTATGGTTTCCATGAGACACTTTATTATACTGCAACCTTTGGTGTTAGTAGAGGTTTGGGACCATTGGCACAGTTAATCTGGGATAGAGCTTTGGGATTACCAATTGAGAGACCTAAGAGTATTAATTTGGAGGGTTTGTTGAAGTTGGCAGAATAGATCTATAAGATGTTACGCAGTAGGTATAGAATAGATGGTAAAAAGAGTCTTTGATGCATGCTTTTGTTATTTTTCTTCAAAGTTCCTGTTAGTGACCGCAAATATGCGCGTAAAGTAAACCTTGAATACTTCCAGCCGTGATGCAGGGCATATACTAGCTTGTCTACCATACCTACACAGTAGATGACCTCTTTCAATAACCAAAACATACAACTTTCAACCGTTAATTATAATCCCACATTTTTGATACTCATTAATACATCCTTCACACCGCTGTCCTCTATACCTCAACGGTAATAGCAGATATATAGTATCTCGCCATCATATCCGCATTTCGAGACTAGAAAGCAGAGCCATATACGATCGGCCTCGAGCCCGAATCCCAACACCTCGGCTACAACTCATGGCATCACTTCATCTGTGAAATATTACTTTATTTCTATTAGAAAGAAGAAGAGATTTATTTCCGAGGATTGGGGTTGTGTGATTACTTGTGGATAGGGATTGGTTATTGATAATCATAGACGTTCGTAAAGTAGATTGGGCTGGTCGAAATGACTGATCTCCAGCTATTTTACCTAGAAACTGACCTGTGTATGAATAATTTTTGATAATAACTTTCTTTTTTCTAAATTTTGAAGGTTATACGTCGTGTGTATTTTATGAGGTGTTGATATTGTTAAATTAAATAATCTATAGAGTAAGTCTGCGAAGTTTAATGTCTGGATTTAGGAGGAGATCAAATCGGTGATAGGTGTGGGAGGTGTAAGGAAAGAGAGAAGCTGCAGAGACAAGGAAAAGACTGCCGATTGTGGATATGGGGGAAATAGGGAAGAATGGAGAATTTTGCTATATTATAGCTCAAGAAAAAGAAAGAAAAAAATAGAAAAGAAATGGAAAATGGAGCAAAAGTTGAGACTGATCGGTAATGTTATATGGAGATGAGTGATTATCTAGAAGGGATGTTGCTTTTGAGATGATGGGGGTGCTGATGGTATCATTATGGTTCTGTCACTCGTGTAGGATGTAGATTTATTGGTTTGAACTTACACATTGGCTAAACGATAAGCTTCATATAATATGTAGCACAAATAGAAGAGAGAATCACCGGGGGAGACTCTGAGAATTTGGAAATGTGGAGGATCAAGATATGGACGATGAGGATAGGAATGAAGGTGAAGATGAGATAAATGAAGATGAGATGAATCCGAAAACCATTTTAAGAACTCAGACAGACTCCAATATTCAACTCTAATTCAAGTAAGATGCTGGCTCTGTTCATATATCAATGTGTCGGATATTTCTGAGGTTAGAATTTTCTTACTATAACGAATCTTCTCTTCGACTAGCGTTTCAGAATGTATTTGATATTCAACTCACGAGAATATATAGGTGCAATAATGAGAGTAACTAAAGCATCTTAGATGTCCCACTGACCTTCCACAATTCTAGACGAAGAGTTTTCCATCATGTTTCAAAATTACAACGGTACATCCGTTAACACTGATACTTAGACGAAAATAAAGTAAGGCTAAATTTAACCTACTATTCATCCGAGCAACCCCCTTTTTCTTACACTTCATTCGCCCATGTCTCAAGCGAGAATCTAAATCTTATGCGGTCAATCCGCTGTGGCGTCTTAGACCCGAAGAGATCAGCATACATAATGTGGGGTGAAAGCCACGATACGAGATGCCAAGAATGCGGTACCTGCAAAGTTCAGACTCCATTTGGTTGGAGTGGGATGTGTTGGCTCGTGGAGGGATTTTCTAATTTGCATTTAATGTCTTGGGTCACTTGGAGCTTAATTTACGATGCAAAATGCCCACAGATGATGGCGATAGAACGATCACCAGGACCGAGCCATAGCTTCTGCACACTGCAAATATATTGCATGAAAGCCAAGAATGGCTTCGGATTTGGCATATGACCGTGCGAAGAACTCCGTTTAGAAAATAATGTTAAGAATTGCATATTTTCCTCATGTAATACCACATTATCTTTCAGCTCTTGCTCTTCTTTCTTAAGTATTAGTAGCTTGACACGTTCAATCCTTGTTGACGTCCTTTCTTTTACGAATAGATCGGTCGTTTTTCGTTCGTCAGTATATCTAGATATCCATTTATCGGGACTGTTGAGAGAAAACAATGAAGTTCTCGGTCGGTAGTGTGGTATGGGGAGTGATCTCTTATGCTGGGGTTGTGAGATCTGCTTGTTCAAGTAATCTGTTAATTGATAATTATGCAAAATTCTCGACTAATACTAATTCTTTGGGTCAATGGACAAGTGGTAAGTAACCACTTCAACTTTGTCATACAGATTCTAACACGAAAAGACGACGGAACAACCACCAATTTGAAGGCCGATGTCACAAACAAGAAAGTCACATTCACCAGCAAGGCCAACAGTTACTTTTATACTCATCTTTCAATTGCGAGAAAGCAACAACAGATCAATATAATGCAATTACATTTCCTGGTTAAAGGTCCTGCTGGCTCTTCATTCACACTCGAACTGCAGACTTTGAGTTCTTGTACAGCGACCGCGTATAAAAGTTATTACACAACTATTAAAGGAATAACTGGATCTACTCAGACTATCACAGTACAATTAAGTGCTTTCCCTGGAGCAAACTTAAACGCGATTTCGGGGATTTTATGGGAATCTTTTAGTGCCAACGGTGCGTGGGAGATTGGGCAAACAAATTTGGTTTGCGCAAATGGTGCAGGAGGTTCATCGAGTACGACCTCATCTTCGAGTACGATGTCTACGAAAGGTGCTGTTGTAACCACTAGCTCTTCAACATCAGTTGTTTCTGCTCCAACTACCTCCGCTACCACTTTGAGCACAGTCAAACCAAGTGTCACTTCGAAAGTTCTGACCAGCAGTGTCAGTGCCTCGGCTCCAGCAGGTGCTTGCACAAACTTGCTGATTGATGATTTTGCATCTCAATCTCGTCTAACGTTCTTGTTTTACAATGCCATGTTACAACCATCTTCCGATGATGGTACCATGGCACCGGTAACAGGGAGGGCAGACACTGGCACTTCTGTTATTGTGGCTAATAATCATGTTACTTTGACACCTCGTGCGGATGGGTCTTCATACTGGTATACCATGTTTGGTTGCTTGAAAGCAACTAATACATATGGTGGAATTGGATTGACTATCAAGGCTGCAAAGGGAACAACATTAGGAGTTGAGATTCAAACTTCGAAGACATGCGATTCGAGTAATCCGACTCTCATTGACGTTTCCTCTGCAGATCTGGGATGGACTTTTGATGGAACTGAAAAATTCTACACCATTCCTTTCTCGAAATATCCAGGTCTAGATACCGATCATTTGATCTCACTTCTATTTTCTGGTATTAGCAAACCGATTACCCTTGGTCCAATGTCTTTATACTGTGGAAATACAGGAACCGCTTACCCCGTTCCTAGTACTGTCCCAGTCATTGAGCCATCTTCGACCATTCCAGCAACAACTGGACCTTCAGCTTATGTCATCGATACTTTTGGTAATGCTGATTCTAACAATCTCGGATTCTATCATGGAGGTGATGAAACAACAACCTATAAACAATCGGGGAACAAACTTACCATCAATACTAAAGGCAATTCTGATCTTGCCTGGTACACTCAAATCTCCAATGGATGCTTCGACTTCACTCCTAATGATAAGGGCTACATCCACATCGCTTTTACCGGAAGTAACGCATTTACCATATCTCTGCAACAGCACAATCCTACTTGTAACCCAAATATAAATCCATTTCCTTTCACGTGGGATTCTGTTGAAGCATCGAGATACTCCAATTCAGCAAAGACCGACCTCTACGTTCCAATCTCCCACTTTGAAATCGATCGCAAACTAAGTGTTGGGTTTGCACTCAAGGGCTTCTACACATCTGATGATACTGTCATCTCAAAGATCGAAGTCGTCAATTCGGTCCCATCAGATTTTCTAGTCCCATCAAAACTACCCACGGCACCCCTAATCTTCTCTTGCACACGTCCAAACTCATTCGCTTTCGCAATCGATGACGGTGATCCACAACTTGCCCAAAAAGTCGTCTCCGCCGTCGCAGCCGCAGGTATCCACGTAACATTTTTCACCGTTGGTGCCGCCCTGCTCGACCCATCCACCAATCTCTCAACCGTCTATTCCAACATGTTAAATCTCGGTCACCAAGTAGCATATCATTCCTACACACATCCACCAATGGAAGGACTCCCGAGCCTCGCATCCATAGACTGGGAACTCAACAACGACATAGCCGCCGTCTCATCTACCCTCTCCGGCCACACATCCACGTATTTCCGACCTCCTTTCGGCACGGAAGGTGCACGTATTCGCCAACGACTCGCTGCCTTGATCCCAGGCTCAAAATTCGTAGAATGGTCCGTTGATGTACAGGATTGGTTGTGGGCTCTCAGTGACACGCCTGAAAATCAGCTTACGAATTTCCAGAGTGATGTGAATAAGGGGGGGAATTTGGTGGTTATGCATTACTTGTATCAGACGACGGTGGATTATTTGCCGCAGTTTATTGAGATTGCGAAGAAAACGGGTAAGCAGTTGATGAGGGTGGATCAATGTTTGGAGGATCCGAATGCGCCGCCTTTGTGATGGGTTGGTTGGGCTGATGCGATCTATGTTTTCTTGGGGCTAGTTTCTGTGTCAGAGTAGGGAATAGGTAATATTTTAATAGCGAATAATGATTCATGATAATTAACTCAATAACTTTGATATATGTTTGCTGGAATTATGTTGAATGTGCGATATAAATCCATATGCTCTCCGTTTCGAGGAATGAGAGTAAAGTCCAAAATAAAAACTGACCACTAATAATAATTTCAACTTTCGAAATATCTTAACTATCACATTTGTTTAACAACTTAACTCCCTTTATAGTTTAATATACTGAGAGTATAATTCATGTATCAGAAGCATCCAACGTTGGATCCGATCCCTAGTCTTACAAATGTGATATAGCATGGTTGAGAGAATTGATATACAATTGAGAAAATGAAAAGATAGTAGATATTAGCCCCATATAACGTTATACACAATGGGATTGCTTAAGACAAGAGGGAGCCTTAACCTTCTAGCTCCATATTCTCACTTAAAGAAACTTAGCAAAGCGATCTCCATACCATAACTACAAAACTATTTTCAATAGAGATATAGACAACTACCTAGTTTACATATTTTATCCTTTATCGAAAAAGAGCTTAAGGTAGAAGATATACTCATGAATATAATTCAACAGCAACATCACTAATACGACAAAAATATTCAAGACTAATTGGGCCTAAACCAACATACAATATCAACACATTCCGACAAAACCACTCGAAAAACCCAAACAGAAAGGTAACCTCAAAGTTTCGCTATCACAACCCATCTCCATTTGAATCTCTTAATCCTCACCAAAGAATCGTAAGACTACGATTAAGACTTCTAAAATAAGATAATCTGGATCTAGAAGTAAAATCTAGGTAAGTAATATTCTACAAGAATGCCAAACCAGACAACTCAACACTCGCTTATTTTCATCTATAAGAATACTCATACAGCAACACTCGAGAACCTTGAACTTTAAATAAATAAATACTATTATATACAGACTTAATATAATAAGTAATTAGTATATAGTTTTAAAGATTTCAAAAAAAAAAAAAACTAAAAAAACTCTTTATATTATAATTTTGAAGTTTTGAATGTCCCGATTTTATATTTATCTAGGAATTTAAAAGTTTAAAAAAAGAAGTTTGTAATTAAATAATCAATGAGGATTGAATTCTGTAGATTATTTAAATATTTATGAGAAGTTTTCTGTAAATTAGTGTTTAATTCAGCTGGTAAAGGTTATAAAATATTTAATTGTGTGACCAAAAGGGTGTTTATAGACCAGCAATTGTATTTAACTTAGAATCTATAAGTGAAGAGCACCTGTAGATGGGGATAGCTACTCTATATATACACAAATGAATGGCCTAGCCGCAATGGCTAGGCAAAAAGAAGTCATATTTAGCCCTCCAATGATCTTACTTTACCGATAACCATTGATACCTAGTACTTGTCCGGATCTGATCCTCAGGCCACCTAAATCGTATACTAATCCCGAGTAATCGTATCATGTGTGGACATGGTTAATGTACCTGAGGTTTCTTATATAATAAGGGTGGGAGGAAAGCAGGAGTTTCCGTCACAAATTGTAATAACTTCTGAATCCTGATTAATAAGTAAGTTAATCTGGAGAATTATATAATGTGGTTTAACACCGAGTGCACCATGTCACCGAGTGCACCACTTTTACCTCAATTTGCACTTTCCAACTTCAACACGCGATTTATCAATCATTTATTATACAATCAAATAGAAAAGAAGCTCAAATACTCTTAGTTATCGAAGCTATTCAAAAAGATAAAAAAATAAATATTCGAAAGGCTGCTAAGCTATATAATATAATGTATACAATATTTCTTCATAGAATGAATAGTTTAGCCCTTTATATAGAAATTCGAGCAAATAATTACAAAATGACCAATTTAGAAGAGGAGGTATTTATTTAGTATATAATTGATATAGATAAGAGAGGGTTTGTATCTAAATTAAATAATGTAGAAGAGATAGCGAATTATATTCTTGAATCGTGGGGGGGGAAGAAGGTCGGAAAGCTTTGGGCTTATCGATTCGTAAAGCGTTGTATAGAACTAAAGATGCGTTTTAATTGTGTTTATAATTTTCAAAGAGCTTTTTATGAAGATCCCAAGTTTATTGAAGAGTGGTTTCGATTGGTATCGAATATACAGGCGAAATATGGTATTCAAGATTGCGATTTCTACAATTTCGACGAAACCAGCTTTATAATGGGTATAATATGCCTTGGAATGATTGTAACTAGTACTGAACGAAATAGCAGAAGCAAGACAATACAATCAGGCAATCGAGAGTGGGCCACAGCAATTATATATAGCAATAAAGAGAGTGAAACTATACCTCCATTTCTGGTAGTTCAAGGACAAACTCATCTTTCCAATTGGTATACCGAAACCAATTTTCCTGCGGATTAAGCTATTAAATCTATTTCTAATAAATAAACGAATAATGAGATAGAATTAAAATGATTAAAGCATTTCAATAAACATACTATTCATCGAAGAAAGGGCAAATATCGAATATTAATACTAAATGGATACGAAAGTCATGAATCAATAACTTTTCAATTATATTGTAAAGCAAATGATATTATATACATAAAGTTACCATCACATTTAAATCATTTAATTCAACCACTTGATATTGGATGTTTTGATGTACTTAAACGTTTATATAGTTCTCAAATTGAGGAGTTTATCAAGGCACATATCAATCATATCACTAAGGTTGAATTCTTTATAGCTTTCAAAGTTGTATATCAACAATCAATCACCTCTCAGAATATGAAAGCTGGCTTTCGAGGAACAGGTCTAACACCATTTGACCCTCAAGCTATACTCTCAAAATTAGATATTCGAATTCATATACCTACTCCACCCCTTTCGATTTAAACCTTTGGATCTCTCAAACTCCCCACAATCCAATTGAAGCTCTTTCTCAATCAACTTTAGTGAAATCTCGAATGGTTCGTTGTCAATCAAGCTCCCTTACTGTGTGAACGAAGTGAATGACTTCAATTCAATTACTACTGTAATAAAGAACTAAGCGAACGCGAAAGAGACTAGCTCTTTTAGTAAGTCTATATAAGACTTACTACTTTCAATATGTAGCTAGCTCTTTAGACAGAATACAATTAGACATACAGGACCTACGTAATCCGTGGGTGCTACGTCTTCCGTATCCTTCTCGTACCAACACTTACATTTATATTCGAAACTGTATTAGCTTTAGCTAAAGATACAGAGAGATTGGCATATGAAAATACACTTTTAAGTACAGAAAACTATACACTTCGGAAGACAAATGAGGCATTAAGCAAACGTCGATATGCGAAAAAGACTCAATTACGCCAAAGAGGAGTATTTATTGAACAAGAAGCTGCAGATATATTATCTCAACAAGAGATTGATATTCAGATTCAACACAACAAACATCAAAATGAAAGGAATTCTAACAGGGAAGCATCTTCTAATAGGTGTTGTAGCAAATGTGGAAAGACTGGTCATAATTCAAGAACCTGTTCTAATAATTTAATAGACCCTAGATTGTTAGATTTTTAATAGTTTTAATTGATTGATTTAATGATTGTTGAATAATATGAGTTGGAAAGTGCAAATTGAGGTAAAAGTGGTGCACTCGGTGTTAAACCACGTCATCGTATCTTATATATTGAAAGATAAATGCTAATTACCGGGAAGGAAGATATAGGGATGGAGATTTGTTCAGCATATATACTCGAACAATTGATGATCTTAAGAATCGTCTAAATAAATTGATTTAATTAGCCGTAATTGGTAAATCATTGTAAGTATAGAATGTATTAAAGAAACATGTAATACGAGTATATAAATCACATACAAACGAATCACAAATTTAAAAGTAACTTTCAAGAATATTTCATTCTAGCATAATATTTATCTAATTGATGCGATGCAATCTAATCTCGCGACTGTACGCTAAAATCTAAGCTAGTAATGAAGGAAAAAAGATCAATGGTCAAGAAAAATCATATATCTATTTAGGGACACCGGTACCGCGAATAGCATCGACTTGTTCGCTGAGGAGGGCGTTGTTGGATGGAGCGGCGAGTGGTGGACCTTCGGGAGTTACGTAGGCTTTTGTCATGCCGCCGTCGACGACGAAATCCTATTGAGATTGTTAGATGGATTTTTCATGGATACGGGGAAGTGATATGGGATATGGAGGGGTCGGGAGGAAAAAGATGTGGGAAATATACCTGTCCGTTAACAAAGCTACTCTCATCACTAGCCAAGAACAAAACGGCTTGAGCCTGCTCAATAGCCTCTCCGAATCTTCCACTTGGGAAATGAATCTCACGTCTGAGTCTCTTTGGTTGATCATCTCCTAACCAATCTTGGAGCAATGGAGTATTCAATGGTGCTGGGCACAATGCATTGAATCTGATTCCTTCTCTGGCGTGAACAATTGCCAATTCTCTGGTCAAAGCCAAAACTGCTCCCTTGGAAGCTGTGTATGCTAATTGAGGGGTAGCAGAACCAACAAGTGCAACGACGGAAGCGGTGTTGATGATAGAACCACGTGTCTTCTTGTTCTTTCGCATGGAAATAACAGCGTGTTTACAACCGAACCAAACACCCTTGACGTTAATAGCTTGAGTCAAATCCCAAATCTTCTCAGGGGTATCGATAGCATCGGCATCATCAGCATGCATAATTCCAGCATTGTTGAACATGATATCGATACCACCCCAAGATTCAAGATGAGCAACGGTCTTTTCGATATCAGATTCTTTTGAGACGTCACAAACTTGAACTTCGACTTTGTGGGCTGATGGAACTAATTGCTTGAGTTTTGCAGCTGCTTTCTCGAGAGCTGGTGCCGAAATATCGGCCATGAGGACATTGGCACCCTCCTTGGCGAAGAGAATACAGGTTTCGAGACCGATTCCTCTGGTAATGTGTTAGCATGTGAATGGTTATCTTATCCAATAGAGAGGTGTTTGCAATATGAAATTGCCCATGAAATGCTTTCAGGATTCACTTGGATGTCGTCGCCTCGATCCGCCACAAAATGATAGTGGTCACGTGAATGGCCAGCTCAACACCATTCATCACTAAGAACTCTTGATAAGGAATTCACTCTAGAATAGAGAGAAGTCGAAGTGTGATACCTATCTTCCTGAGTCTTCGAAACTCGTAGATTTCGAGTGACAATGAAAATCCCATATCATAGGGCAAAGAAAGTCAAGACTTACCCAGCAGCACCAGTAACAATAGCATTCTTACCATGCAGTCTTCCCATTTGGAAGCTGTTGATGGTGTGAACCTTCTCTCCGTTGCCGTTCATATTGAATTATGTTGAAAAGAGAATTATGGGTTGAATACTGTGTTCTGAATGAAGATATTGTCAGTAATGAGCTCCTCGTTGCGTTTGATGTTTTGATGTTCTTGTACGGAACATGACAACGATTCCTCACAATGAAAAAAGAAACTCACCCTTTGTTCTTGATTAGGATATTGATTGGTATACTGTATGGTGAGAGAGAAAAATGAAGAATATGAAGAGTTGTAATAAAGTTATTTTCAACTACTTATCCACATAGAAATAACTCGAAATGATCAGAAATAAAAAGTAATTCTTATTTGTGATGACAATTCATAAAAAGACAGAGAATGTGGATGCTGATGTGTCACTGGTATGAAATACCAAGTTGGTCCGTTCTCGGTGGGATCACTGGGATGGGATGTATGTTATCGTTTCCGAAGAAAAACCATTTGAAGAATGATGAAGAAACACGATTCAGATTCTACATGTGTTATCATCTTATGAAACTCACCGCTGCTTTTTGGATAATAACAGAGAGATAGGGAAAGGAAATAGGATGAACCTGTTGGACGGTTAGATTCTACCTAAGGAATGGCGGGGTTTCATGACTGAAAGAGGAAATTTGAGATGATCTCGGGATTTGATAATATTGAGTTACATTGGTATCCCAGCTTTGAGAGATGAGTGTATGTAGTATGTACTCTGTAGATTGGAATATGGGATGACTTTTTAGTGGTTGATTATGTAAACCAGTATAAAAAGATAATAGCTAAGAGGTCAAAGTGAAGTTTATTATATTATCATAGTATCACATTATCCAACCAAATGCTGATTTGGAAATGGTTCATAAGTAGGTATTGATTGCATTGACATCTGTTACCCGACTAAAACATCAGAGTAAATCTTAGAAATATTATCTTATCGCGGGGTCAAAGTGGACTACAACTTTGTCATCATGGCAGATGGTCAGGTCAGATGGCCATGGTTAGACGATGACAGACAGTATTGGGGTTGGCGGTATTGCGGGCGTGAATGGGGGTTGGAGAAGACAAACGTCAATCAATATGTTATCGAGTGTCTGGGTAGGTAATGTTGTCATCACCATGTTTACACGAATGTTTGTGTAGCATTTCGGGAAAGCTTATACTCCGTACATACTGTTCATCTACCCATTCTATTCTCGTAACCTTATGTTTGCTAGCTGTAAGGTTAATCGCTAGATAGCTGCATGTCAATCATTTCAGTCATATCTCTTGCCATTTTAATTACAGCAGAGTCATCCACCAATCAGAACACTCCTCTGACGTATCACAGAGCAAATTCAAGGCCAATCAAGGGTCAGACTGTGATAAGTAGCCCTAAATTAAAAGCAGCATCGATTTAAGCCCCTCGCTTTATCGCAAAAATTCTTATCGCAAAGTCCAAGAAACCCTCCTTGCTTCACTCCATATTATTATTAGTCTTATCACCCTCTCGAAGGCTCCACGATTAGTTAACCTGCCTCTCAATCAAGAAGCCAGATCTCCGATATCCATACAATTCATTCTGTCAATTGTTTTCAGATATCCAAGCTTAACAATTACTCTTCCATCCTCAAATTCTTCTTTCCTCTAGACGCAAAAATGCCAGATACACCAGATTGGATAGCTTCACACAAGCAATGGGATGAAAAAACCGCCGATAACCTTATCGCACTTCTCGAAAATGATACAAAAGTAAAGCTGGCCGGTATTGATGTTGATGGCATATTACGAGGAAAGCTTGTCTCCAAAAAGAAGTTCCTGGGGATCGCAAAGGAAGGGTTTGGATTCTGTTCGGTCATTTTTGGTTGGGATATGCATGATCAGACTTATTTCAAAGAATTGAAAATTAGTAATGCTGAGAATGGTTATCATGATATTATTGCGATTCCAGATTTGACTAGCTTCAGAAGGATACCATGGGAAGATAATGTGCCTTTTTTTTTGGTTAGCTTTTATGATCCAGATACGGGAAATCCGGTGTCTGCGTGTCCGAGAGGACTGTTGAAGACGGCAGTGGAAAAGTTACAGGCCAATGGATTAGGTGCAATGGCTGGAGGTATGGTAATTCTACGTCGCATATTGGCTACCACTAACCATATATAGCTGAGTACGAATTCTTTCAATTTAAGGCACCGGCGAGCAATCCTCACGCACCAATTTCGGAACGAAATACCTCTTCTACAGCAACCTTTCTACGAGAAAACCCAGTCGATTCATTACCTTCCTTGACCGAAGGAATGTTCGGATATAGTTTAACTAGGCCAGTTCATAACCAAGAATATTATTATGGCATATATGATGCATGCGAACAATTCAACTGTGGAATAGAAGGATGGCACACAGAGAGTGGACCTGGTGTTTTTGAGGCTGCTTTGGCATTTGGAGAAATTCAACAAATGGCAGATAAAGCAAGCTTGTTCAAGTGAGTTTGAGGTCCTGCTATCATGATGGGGACAAAACACTAATTCTTGCAGATATGTTGTAAAATCAGTAGCAACAAAATATGGTATTACTCCATCTTTTATGGCAAAACCACGACAAGGTTTACCAGGAAATAGCGGACACATGCACGTTTCAATTGTCGATAAAGATGGCAAGAATCTCTTTTTCCGAGAAACCAAAGACACCGAAGCAAAATGGAAAGATATTGAGAACCTGTCAGATATGGGCCGTCATTTCCTTGCTGGAATATTGGAAGGGCTTCCATATGTTATGCCACTACTTGCACCAAACGTCAACTCTTACAAACGTTTGGTAGAGAACTTTTGGGCTCCCGTAACAGTATCATGGGGTCTTGAACATCGTGCAGCTTCTGTTCGCTTGATTGCACCTCCAACCTCTAAACCAGGCGCCACACGTTTCGAAATTAGAGTACCAGGTGCAGACACAAATCCATTCTACGTGCTAGCAGCCATCTTAGCATTAGGATGGAGGGGAGTAGAAAAGAAATTGGAAATTCAACAACCACCTTTAGGAAAAGGTCAAGATGTAGGAGGAAAAGCGGATCCAGGGGTAAGATTAGCGAAGAATTTACGAGAAGCTACAGAAAAATTTATGGAGAAGGATAGTATTGCGAGAGAGGTATTTGGAGATGAATTTGTGGAACATTATGGTGGGACTAGGGAACATGAAATTAGGTTATGGGATGAGGCTGTTACAGATTGGGAAGTTAGAAGATATATTGAATCTGTATAATGAATTTTGGATAGATTTATTTGTTTCAATATAGAATAACTATTAACCTGTAGCTTTGGGGTTTATTTCACTTATTGGCATCCACCTGATGTTGATTCTTGCAATGGTGTGTTCCATAAGTTACTCTTGGGCAGATAGAATAATAAAGGCAGGGTACCTTTCAGTAGCTAATAGGTTTCGTGCTCAGGTAGGGATATCGGAGGAGTATCAGGTTCTCGTTAGTGCCCCGCTTAACCATTAAGCCTCCAAAACCTATCATCACATCTTCGGAGTATTTGTAAAATGATAAGATCAATAGAATTAACTATGGTGTTGCTTCGATCTCATATAAATAGTGCTTTTATTATGATTCATAGTCAGTATACTCATATTGTACTCTTACTGATGCCGGAGAAACATAATGCCAGGAGATTACTCCGCCATCGGACGTCCACGTGACGATTCTAAAGACATGCATGCTCTTATCAGGGATTATATGATTACTCAAGTACATCATTTACTACGTCTTACAGATTCAAAGAGTGCGGATAATCAGTTACCTATTATTCGATCAAGAGTACAAGTGTGGCTATGGCTTCAACTGATAGTGAGGAGACTATAAATGTCCTATTTTATGGACTTGGAGCGTGAGTACATCTAGAAAGAAGTGGGAGTTCAGGCTAACTCGTTCGAAATTTAGGATTGGCTCGGTTTATGCTTTTATTCTTAGTCGATGTCCAAATGTACGATTGACGGCTGTAGCTAGATCAAACTATGATGCTGTGAGAGAGAATGTATGTTTAGTTGAACTTGAACATGTTAAAGAATCCGTGGGATAAAAACTGACAAAACCCAAGGGTCTTAAACTCATCAGTGAGAATCACGGGGAAAATACTTTCTACCCAGCCAATGGTATGGTTTACGTAATCTTGTTCTGTTGAATATTCTAACAGCTACAGTTATCAAAACACCCTCAGAAGCTCCCGGTCACTATGACTATATAGTCTGCTCAAACAAAGCCATCGATCAAGAAGTCGTAGCTAAAGCTCTATCTCCAATCATCTCCACCTCAACAAGTATAGTACTAATACAAAACGGAGTCGGAAACGAAGAAATCTTTCAGAAACTATATCCTCAAAATAGCATTATATCCTGCGTAGCCTGGACAGGAGCCATCCAAAAAACCCTCGGAATAGTCCATCACACCAAGAACGAAAATCTCCAACTGGGACTCTTTAGAAATGACAATATCCCAGAATCAACCTCGAGTCAACAATTAAAAATCTTCGACGATCTATTAACCACAGGAAAAACACCACATGAAGTTTTCTCCCCCGAAAGATTACAAATCGCTCGTTGGGAAAAAGTTACATGGAACTGTGCCTGGAATTGTCTCACCACATTAACACGAACACATACACACGAATGGTTAAATTCCTCTCCGGAAGCGATGAAAATGACACGAGCGCTCATGCAGGAAATTATAGAAGTAGGAAGGAAAATGGGAGTAGGTATTAAGGATGATTTGATCGAGAGGTTGATGGAGAGGATTTTGAGAATGCCGAGTATTGGGACGAGTATGTTGACTGATGTTTTGGCTGGGAGGAGGCTGGAGTTGGATGTTATTTTGGGGTTTCCCGTGAAGAAGGGGAGGGAGTTGGGGGTTGACATGAGGGTTGCGGAGACGGTTTATACGTTGCTTTTGGGGGTGGATGAGGGGTTGAGGGTGAGGGGTTTGGAGGGGTGAGGTGAGGGGATTTTTTGTGGTTGTGGATTTGGTTGCGGGTAGAGTTAAGTAGAGTAGAGTAGATTAACCAGAAGCTCTTTTTTTATTGTATCTAGAATCCCTAGATAAACACTATACAAACTACCTCCTCGAGTACCTCTACATCACCAAAAAATCCCGATATTTACTTACTACAAACAAGAAATACATCGAAAGATCCACCACCATCATCACCACAACACTAGATACAAAATTCAAAGAAGGGAAATTACTAAATAACTAGCAAGTTTACGATTAGAATGGCCAATCCTCTGCAGCTTCTTCTCTTCAGCGCTCTATATGGAATGATGGACAGTCTCCCAACGACAACCACCAATCACTAGTATCTCTTTACTTCGAGCTCGTCCGAATATTGATTGATTAACTTGAAATGGATAGATTGACTATAATAACGATCATAATCACGGCACTTATTTACCCCAAGCTCTTTTTGTCTCTCGACAGATATAGTAGATATAGTGAATCATGCATTAGTCTAGTTTTCATATCGACCTTCCTCCAGGGTTTTATGCTATTTTTTGATTGAATATTTTAAGCGAATTCTTTCAGAGGGTCTAGTCGACCGTTTTTTAAATAATGTGTATCAGACCTTTACCAAAACATGTTTTATGCGATAAATTTTCAACTATTGTATTTATGGATAATTTGTTATGTGATATAAAATCTGCTAATCGAGGCGATTCGAATCTACCTTTTGATCCATTTTCCAGCTCTTTTAGATCTCCAATTGGTTGTGATTGTTATGATGGTAACAGCTGACTTGTTTTCGTAAGCTTGGGCCATGTGCAAATCGGTTTCGATTCGCTCAATTTACTATGAGATTTCGGTCACCCTAAGAACTCATATACACACACCATCAGAGCATATAAATAAGTATGCTGGATCACTCAGGATCATTGGTGATCCAAGGTGATCCAAGGAGCATGAAGATCTATATATTCAATATGAATTTCTTTATTATAGAGCTTCCTGCTCAAGATCAATCATTTAGTATACTCTACTATTAGTTACGAATTGCATTATTGTCATTACTTTAAGTCCCTGCTTGACGCCTAGTTATAAACCACCTCGAGAGCCTAGAGCACTTCCACGTGACCTAGAGGGCAAACCTCGTAACAATAAATTCTATACAAATTGAAAATCGAAATTTCAATCATTGATATCTCAACCAATTAAAGTGCAAAAAATCCGAAATTTTCAGAATCTACCATTATTGTCACACTCAAGAATACTGGGTAAAGTATCTTGTATTAGAAAATACTAAGCTAAGGAGAAAAGAAGAAGGAAAACAAGAGTAGAGAGTTTTCCTATGATTAAATACAAACGGGGCATGCCACGTGACCCGGAGGTGTGAGGCGTCACACTACCCCCCTTCTCAAACGTCAAGACTGTCCTCAGGCTTGAGCCATACGTTTCCGCTGAAGCAGGGTCTAGTTCTCCTCGTTGTCGTCCAATCGATCTTCCGGAACCTTATCTTCCAATGCACATTCTAACCAGTAATTAAGATTCTTCGGTGGCCCGGGTAAGTCAGGGTACTCGTTGTGAAAAGCTTTTAGTGCTAGCGGTGAGTTTTTAAGATCGGTAGGTGAGTATTCATCGATGTCGGTATCGAAACCACGCCATTTAACCCTGTAGCGGAGCAGTCCGTAAACTTTGCGGACTGAAAGTATTTTTTCGACTTCCCATTCCAAGTTGCCATCGATCTCTTCAGGTATAGGTGGTGCGTGAACTTGTCCAGGCAAAGGATCTTCTGCGGCTTTGCGGAGCTTCTCAGGATTAAAGTACGGGTGTACTTTGATCTCTGCAGGCAATTCTAGCTTGAATGCGTTTCCGCGTCTCTCTAGGATCCTATAGGGGCCGCTCATCTGGTCTCCAAGTTTGCGACTAGGCCGATTAGTCCTCCAGGACTTAGTACTTACATATACCATATCCCCGACATCGAAATCAACTTCGCGACGTCGTTTATTAGCTTGCATTCTTTGACGTTCCTGTGCGACCAGCATATTAGAGCTAGCGATTTTCCAAGCGTTATATAGACGCTCGGTCCACGCTTGAGCCTCCCTTCGATTCCACTTAGCGGCGGCTGGTGTTCTGGCGGGTATTTCCTTCCAATCGAAGCTGGTGCGGGGTTCGAAACCTAAAATCGTGAAGAATGGGGTTTGTCCAATCGATTCTTGTATCAAGGTAGCTTGAGCGAAATCCATCATAGGTATCAGCTCGTCCCAGTTGTCTTGGTAGAAATTTACGAAGGGGCGTAGGCGTTGATCGATGTATTGATTCATATTTTCTGTTTGACCGTCTGTTTGGGGGTGATCTGCCGTCGATAGCTTCATTTTGATACCTAAGATCGAACATACCTCCATCCAAAAGTCCGACACGAATTGTGGGCCGCGATCTGAAACGATACTATCAGGTGGTCCGTAATAAGAGTAAATTCGTTCTAAAAACATTCGAGCGAGATCTCTAGCATCTGCAGTTTGGAAGCACGGAATGGTTGTCGATTTCTTGCTCAATCGACACATGAATACCAGGATTGCATTGTGACCGTTTTTTGACTTCGGAAAGCTCTTGAAATCCATCGTTAGATGCTGCCAGGGTCTTTCAGGGACAGGGAGCGGTTGAAGCAAGCCGGGAGTCTTGTCACGGGGTATATGAGCACGTCGGCATATGCTACAATTGTGAATATATCTTTCAACATCCTGAGGCAATCCTTTCCAATAATACCGTTGTATCAATAGTTCTGTCGTTTTACGAATACCAGGGTGTCCCATAGAAACTTGTTCATGAGCTTCTTTGATCAAGAGTGTTCGTAATGGTCTATCAACAACCATAGCGTTTGGTACTACTAGCTTACCAGATCGAAGCAATAAGCCATCAACCAACGTCCATTTCCCGTTCGCTTCTGTTCGTGCCAAGGTGCGTTGTTCTCCTAGTTCTGTTGCAGTACGATTAGCCTGCAAAACCTGTAGCATCTGTCCTAGGCCAGGATCGATATCTTCCACAAGAGGCGCTAATACTTCTGCTCGCACTTCGGGGGAGAGCATCGTTGGCTTTAGGAGAGTACCGAGGCGATTGGCCTCCATCCGCTCTTTTTGGCTCTGTATATCGCTGTCGCGCCGGGTTAGGGCGTCAGCTTGTCCATTTGCTTTTCCAGTACGATATTCCAATTGGAAGTTGAATTGAGAAAGGTATTCTGCCCATCGTGCTTGGCGTGCTGTCAACTTTTTAGTTCGCATAAAGATCTCCAGAGATTGATGATCAGAATAGACCTGGACGGGATTTTCAACGCTTTGGAGCTCCACTCGCCACTGCTGAAATGCTTGCAGGATAGCCAGCATTTCTTTATCATGGATCTCGTAATTACATTCTGCGGGATTCATAGTCTTAGAGAAGAACGCCAACGGATGCCATTCCTTTGTCGCCGGATCCAATTGGGAGAGAATGCCACCTGTCACCCCGTCGGAAGAGTCCGTCTCTACCTTAGTGAGGCGGTCTGGATGAAAGTAATGCAGGACCGGAGCTTCTGTTACAGCTTGTCGCAGTGTTTCGAAGGCTTTCTGGCAGTCCGGATCCCAATCGAAGATTCGTCCCTTCTGCGTGAGCTTATCTAGAGGGCGTGCGATTCGTCCATAGTTTTTGATAAATTTGCGATAGAAACCACAAAATCCTAGGAAACCTCGTACTCCTTTGACTGTCGTAGGCCTTTTCCAGGTCAGTATATCTTTGATCTTTTCAGGGTCAACTTCCAAGCCTTTTGTCGATACATAGAATCCCAAATACTTGATTCGTGACACCGAGAAATCGCATTTTTTGATGTCCACAGACAGGCCGGCCTCTTTCAATTTGGTTAATACCCATCTGACTTGGGCAGTATGTTCTGATGGATCTGTAGAGTAGATAATGATATCATCCAGGTACGCGGTACAGAAGTTTCCCAGGTTCTCCATCAAAAGATTATTGATGAACCGTTGATAAGTCCCGGGTCCTCCTGACAATCCGAAAGGCAAAACTAGCGATTTGAATTGTCCAAAGCAAGTTTGGAACGCAGTGAGTTCCTCTGAATCGGGATGCATTCGAATAGCATTGAAGGCAGCGCGTAGATCGAGTTTCGTGAAGATTTTGGCTTTGGACATTTGTGAGAGGATCTCGTCAATCCTTGGAAGCGGATAGCCATCTTTAGCTGAGATTTCGTTTAATTTCCGATAGTCTACACATAACCTCAGATCCCCATTAGCCTTTTTGACGAAGAGGATAGGTGCAGCAAACGAAGCGTTACTAGGAGCGATCCATCCCCGATTCAAGTTTTCATCGATGAACTTCTTTAAAGCTTGTAATTCCTGGGTCGTTTGTCGATATAATGGAGACAATGTCAAGTTGTTGGGTTGTGTCAATCTAATTTTATGGTCGCTATTCCGATGAGGGGGTAGAGCATTTGCCTTTTTCTTGGAGAAGAGATCAATGAGATCATGATATTCTTTAGGGATAGTTCGTTGCAGCGTTTCCAGTTCCGTTTCTTCTGGGCGATCTTCTACAGAGTGCTCCCTTTGGTATAGGATCTGATCGATTTCCCAACTTGTGGCTGTAAAGCATTGATTCTTCCGGTTCCGGGTGTTCATTCGGTATCCGATAGCATTGATCAATGCTATCCGATGAGGTGTAGTTCCTTCGGGCGTTGGTCCTTTCATCGATCGTGATGGTTCCTTATCCAATGAATTCATGAGTTCTCCGGGCCATAGGATCTTCGATCTGGCTACGTCCAACAATACCTTTTGTTGTGCTAACCACTCTCTTCCAATGATGAGATCACAAGCTAATTCTTCTATAACATATAGATAAACATTAGGGAACTTGCGATGACCGATGGTGAGGGTTGTTTTCAAACGTTGAGTGATAGGATTAGCCTTTTGTTGATTATAACCATAGACAATACGAGGTTTAATAGGTTCGAGGGGGAGGTTTGTTCTTTCAGCGATATCAAAGGCGAGTTTTTTATTCACGTAAATTTTACCGCTTGCTCCAGTGTCAGGTAAAAAGAAAGCAGAGATGGTTATCCCGTTTTTTTCTATAGTACATGGGAATTCAAAGTTTCTCTTTTTCTTCTGACATAGATCGATATCGAGTTTCCCGATCTGTAGAGCCCTTAAGGAGGAGTCTTCCCTTAAGGGGTTTCTTTTCCCGATTCATTCGATTCGTCGACATCGATCACTTGTACCTTGTTGGGACAATCGCGGGCTAAATGTCCTGGCAGATGGCAGCGGAAGCAGGCACCAGCACGACTAAGCGCTTGCCGAGCAGGATCGTCATAGACCGGGCGATTCTTAACAGGGGTTGGGGATTTCTGAGTTGTCATTTCGAGATCAATTCTATGTCTGTTTCTTTCGGTCCAGGATTCGAGTGTGATAATCAATTACGATTTAATCGATACGTAAATTTCAGGGCTCGTAGATTCGTAGGTTCGTAGGTTCGTAGGTTCGTAGGTTCGTAGGTTCGTAGGTTCGTAGGTTCGTAGGTTCGTAGGTTCGTAAGTTCGTAGGTTCGTAGTCTATACGCAATTATTTTTACTTCCCAGCGTACGGGAAAGAGTGTAAGATGAGCTTAGTATTATGTCACACTCAAGAATACTGGGTAAAGTATCTTGTATTAGAAAATACTAAGCTAAGGAGAAAAGAAGAAGGAAAACAAGAGTAGAGAGTTTTCCTATGATTAAATACAAACGGGGCATGCCACGTGACCCGGAGGTGTGAGGCGTCACAATTATATAAATAATAAACTTATACTCTGAATTTAGAAAATTATATTTATAAATAAGGAAGTTATAGAAGTTGAATTTTGTCACTTTTGGTGAGGAAAATGGCCCCCATATTAGGGGTGGCCCAAAAGTAGGGTACTAGACTTAACTATTTCGATGTTGAATGTCGAAATTAGTAATCCAAGTTTCATCAATTACAGAAGCAGATATAGGATATTGATTCCAGGGACTCAGTTACTATATATTCTTAAAAATTCACCTTTCGGTTATAATAAGATAGATGGTGTCGTTTCTCCTGGAAATCGCTAATCCCATATTTTATATATGATTATATGAAACCTTTTAACTTCCACACTGCGAAGAAATTACTAGGTAATAGTAACTTGACAACTACTAAGATTATAGATTGGATATAAAGAGCTTTGGATTTTCTGTTTTGTTCGTGGCAAGACTGTTATATTCTGATCGTTGATAGCTGACAAAACTTGCGATAATTATGAATCTCTAAAACACAACGATTTGCCTTCTTTCCGACTCCCCCAGCAGTAGAGTATCATTCTCGCTAGCATTGACCCTTGAAAAGTCCATACCCATCATACTTTTAATTTCTTGGTTTCTATGATTTTGGTCATTTCAAGATAGCACTAGCACATCTGTCTTAACTAGTGAGCATCGATATCCATCCGCTCTGCTTTCTCTCCAAGCTGCAGACTTTTCTAATCCTCATGTATTTTGCCTTCTACTCGTTGCTAATCTGGGACAGAATTCCTCCATAAGCCCACAACTTTCCTATACTTGTTTCCGCGGTTATTTCTGACCGTTAATCAGCCTCGTGTTTGCTGGGGAATTTGAGCTCAATATTTTAAGAGCTAATTATGGACTTTAGATTGTGATTGAATGTTTAGAAGACTTTCAATCTCCCCAATCTGTTCTTGTTTAGAAGAATATTCAGTGTATATACATATGTATATGTTGTATGCGTACTGAATCTGAGATCACAATACCTGTTAGACTGCAGCTCAAATAGTCGCCAAATCTGAAATAGCGACAGATAACCGACAAAGCACCAAACAAGCACAAAGGTCACCGTATAAAAACAATCCCAGTGACCCCTGTAAAGTTAATCTCTTATCAATTTTATCAATGAGGCCAGCTTGGTATCTTTTTCATCAGATGTAAATCCAATCAATCCATAAGAATTAATTTTTCTATACATTGTCAACACATTTACTTGTTTTGCAACTTATATGCTCTAGAATATATTTCCGTTACATACGCATGGTTTCTCCTAGTTTATACACCCCAATTCTTGTAGAGAAATTATCTAGCTCCTTGTGAGCGCATCTCTGGCGCAAAGATGTGGTTGCCATTTGCTTTGTTGTTTTTGTGTATGCTGCAGTTGGCTGTTTGTGCTGAGGACTTTTACCAAGTATGTATTTCTCTCTGTAGCTTATGAAGTTTTACGGTTGCAGTGGAATGGAGAGTTCAAAGGATCAATGCTAATTCTGTAGCTTCTTGGTATAGACAAACAAGCTTCAGAAAGAGAAATCAAGCGCGCATATAGGCTTTTGAGCAAGAAATACCACCCCGATAAGAATCCGTACGTTTTATCTGCCTCTACCGTCACTGCATCTACTAACCTATAATTTAGAGGTGATGAAACAGCCAAGCAAAAGTTTGTGGAAGTCGCCGAAGCCTACGAAGCTCTGTCAGTTCCAGAAACTCGCAAAATATACGATCAATATGGTCACGAAGGATTGAAACAGAGACAACAAGGAGGCGGCGGAGGACATCATGACCCATTCGATCTCTTCTCACGATTCTTTGGCGGGGGAGGACATTTCGGACAACATGGACAACGAAAAGGACCAGATATGGAAGTACGAGTAGGAATACCCCTCCGCGATTTCTATAATGGACACACCACCGAATTTCAACTCGAGAAACAAATGATCTGTGAGGAATGTGAAGGTTCAGGATCTGCGGATGGTCAAGTCGATACTTGTACTGCATGCAATGGTCACGGAGTCCAAGTAAAGAAACATCAACTCGCGCCAGGAATCTTCCAACAAGTCCAAGTAAAATGCGATCATTGCGATGGAAAAGGAAAAACCATTAAACACAAATGTCCAGTTTGTTCAGGGTCCCGTGTCATCCGCAAAGTACAAACCCATCAACTAGTAATCGAGCGCGGAGCCCCCAAGGGTCAAACGATAAACTACGAAAACGAAGCCGATGAATCTCCCGACTGGGTCGCTGGAGACCTTCACGTCACATTGGTAGAGAAAGAAGCGAATCTCGAAGAGGACAATGAGTTGAAAGTCGATGGAACATTTTTCCGTCGCAAAGGCGATAATTTGCATTGGCGAGAAATCCTCTCATTAAGAGAAGCATGGATGGGATCCTGGACTCGCAATCTCACACATCTGGATGGTCATATCGTACAATTGTCCCGCGAACGTGGTCAAGCAGTTCAACCGGGACATGTTGAACATGTCAAAGGAGAAGGAATGCCAAAATGGCACGAAGATGGCGATAGCGTTTATCACAAAACGGAATTTGGTGATTTGGTTGTCGAGTACACGGTTGTATTACCGGATCAGATGGAGAAGGGAATGGAGAAGGATTTTTGGGCGTTGTGGGAGAAATGGAGGAAGAAGAATGGAGTAGATTTACAGAAGGATAGTGGAAGGCCTGAGACGCCTGGTGCGGCGACGGGGAAGGATGAATTGTGATGGATGGGTGGTTGAGGAAGGGATGTGTGGACTTGGAGTGTTGGAGTTGATGGGTGTTTACTCTATGAATCAATTGTTGGTTGGAAGGCGAGATGTATAGAATAGAATGGAATGGAATGCAAATTTATATTATATGGATATGAATACCATAGAGATACATAAGCGAATTTAATAAGTTTCTTTTTGACAGCATTTCTATGCATTTCTATCACATCACATCACATCATATACAGCCCAACAACCTCACAAAGCACGATATTCAATAGGTAATTAAGCAGCGAACAGGAAAGAAATAAATGAATACATATTTGGTATCTGTAACATGAAATAACATAACATAACATTGAAGAATCAATCCTTTCCATTCACACACACACACATCATATCGTTTCATCCTCGTATCTTCCTCCTTGTATCTTTTCATACACACACATACACACACACAGTCATGAATATCCCCGAGAGAAAGTCCACTCTTCTTAGCCTATCCATCCATCATACAAAAAAGGAAAATGGAAGAGAAGGAGAAGAAAAGGAAGAAATGTAAGGAAAAGAGAATAAAAAGAAAGATAACTAGATTAAATCCTCCCATAAAATTCCTTGGAAATGTAGATCGATCGACCGATCAATCGATAAATGTATATTAAACCTCCCCTCCCCCCTCCTCCCCCCCCTTTTCTCTCTCAAAAGAGATAGATCCTTCATTCCGGAGAAAGAAAAGTTCTAAAGTTGTAAGGTTGTGATAGAGCGAGGGGTAGGCTGGACTAAGCTAGAGACGACGAAAGAACGAAAGGAAAGAAAGACTAGAGAAGAGATATTAGGAATTAAACACGCGTTCGGTACCATTTCTTTCGTTCGGTGGTAGGTTGACCATTGGTTGGTTGTTCGGCGACGGGGACGTTGGGGTCGGTGGCCGTAGTGTGCGTGCGGCGGGAGCGGTGGTGCATGAATGTTCCCTAGAGGCGGGGGGTTGGGATGTTAGGATGTGGTGTGGTGTTCATGGGGGAGATGTGGGAGGACTGGAAGGAAGAGGGGAGGAGGGGAGGGGAGTGTTGTGCGAGGAGGATGAATGTGAAGAGAAGGGATAGGAAGGGATAGGAGTAGATTGGGAAGAAGATGGAAGGAGTAGAACCTACGAGGAGAAAAGAAGCCAGGAAGAAAAGGGAAGCCAAAAATGCAAATGCCACGTCGGCTTTCCATCTCGAGCAGCTGGACCCGCCATATCTACCGAACCAACGAAATGCACTTCCGCAGTGGGAAGGTGCGATGAACTATTCATGCCAGATTAGCTATGTATTCCATTCCTTACGAGAAACGAGAAGGAATATGAAAGGGGGAGAAATGCGAAGAGTAAAAGAATACATACATCAACCAATAATCCAAAAGCAATCATAAACATAACGAACATCAGGAAATCGATAGGCCAATGAATAAAATTCCATGTGTGTGGTAGCAAGAAAAATAAGGAGAAGAATAGACCCAGAGCAGCAGTAACTTCGGTGTAGATGAATCGCTTCCTAGTCCATCCTGATTCACTTCGAGCACGACTCAGATGTGCACTGGTGATACCGAGGACAATAGTACTGAATGCAAGTTGGCCGAGGCGCAAGAGCAAATTGAATATATCATATCCGTGCATTTTGGTTGTGATTTTGAAGTTTTTTTGTTCGTGGTTGTATTTCTAGTGGTAGGATATCTCGAGTTTCGTTCGTATTGTGAAGTTGCTGTGAATAGACGAAAGAAGGGAGAAGAAGTGAGAAAATGATATAATGCTTAAGTTTTATATCTCCGCACACATCACACCACTTGCAAGTGATGAAAAGCAAGCAAACTACGCCGACTCACATCATAACATGCAGCCTACCGAGACGCACTTGCATTCATGCCATGTTTCTTGCCCAATCCCACTTCCACTACCCAGCCAATCCCTTGATATCCGGATTGACTTCTCCGTCAATATTGTGTACGTTCATATCTCCTATTCGTGGATGAGTATGCAAATGAGAAGCAGGCTGTAATTTATGGCACATGCAGAACAGGAATTCAAGGAATTTATGAAGTCATAATAATATTGCAAGTACCGATCCCATCTTGAAGTCCCGGAATTGTATGCAGTACCTGGCATTTCTTCATTTATGGATGTGGGCGTTTTTTAAAAGGTACAGGAAATGAAACGGAACGGCGTCTTTGCTCCGGTTGCTACCCTAAGGAACTGTCCTATTGGAGAATGAACAGGAATATGCGTGACAGCAACACGATGAACGGTGTGTATGTGACGAAGTCTTATTCGTTGTTTAGAGCCATTCAGGAGTAGGAATATCTTCAAGATATGTTGGGAAAACCCAGACTATGACCAGGGACTTTTTAATGAGGAGATTACTTCATATTCTTAAGAAAGATGACATGTGGTTGGTGACAGAATAAAATGTGAGCCAGCCAAGCATTCGATGTAGGGAATAAATTGTATATCAACCTTGTCGATATCCCATATCCAACCATCAAATCATCAATCAAGACTTTCTACGCCTAGAAATCAAAGAAGTATATATCTGGTAGACAAGTTCATTTCGTCCATCGTATACGGGGGTAAGAGTTTGCTGTAAAGCCTGTCAAAATTCGTTTGAAAGGAGACGAACGACGAACTTGAAATGCTGTTGGCAAGTTGGCAACATTGCATAAAATTGTGGTTGGGTTTTGGTCCAGTTGAATGAGTGTTTGTAGAGTGGCTGCATTTGTGGCTGATGGTTACCAAGAATTATTATTGTGTAACGGTGCATGGGCTGATTGATGGCTGGATAATAAGTATATATTCCTGGAATATTTGGTCACAAATTACCAGCTTTTGATGAGCTTCGTGTGAATATTTGTGGTGCCGTTGATGTCCTTGTTCTGCGATTGCGATTGAAGAGGTGGAAGGGGTTGAATTAGTGGTTGAGCCTCTTCAATTGATATTGGCGACAGGCAATGGTCAGACTCTCGACCCATTATCTTCAAGGCCAAGATAGCTTGGTGAGTTGAATATATCTAGTTATAAGTCCAACAGATCTACAAATACCCAGATTTAATAGTGGTCAACCTCCACTCGTTCACCGTCCTCGCTTCTGATTAATCAACCAATTGCAGCAAATCACATCACCTGGAATCTTTGAGCCATGCCAATTTCAAATAAAGGTCTTGTCTCTACTGTTTATATCTCAGTATGGCAATGAGCGTCGCAGAAGTTCCCAAAATACATTTCCAGTTTCCGAAGATTCGGAAATTGCTCCTACCGGAAAAAATCAACTAACTCCTGCATCGTGTGCGGAATTCCCAGGATCCTTTGCTCCAGACTTGAGGAGAGATAAAAGAGAAGTGGTGAAACATGATTCATTCCGTGATCGATTTTATTTTTTCTTAACGGACGGCTGGAGTGATATGACGATCTGGAAAAAGTGCTGTACGTTCCCTCTCATGAACTCTTCCTTGGCCCTACCACTTAAGCATCTTTCTCTAGTTCATAGAATTTGTTGGAACAACTTGCATTTGTTATTTATCTGCCTTTATCAGTATCTCCTTCCGAAATTCTGATACTGGACAAGTTGCGGCATATGTTGGCGTTACTAGTATCTTTCTCTTGACACTATTCACATGTGCTCTTGCTCCGGGTTCCGATGGCCATCTGAATCCGATCATTACTTTTGCAACGGTAATCACTGGGCTCACCGGGTTCTCGAGAGGAGTGCTATATATGATAGGACAAACTACCGAAGCCGCACTTGCTGGTGATCTGGTCAGAGGAAGCTTAGGAGTGCGGAGAACATTAATGTAAGTGCACTTCCTTTAGTTATTGAGAGAGGGGAGCACCAGTGGTTGCACAGATTTGTACAAACATCGAATGGTAGCCAATTGTATACTGGCGTTCCTCGTTGAATCATTCAATGCAGGCGAGACAACGACACTATGATGCGAATGAGATCGGTAAGTCGATAAAGCGATTGTTGAATGCTCGGAATCCACTAGTAGACAAATAAAAGGTAGTATTGATGGAGGCGATGTCTCCTTAAGACGACAACCATGAGTGTAGGGCAGGCTTATTTGATCGAGTCGGTGTTGTCACGTATTATGCTGTAAGTCTCGCGCCCATCGCATCTCGTTTTGACCTAACTAGATAGTATTTTATCGTTTGGCACTGCTCTTGATCCTCGGCAAGCGCAGCTTTTTGGCCCAGGTCTTGGCCCATCCATGGTAGGCTGTACATTAGGCCTTGGATCATTTTCCAGTATCAATCTTGCACCGGGATATCCAGGAGCGGGCTTGAATCCAGCCAGATATTTTTCGTGCGCAGTTTCCAGGGGTAACTTTGCTTGTGAGTTCGAATATCATCCCGCAAAGATGTTCCATTGCTAATAATAAATCTAGATCAGTGGATTTGGTGGTTTGGCCCTGTAACCGGAGCTATAATCCAAAGCTCTGTGTACCATTTTGTTCCGCCATATCATACGAAGAGTAAATAGGAAGCCATCCAGTGTGATGTAAGTAATTTACGGATACCATCAACTGCACAGCATGATCAGCGTAAGGAAATAGGGCTAGCCAAGACAAAGTGATCTTTCAAGTTGGAGTGTGTATGATCATGAAGTTGTATTATCAGGCTAAGATGGGATGACAAGCAGAGAAAGCTTTGTGTGCTCCACGTGTATTAAATTGAATAGTGGCAATTGCACATAAAATTGAACTTTCCAAACTCAAGACCAGTTTGCCCGTTCAAGTGACAAAGGAACATGGCTCTTGAGAACATAATATACTTGATGACGACTATATATACCTAGGAGTCCATATGGCCTGTCGATTTTCAGGAAACGGAGAACAATATTAAACCATAAATAAAAGATATTTGAAAAGTCGGAAGATCAAATTTGAGTAGTATATTTCGTATTTCCAAATTCTCAAAAAGTATTAATAAACTTATCAAGATTGAAGTTGGATTGATGATGAATAATGATAAGTGACTTGAAGGAAGAGCCACTAATCCTCCACTAATACCGAAATATACTTAGTCCATGCTCAAAACTACTACCACATTTATCGGCCAATCAAATCACCCACGATACCAATACGGCGACCATCCGAGAACTAAAATCAATCAACATCATAGACAAATATATCCTCAATTAGCCATTCGCCATTGCGCCACATCACCGCGAACAATGGCTTCCAAGATAACTCCTTTCGTTTTTCGATCCGCATTCAGACCAGCAAGAATAGCTTCACGATCACAATATCGGTCATTTGTTGCCAGCAGTAGATTATCCAGCGATACTCTCAACGTTGTATGTCTTCTAAATGAAGCTCCGATTATGCCGTATTGCAAGTACTGATATTCAATCTTACAGCATCGTGATACACCCGAAAATAATGCCTCTATTCCTTTCAAATTCACACCTCAAAATGAGAAGCTTGTCGAAGAAATCCTCAAACGTTATCCTCCACAATACAAAAAGGCTGCCGTTATGCCAATCCTCGATCTCGGACAACGTCAACATGGTTTCACTAGTTTGAGTGTTATGAATGAGGTTGCTAGATTATTGGAGATGCCTCCTATGAGAGTTTATGAAGTGGCTACCTTTTATACTATGTATAACAGGAATCCAGTGGGCAAATATCATCTCCAAGTTTGTACTACGGTATGTTTTCTCCATTTAGGTTGAGAGGTGGAGTTGGTCTTGGAGATATAAGAACTGATGAATTCTTCGACATAGACTCCATGTCAGTTAGGTGGATGTGGAAGTGATGCGATTGTTAAAACGATTGAGCAACATCTCGGTATCAAGCCTGGTCATACTACGAAGGATGGACTATTCACCTTTGTTGAAGTCGAATGTTTGGGTGCTTGTGTGAACGCACCAATGGTTCAAATCAACGATGATTTTTATGAAGATTTGACACCCGAGTCAACCGTCACATTACTTAAGGCTCTCCAGGCTAGCGCCTCGGATATCGCCGGTACGGAAGGTGGAAAAGGTGCCATTACTGGCGACGATAAGAATGTCAAGTCAGGTGCGGAAGTAGGAGAGGATTCTGGAAAAGTTTATAATAAGGGAGGTGTTAAGGTACCAAGTCCGGGACCAATGAGTGGAAGGAAAACTTGTGAGAACCTTAATGGTTTGACAAATTTGACAAGTGAGCCATGGAGTAAGGAGGTTTTCAAGCCTGAATGGCAATAAGTTATTACATTTTGTATGTGTTGTCTGGGTTGAAAATAGAGGATACAGGTTCAGATGAGGATTCGTATGTATATATCCTTGTATCATCAAATTTTTGCATTGTTTGATATTCTTTGATGACTAGTGGTGATTCTGACAAAGTTTGAATTTTTTCTATGCTTATTCATTACATTGGCTATATAACCAAGCAAGCGAGAAGTAATGGCAGAAGTGACAGTAAGTGAAGGAAGAAAAGAACGACGAAGAGAATGATATGGATAGCAAAAAACAGAAAATACTCATCTAAACTCCTACAAACTCGCTACATCCGAGATTACTTGAGAATGTAGGATGCGATAGAATAATTTGAGTGTCACTGGTATACCTCTCAAAGTAAGATCTTAGCAAAAAAAAAAGGTAGAATCAGACGATTGGATCGAACTAGATAACTAAATTCAAGTCAAGTCAAATGATTAATATAATATAACATAATATATTTCCATCATTCCTCGCATTATTTACTTTCCCTGCCTTTCCCCCCCAATATTCGGAATTTAGATACAGGTACTTAGTAGGTAGGTATTTATTTATCTTTACTTATAATTCCTACCCTCCTTCAAATTCCCCAGTTCGTTGGTTTAAGTTGAGAGATAATTTTAATATCAATATCACTCTCCCTCTCTCTCTTGTTTCATATTTATGCTTTTTCCCATGGTTCCTAACATGCTTTTTTCTTTTAGTTGGTTTATTTCTGTGTTTGGTCAAAGCTTTTCCGCTTCTGTTTGTGTCTCGATATTTTTTTTTTTTTCTTCTTTTTTCTTGGGTTGTAGAATTGGGGAGAGTAAAAATTTGAGGGTAGTTTGTTATTATTATATTGGTAGGTAAGGTGGTCTAGTATTTTTCATAGTATTTCCATTCTTGTTAGTTTGTTGATTGGGTAGGGAATTGTAAGATTACTTTCTGATTTTAGTTCAGCAAAGGATGGGCAAGGAGTTATAGAATGGTAAGACTTATAATAGATAGCGGAAACGAGAGAACGGTATAGCGATTCAGGTGGATATTAGTAGTTGGTTGTGAAGGGATTGATAAGTCTTTTGGGTGGATTTATACTTGAGTAGGTTTTAAATCTTCAATCTTAAGTTGGAATATGAAATATAAGATTTAAGAGGAACAGGTATTCATGGAGTGAAGTGAAGTGAATCGAAGTGAAGATTGATTTGAGTACAACTAAGTTCAATGACGAGAAGGTAAGAAGGATAGGTCATGAATTATATTTATACATTGGGGTTCATGTTGGTGCGAAAGTGAGTACAAAATTACCGGTCTATCTCTAGCGTGTAGTACTTCTCACGCACTGCTTGAGCTACGTATTGGACATGCCCTGAAGTTCTATGCATGTGCTATAAGAGCTCTTAAGTAGAAAATCTGGATTTGATTTTGTGGATTGATAAAATGATATAATGGCAACATGACACGTCTGTTGCTAGGTCTGGGAGGGTAGGATGGGGGGAAGATATTTAGCAAAACAGTTATTCTGAGAACATGGGGGGAAGCAATTGATTATTCACTAATTTGACCCTAAGTGCAGAAACAGAAGTTGAGATGATAGACATGATTTGATAGTTCTATTCGAAGAAACGGTAGATGATCAGCCTGGCATGGAATTTGGAAAGACCTTTCATCAATAAGAACTCTGCCTGGTGAAGCTATTATTCTGGAAATTCATAGACTGTTCTGGTGGTCTGATATGTAAAATGCTCGGGTGCCGAGATAAAGCAGAAAGCTGAGAGAGAACGTAAGGTGGTGGTGTATGTGCCAAATTTTTTTTTTTTATAAAAGTCACCCTACGTTGCCAGATTACTAAATCCGTGAAGCTCTTGTACGCGGTATTATGCACCATTCCCGCGAGCCATACTTGACGTCCCCGGAGCATTAGCTGATATTTCAAGATAACCCCGCGTGGCGAACTAACGGATATATCTCCCGGACATTCAGAAAACCAGATAGGTGAAGAATATTTTTATAATCGTTCGATTCCTTGCAGATAGAATTTCCACTAATGGTTATCTAGGAATGGATATCGGATGTAATCAGCAGATAGAGCCACGGGTGTCCAATACTACTAGCACCTGGGTCGTTTGCTCGACGATGTGGAGCACTGCAGTTCAAGGAATTGTGAAAATAGATGAGTTTGTGATGGGGAAGTTTCAGAGCTTCGGAGTCCTTCGGAGTCCTTCGTCTCAGACAGAATTTGAGACTGATAGCGACAAGAAACTTGCAATATAGGGAGATAGGGAGTTTTATAAGAGGTGAAATTCAAAGATCCTTCGGTATCTCAACGAGAAACCTTGAAAAAGTTTTGTGCAGACACTCGTCCTTGACTCAAGATATGTGGTGGCAGTGACATATTCAGGAAGTACAATCCCGACCTCTTCAAACATATCCTAGATATCATCACTAAATGACATCCAAGTTCAAAGTCAAATATCAATCTAGTGAGTCATGTTTAAGGTATACGGATTTAGAAAACGGATATAGGAACGAAACAGTAATGTCGTTGTAGAAGTGGGTGTGTTTATGAAGGTGGACGTATCAAATGGAGTCTAGATAAGTCCATTTACCAATCAACAACCCACTAACCTGACCAATATCCATCCATCCATCATGCTTTCCCACCTAGGTTGCTCATGTAGTTGACAACATTTCCGAAATCTATAAAAGCTGCGTTTCCCACTTATTAGCCATTTCTTCACATTTTCTCTCGTTTTCTCTTTTTACCCCACCTTCCCATTCTCCATTTTTCATTCTTCATCTTCACAATGAATACCAAAGAATATATCAAAGATGTTCTTCAACACCTTTGGTTCCCCATTGAATTCATGATAGTTTCCTTTACCTTTTTACCCGGCACTATTATTTCTCTTCTTGCCTCAGCCAACATTACTACTCTGAGTTCTGTGGATAGAATCAAAGATGCATGGTTTGCACGATTCTGGGCCGTTTACGGACCGCGAGTTAGGGAAAGTGCGAGTGAAAATGCAGAGCCTATGATCAAGGCAGCGAGAGGTATCGTGCTGGATATTGGACCTGGTAGTGGCGAGGTAGGAATTTTTGATTTTTTTGATGTTTGATGAGAAGATGTGAGGGGCTTTAATATGATTTGAAAGTGACTGATTTCAAATAGTGGTTACATGTCTTTGATAAATCTAAAGTTACAAAGATTTATGGTGTAGAGCCAAATCGTGATCATTATGATGGGTTGAGAAGGAGAATTAAAGAGGCCGGTCTTACCGATATCTATGAGATTGTGGAATGTGGTGTTGAAGGATTGACCAAATGGGGAATTGAGGATGAAAGTGTTGATTCAGTTGTCACGATTTTGTGTTTATGTAGTGTTGGACAACCTGAGGAAATGATCAAAGATTTGTATAAAAAGTTGAGAAAGGGAGGTATTTGGGCGCTTTATGAACATGTGGTTAAGGAACAGGAAGGTTGGCCTTCGAAGTATCAGTGTAAGTGGAAATATATGAAAATGGTGAAATGAAACTAATGTACGTATACTTAGCTTTAGTCAATCTGGCTTGGCCTCATTTCCTGGGTGGATGTTCACTTAGAAGGGATACTGGGAAATCTTTGAGAGAAGTAGGAAAGTGGAGTAAGGTTGATTTGAAGTATCCTGCCACTGAGCCTTCATACGCTATCGTTCCTCATATTATGGGAACATTAGAGAAGTGATAATGATGCTTCCAGATATACTTGACGGGAAAGTTTCTCATCAGGAGTCGAAGCCACGGGTATCGTCTCTTGAGGAATATGAATGGATGTCGAATGAATAATGGACAGCCACATGCCATCTTGACAGGAGCACTGGTGCTTATGAGAAAGTTGTGTTATCGTGCAGCAAAGAGAGAAATTGCGAAGCTTGTATCGAGTGAAGGTTTGAGTTAAGAGTATCGATTGGTGAATTTGTTATTTGAAATCTTTTTGTTGCATGTCTGAGGTCTTCCAAGACCCCTTTTTACATGTCACATAACACCTCTTGAAAGGCAGCGGGACAAATAAATATTTCATACATAGATTGAGAAGAAGCAAAACTATTAGAATATTCGGCAAGACTAAGAATATAGAATGTCGCTGTTGAGTTATTCGATTTTCAACACAAAGTTGGTGATTTAGACGTTCATATTAGAGTTTGATACTGATAGCTAGAAGGTTTGTTGCATATCTATATTAGCGATTTGAGACCACATTTTGGATATCTCATATCAATTTTTTGGAGCAATCTACATGTTTATGAGTTTTGCACATCCATTGAAGAGAAGCACGTCTTGAATCACATGTAAAAAACAAAAAATATTAATGGCGACTCAATTTACAATGTAATATTTAAAAGGCACCATTTTGCGCTTCTTCAAGATGAGGGGTTGAAAGATAACTTTAGCCTCAGGCAAGAACAAATTTTTCGTGCGAATCTAAAGCTCTCATCCCAAAACTTCTTCATCATTCACAACCTTTCAACAAGTAGATTTACATTTTGTCAAAATTTTACGACAATAATACCAGATGCCTCTGCTTTTACTTATTCATCGAACATTACATCCATATTATAGACCTTAATGGCCAATCACAATGGCTCTGCTTCAATAGCAGATGCCCCACCTCAAGATCCATATTCAATACCTATGAGTATTAATGTCGCAGACATTGTTGAAGAGGACGAGGATGAATATGAGTATGAATACTCTAGTACAGAAAAAGAGGTACACTTTGGAAGAAATCTTCTCTACGATCAATCTAACGTCTGTAGATATTTTATGTAACTCTCGATCTTACTACTCCAAATGTTCCTGTCAAAAGAAAGTTGGCGCAAACACATCCTCGTCGCAATGCGAAGAAATGGTTAAATCCTGGTCTTGGTAAACATCGAAGACATCTTGGTGACTCGACTACTATCGTAGTTGATAAGGAAAAGCCTGCGAAGGCTAAAGGAAAAGCGAAGAGCAAGAGCGCGAAGAAATCACCCAATGTTGAAGAAGATGATGATGATGATGAACCGGCAGAAGGCGAAGAAGTGGAAGAACCTTTGGAAGATGGAAAGACACAACCGGTATCTATATCAAAACCGGTCGAAGTCGCAAAGAAATCAACGGGAGAACAATACTCGAATTTTATCGCGGATACCAAGCGTGGAGGAGAAGCCCCGGAGACACTCAAACCCGAAGTACAAATATTAGATCTGCATGAAGATAATCCAGTCGTATCCTATGAGGGAAATATCTACCAATGTCGATGGGAGGAGAATATGGGAACAGAATTACTTTTCACGGCACACGATCCCAATAGTAAATTACCTATTTTACAATCCGTTTCCAATGAGGTCGATTTACTAGCTGCAAGCTCGGCACGCATAACATCTGTCAACACAAAAGTCGAAGATAAAGATCCTACGGGAGGTCCTGGTGGGAAACGTCGCAATTATTTCTGGAGATCGGGTAATATACGTGAACTTAAAATACCAGTCGGTGTGGCAGCTTCTGACCAGAGGAAAAATCAAGCATTCTTCTTACAATCCTTGATTCAAATTAAGGAATCTAGACGGGAGAGAGATCATGTTACTGTAATGGCGCGAAGGAGAAATACAAATCGACAATGGAGAGCAATTATGAAGCAAAAACAAGCAGCCGAAGTAGCACAGATACGAAAAGCTATGGCAACGGGTAAAATGAGTCGAGCAGATGGACAGCAAAGATTAGATCAAATGGCTAAGGATAATGAGATCTTAGCTGCGGAAGATAAATTAAGAGGTATTGGACCTGATGGAAGAAAGATAAGACATGGTGGAAGGAAGAAGACTGTGAACGCAGATAAACAGATTGTGAGAAGACCTCCTGGTGGACTTACAAATTATTTAATGAATAATGCTGCTCCAGAGGACGAAGATGGAATGGATACAGGTCTTGATGGTGTCGCTGATATGGCTCCACTGTCATATTCTGTTGCAGAAGATGAAGATATGGAAGCGGGAGATTATGGTATGGATGATGCAGGGATGAATGATGGGGTAGAATACGAATATGGAGAAGATGGAGAAATGAATTATGAGGATGATGCTGGTTTTGAGGATTATGAGATTGAGTAGTAAGGGTTGTACTCGAGTAGTGCTTCGGAATTCATTTGAAGGGATGAATTGAATTTAGTCGTCTGGGTTGAACCACCTATTAGCTAAACATGAAAAGGACTTCTCATCCCAACAACAGATTTGTTCTGTGGTCATCATATTTCGTTTAACATCTATATCTCGATCTTTCACATTTCTTTTCCATGATACATATTCCACTGTTCTTTCATCCCTTCGACCCCAAATCTCTAGGCTAAATAAGCAATTTTCATACTCTCATCCTCACTCTCATCGTAGACTAGACTAGACTAGACCAGACATCATACCGCATCATACCCACCTATCCTATCAATTCTATCCTATCAACTCTATCCCATCCAACAACCTCACTAAAACCTGTGGCGGCTATGCAGTCGGTGGCTTACCAGTACTCTAGAAATAATAATAAACCCCACCCAGATCTGGTTTTGATCCCTGTTGTTCCGATTGCTGATTATGCTGTGCTGTGCTGTGACGTCAGTTAGATCTTGAGTTGATTGTGTATACAGCTCTATAGTATATAAATAAGAAGAGAGGAGAAGAAGAAGAGAAAAGAGGATTAATTATTTTATTTATTCATTCATCCATCTATATATCTATCGATATTAAACTCTATCTAAAGAAATATATTACCACTTCCAAATATACTATCAAATACAAACGCAAAAACAAAAACAAAAACAAAAATGCCTATCAATGATAAATCAGGTGTTTCGGGTGGTGTTACTTGGGTTACTAGTACTGTTGGGTATGTTATATATGTACTTTTTTTATGAAGTTTTATTTTGTTTTGTTTTGTTTCTTCATCTAGTATCTTTCCTGCCTGTTCATCCTCCCTTCTTCATCTTTCCTACTGGCACTTGACGTACTCATGATTTCGATTTTCAACATCATACAAAACAAAATAAAGCAAAAACTAACAACCCAACAGCAACGGCGTCTCAGGCCTCACAAATACAGTAGGTGGTGTAGTCGGAGCTGTAGGACGTGGTTTGGGAGAGACGGTTAATGGGGTTACGGGGAATGCTGGTTTGTTTCTTCCTTTTTTCTATTATTTCTCTTCCTCATCCTTTTTGAGAAAAGCAATAGAGATGATTGAGCAAATCAAATACATATTGACGAATTCGAAATAGGTAAACCGGTAGGAGATGGGATTAAAGATGTAGGAGAGGGGATAGAGGGTGGTGCGGCGAGGGTAGCGAAGGGGGTTAAGAATGCGGGAGAGGGTCAGCATGGGCCGCTGAGATAGGGGTTTTTTCTTGGGGGAAGGGGAGGGGATGTGGTGGGTGATAGGTGATGGGGAGGAAAGGAAAGGAAATAAGGAGAATGAGTGGGTATGAGATGGATGATTAGGGAGGGATTGGAGGGTTTGTTATGATATGATACCATGATTTTTCATTGAAGAGGTATATATAAGGAAATACACGAGATATACATATAGCAGAGAAGACAGGAAGGGAAATATTGCGCTCATTCTATATCGATACTCTCCGATACATTGTGAATAACTTAAACCACCAATACTATGATTTCGCCTCTGAGCTAACTACTTATCTAGCTAGTATTTTAACTCATCACCATTAAGTCCAGATAAATATAAAACTTAATTTTAAAAATTCCCCCTCCCACTCTATAAACCTTCGGTCGTTACGACAGGTAACAATTAGGTCACGGGATTAGTAATAACACGTGATGCGAGGACTCGAAGAGCTCGAAGGCTTGGCCTCTCGAGCCCTTCGATCGAGGAGAGCGAAAGGATCGAAGCTCGATCCCCTCGCTCCCTTCGAGCCACGAAGCATGAAGGACTATATAATCAAGATGGATTTCCTTTGTATAGAGCTTCGTGCTCATGATCAATCATTTAGTATACTCTACTATTAGT